TTGGCTCTCTCAAGAGACGTACTGTTATGAGAGAAGTAAGAGTGTATTCAAATTTTAAAACAAATTGGTTTTCATCTTAACAACACAGAATCTTAATTATTTATGGTACTGAATGCATAGTATTTGTTAGAATACTATTTACATTTCGACAATGGTAAATATACTGATGGGTGACATTCAGTTGGGACTTGCAATAACATCTGCTTGGTTACAAAACTGTGAGTGATTAGCAACAAACCTAAGGACTTTACATAGCCAGATGTGTCTAAGTCATGATTCTTATAAATGTCATGTTTAGCGTTATGATGGGTAAACGGTTTGATAAAATAAGTGATATGATTACGGTGGTCGGACAAATAGTTAGCTCACATTATTGACCGGCTTACCTAACCAGGTCAGGTCTTGGAAGAAAAGACTAGTAGTTAACTGAATGAGCATCATATATATAAAATACCCAAAAAATTGTATGAATGAGCTAGTTGTCACATAAAGACCAATTATTAAAGAAAATACTCAGAATTTTAAAATAACTAGAAATTCTGTACTTGCGTTTGTCATAAAAATTATGACACTGTTTTCCCAGGACTTACAATGGCGTACCGGAATGTACAATTGGAACATTGTGAAATAACATAAAAACCTGTAATAGTGTTTTTAAAACCAATATATTTTAATTCTCAGGATTTCTTTTAATGATAAACAGCAAGATAACTAACATATATGAAATAACTCTCAGTTTGCTTCCTTAAACCAATGGAACACAAATTTACCTTTGACTAATATGTACACTAGATGCCCTCCTAGTGTTCATTCTACAGGACTTCAACACGAATTGAATCAAGAAAAGGTGATTGGCCCGACTAGAAAGTGAGTATATTTCCACGTCGACAACTGACTTCAGTAATAATAAGAGTAGGACAATATTTAACACATCTAAGATTTGTCAGACTATCCATTAGTCTGACTGGGTAAACATCCAATCATTATTTTCCTTACCCATACATCAACGTAACGTTTATTATTTATCAGTTCTGTGGTTAATTACACTTTGTGAACATCGTTTACCGTCGTACTAAAGCCTTCAAGTATTGTGCTTAAGTTTTATCTCCAAATGGTACATTACTGAATACTGGGGTCACAAATATGTTACTTATATACTGATTTGTATTTGATTCGTAGTAAATGTACTCTGAATATGTTAGGCAATTCATGGCTTTAAAAGGTTGGTAAACAAGTATTTTTTGCGTAGAAGTCATTGCTATCACTTAATTCACTCTTGGCTTGGTAAATCATTTTGTTCTCCAGACTGTACCCTAGTAAGCATCCTAAGTTTTAGGTTTCTTTAAATTAACGAAATTTACTTACGCCTGTTACTCCCAATGGAGCATAGGCCGCCGATCAGCATTCTCAATCCACTCTATCCTGGGTCTTCCTTTCTAGTTTCTATCCGATTCTTGTTCATTATTCGCATGTCTATCTCCATTTCCCGGTGTGATGTGTTTTTGGTCTTCTTCTTTTCCTTTGGCCTTCAGGATTCTTGGTGAGGGCTTGCCCTGTGTGTCCTATTCACTCCCAATGCTCCTTCCCGATTTCTTTCTCCTCTAGAATCTGGTTTGTTCTCCCCCACAGTAGGTTGTTGCTGACAGTGTCTGGCCAACGGAACTGAAGTATTTTGCGTAAACAACTGTTAATAAACACCTGTATCTTCTGGATGATGGCTTTCGTAGTTCTTAGGTTTCCACCCTATATAATAGTACTGTCTTGACATTTGTATTGAGAATCTGAATTTGGTGTTGGTTGACAGTTGTCTTGAGTTCCAGATATTCTTCAGTTGTAGATATGCTGCTCTTGCTTTGCCGATCCGCGCCTTTATATCTGCATCAGATCCACCATGTTCATCAATAATTCTGCCGAGATATGTAAAGGTTTTTAGATCTGCAAAAGCCTCTCCGTCAAGTATCAAGCAAAATTTCCAATGATATGAACCCGAATGAGTTTTTAGAACTCATTGGTGTTTACTAATGAGAGTAAAAAAATTCGTGAAAAATTTCTCATCAGGATGTTCAGGAAACAGATATTCATAAAGTAAAAAATACGTCACCTCACAGAAAGCTCAGGGTTGTGTTATTACAAGATATTACTGAGACTTACTACTACAAACAATTATTTAATTTTCATTTCAGATATTTTGTTAAAAATGTCGAAACATTTATATCATAAAGTTTTTTATTTTATAACGTGTTCTGGATTTGGAATGATTGTTACTCCTTATTGAGTGCATAATAATAACTTTAAAAATCCTTTTTAGCCATTTCTGGTATTGAAAACGAATATCGCCTTATAGATGAAGAATAAAAGGAAGAAAACTGATGAAACACATAATTCGCAGTTTTAAAAACTTATAGTCACGCTGTAAATAATTTTTATACGTCATATACTGTAACATGTTAAGTAAATAATTCGTAAATTTTAGAATTAAAAGTTTTACACAAGCTGTTTCGTCTTCTACAAGATCAAACAAAAAGGAACACAAAACGTCCATCTTTAGAATACGGAAAACTGCTCTGAACAGAATAGCGAAGGTTATCTTTTGTTGAGATCAAACTACGCTTAAGCATCGAGACACCTCTGGGTAATAGAAGTCCGCTTTGTAAACACAAGCCAGTTTGTTTTTGCTTTTCTTTGGATTGAAATAGACTGAGTTTGCTCTCTCCTCAGATCCAATATACAATTTGGGTATCTCTATCATTTTTAAAGCAAGAGCAAATTATTAATTATGACATTGTAGCAAACAATTAAGCGCATTTAATCCAAATTGCTCTGAAAAGTGAACTATCAGAGCAACATTCAGGATGAATCCTTGGTGAATGATCAAGTTAAGAACATTTATTTCAGATGCGTATGGTCCAAGTGACTTTTTTCCTTTAACCCAAAACCAGATAATTATGATCTGTATAGTGCAAACATAGGTATCAAAATCCTTAACTTAAGCTTGGGGATGTAGCAGTAGTTTTTGACTTTGACGGTATTTTTGGTTATTCGATTGGAAATGGCGGAAGTTCGCACCACGAATATCACGCCACTCTAAAACGCTCATGATAGCAAATAATTTTGTCACGATAGTTAGTCTTGTCAGCAACTCAATTTCGGAGAACGGTGAGACGAAAGTACTATCTCAGATATTTATAATATAACTGAGTAGCTAAACATTAGTGCATTAAAATAGTTATATTCATTGCCTCTCAAAACATTAGTCTCGATCAAAGAATGTTTCCCACTGTGGAATAAGTCTTTTTCACTATAAGTTTACTAATAAGTATATGTAGCAAACGTTATATTTCCTGACGTGTATTATGATGCTTTTAAAATGATGCTACCGAATTTTTAAAAAGTCACTTTACTTGTTCATCAGAAAGGGAACCACATTAGACGAAAACTGCTGAACAAGAGTTTTAAAGATAGTAAAACTATGATCTATTCAAAAACGTAGATCGGAAAGTTTAATAAATGTTGTGTGTAGACCCTGTTTGGTATGAACATAATGGCTGGTTACTTAACTTCAAGTGATATTATGGTACAATAATACATGATATAACCATCATTTGTCTACGAATGCAATCTGGTGGTTCTCAAAGATTAAGATGCACAGCATCGTAAGGTTTTCGTTAAATTTAGAGAAAGGCTTAGTTAACTATGAATAATATTCAAAAATGCCTTCCACACCTTGTATATTGGCGGAAAAAATGAATCAAGGTTAGAGAAAAAGGCTATTTTATAGGAACTCAGGAATTAGTCTCATTGCTGATGACATTCGCTACTTTCGAATTGGTAATGTAAAAACTGTACGATGAATAAACGTTTACGAAATATTTGGATGTTTAAACTCTTAGTTTTGTAAAACCATTCTAAATAGTAGCCAACACAGGATTGTAACACGATCTGACAAAAATTAGTTACCTCATTAATTTTGCTTCGCATTAATCTACATAGAAATCTTTTTGTAACACAAAGAAAATATAGTAATGTCCTATATTTGACCACATATAATCAATAATTATTAACTTGTGGTCTAAATCAATATGATTTAAGGACTTTCCATATGGACAAATAAACAAGTTAGGGATAATCTGAGAATAAATTGTTTTACAACTTGTTCAATGAATAAAAGTGTATCGTGTATAAATAGTGAACTTTAACTTCTATCACTCGATTAAAATTTTATTCTTTTAGTTAATCCAAAAGTTATTTTTGATTGACATGAGTTTCATTATTTAAAATTTAACATTAGATAATATTTTGGGATTACAATTGATAAAGATGGAAAAGAATGGGAGACAAATACTTTTGAAAAATCCACTCATTGGATAATCTTCAAAGAAAAATCCCTAAAAAAATTAAATTCGTACATTTTGAATATAATCACTTAAAACAAAATATAACACCCAACTAGTTTGTAAAGATTAAATTAAAAAGAACAGTTACAATAAACATTCATCAGCAGAAACTTGTATCTGATTCATTTAGTAAATGAGATAATCAGTATAAGAGATATTATGGAAACAAAGATTTTTATGAAGCTTTAAGATTCTCTATTTTATTCAATTATAATACTATTGATAATAATAATCATAATAATAATAACAGTAATAATCAGATTCATAATAAAACACAAATATACTTGCAATAAAATACATGGATATATCACTTGCATGGAGGGAAAGAGTTCAGAAACGACATCAAAGTAAGCAAAAAAGTAATATTAGTGAACGGAAAAAATATTTTTTTGTTTCAAGAAAGAGTTAAATCGAAATAAGCATCTAAAATAAGTTGATAAAAACAATAGAGGCAAGTATTTATCAAGCAACATACATATATATTTTTATATATCATCCTGAATGAATGCACAATAAATTGAAATAATCATTTTCATTTCATAAAAAATTGCATAAATGTTTAATATTTTCATTTTATTCTTCTTACTCTTTATATCTTCCTTTGAACTAAACAAAATATGATTGGAACCGAGATTTAGTACAAACGCGACATCGACTTATTTCACGTAGTACTTTAGTTTCATCTGGTAAATGATCTGTAATATATTGACCGACTGGTTTTTGAAATTCTGTATTATTACTAACATGACGTAGATAATAAGCTTTTGCATCTGACCAATAATTGCACAAACTCATACCATTATTACATTCTAATAATGGAGAATAACTGAAATATTCAAGACAGCTGCCAGGCGATGAAAGTTGTTGACCACCACCAGTACTTCCAACACTATGCTATTAAAAAAAGAATATTTAAAATGATATATTTATTATGTATTCATAAAATCATTTTTTTATCCTCAGTTCCAATACCATGGTTTTGAGGGATAAATCATTTAAGAGTTGTTTGTTTTATATACTGGACATAACGTATCTTAGTTAGACTTTGTTTCCTATGTGTCCATGAACAAAAACTTTTTCATTCATTATACTTTGTGATGATAGATTGGTTTTTTAGCTTTGTTCTCTATAAGTTATACGTTTAACTACCAAATTATTAAGTGTTTTTAGCTTTCTTACTGGAAGGACTTTGAAGACCGTTGGTATTAGTAGATAATTTATGACTCTAATAACTAACAGCTATAAGACTAAGCCATATATTCCTCCTAAGTAAAGTGGTAATTCATTCATAAACATCACTGGTTGTTTTTAAAAAAAACTTTATTTCTGAATATTACTAATGATTATAAAGACCGACTAAACGACAATGATCTCGCGTAATGAAAATTATGAGACAGAGAAAAGAAACAAAATATAAACTAATGTCTGGAAGAAGATATCTATACCAATTATTTTAAATATATGGCGATAGTTGGTATTAAAACTTTACAAACATTTGAACAAAGTGAAAAGGATGAGTAATTTGTGGAGTATTACATCTGTCTTTTTGGATGAAAATATAATGAAGGTAGATTTAAAATTTAAATCACCGTAGAAAATTGATACATACTGAATTCTGTCAGACCATTACTCTTAATTGTAGAGAAACACCAACATGACTTGTTACAAAATAGTAATAAAAATATAGATGAACAAAATGCTTTTCTATGATATCTCTTGATATAAAAAAATGATCAGGTGGCACTGTGATCACATTTGTATTTTCTACTTCGCCCAAGGTTTTAAAACATTATTTACGTACATGCGGGTGGCTTAGAAGTGTGTTCGATATGTTTACCTACCATAGATTTAATAAGCTATACTTTACAGAGTTAAAATTGTTCAACTGAAAAAGCGTATAGATTTATAATCTCACCATTACAAAGCTATATCCATCCCAAAGTCTTGCCCAGCCTTCTGGACAGTTAACTTCTTGAAGTTGATTTGCTTGTGCATGAAAAGCATAAGGTTGTGTTGGTGCTTCACAGACAACACACCGAGCAACTCTTCGAGTAACTTCGCTTACATCTAGTGGCATCATTGGAAGAGGTTCTGTGGTAGCTAACCAGTAAGAGCGATCAGCTCGAACACCAAGTTGACAAGATCCATCGCGAAGGCATTGGAAAAATGGCATTATACTGAACATACTTAAACATGAACTATGAGAACCTGAAAAAAGATAAACATTCGCAATTATTCATATTAGGTGGTAAGTAAATAAAAATAGGAAAAAATTCTACTTCTCAATATAATAAGAATACGAAAGTTATTTTTTTGTTCTGAATATATAAAAAGTTATCAGAATCTAATATATGAGTTGTAAGTAATTATCAAAACAAACAGGTATGATAGCAATAAAAACCTTGGCGAACCATTTTAGATAAATGTACCATACTGTATATTTCGTTTTTGTGGAATTTTGTCTACAGATTTTAATTAAATTGTCAAGTTGTTTATTAACAGTGTAAAAATAACATGTAGTAATGAACAGTGGGCAAGTTGGCTTAAATAGATTTGTATTAAGTTGTAAGTTGAGCTGTAACATATAAATTTAAAAATGACTTTACCATAGATTTTATCTTATACCTACACAAAACCTTTTTTTTTCCTTACTCTCTGAGCAAAACAGTCATAAATGATCATTGTCGATTATTTCAATCACCGACATCTAGCAGTGAATGACAATGATATCTTATTTAATCGATTACTGACCTTAAGTTGTAATACATTCTAGCTTTTTGGTAAAACACATATGTTGCTTTTTAAGCTATTTCAGTCAGTCGAATATACACTGTACTATTCAAGTAGCGAGGACCTTTCCCCAGAAGTATTTGTTGAACATTGTTGCAAAAACAAAAACATCTCAGAACATAAAGAAATGTTTTGTGATATAAAATTATTTTCATCTCACTATCTAAAATTTATACAAAAGAACAAAACAGTTTGTAGATTCAAAGGCTAATAAATAGTTAATACATACCTAAATCCATGGTTACTAATTCACCATTTCCATTAGCCATTACAAAACTATATCCGTCTGATATTTTTTGTGAACCTGGAGGACATACAGGTTCAGTGTCAGGATTTTGGAAATGCCTTGTGAACAAGTAGGTGCTCTGTAGTGCTTGACCAGGAGGACCACTGAATCCTTCAGGTCCGGGGGTCCAACATCTCCAGGCATACCTCTTGGACCAATATCACCAGGAGTACCTTTTAACCCTGGATCTCCTTTCGGCCCTGGTTCTCCAGGTTCTCTACCAGTGGGACCGGGCAATCCCATTTCTCCTTTAGCTCCTTTTAATCCCCGTAGTGCCGGCTCCCCAATCATACCTTTTTGTCCAGGTGCTCCTGGTTCACCTTTGTCTCCTTTGACTCCAGGAAGACCAATAGCATCTTCTCCAGGCATTCCATGTGCACCTATTGGTCCAGGATCACCAACATCTCCAACTTCACCTTTCATTCCAACTGTTCCTGGCCAACCAGTATCTCCTTTATCACCTCTAGGGCCCAATAACCCTGGTCTTCCGTCGTCACCTGGCAATCCAACATCCCCTGGGGGACCTGGATCTCCAATAGGACCTCTTGGGCCAATATCTCCCGGCATCCCCACTTCACCTTTTTCACCTTTAATTCCAGGATAACCTCTTTGACCCTTAGCACCAGGTAGGGCCATATCACCTGGATCTCCTGCCTCACCCTGTTCACCTTTTGGACCTAATTTATGACCATAAAGAAGGAAACAGGGAAGTTTATGAGCCACAGATTGTGAGCATTCAAAAATGTACATCAAGAATATTGGAATCTGAGTTCATTCGCCACGAATCCCTTAAAACAAATATTTATATATAAACATTTAGTGAATATCTAACGTTAGTAAAAGGATATCACTATCGTCAGTTATCATTAACTGCACAAAATAAGAAATCAACTTCTGTAATGAGGAAAGAAGTTTGTTGCATTGAAACAAAGACAATCTAATGAAATACAACCTGGATCAAATAGAAGCTGTCACATTTGAACCAAGACCAAATAGTCATAACGGGAAGTCGATGGAGTAACTTGTGGTAAGGTGAATACAAATGAGTTTCTAGTCAGTAACTTTTATCGTAGTAATAACTCTTGATTTAGACAGAATCCTCACATAGTTCAAATTAGTAGTTATGAAATTTGAAGCGGAATATGGAAGTGTAAAACCTTGATGAAGCATTTAAGTAACAGATCTTGCCCTTGTCCCAGCTGCGCAACTTTGTAGGTTTTTATTTCCTCTTCAAATCAGTCGTGCTCTTATGGTTTACAAAGCTAATTTAGTGAAGGAAGAATAAATTGAAACTAAGCATATTTACATTATTATTGTAGACTACTCATGAGTAGTATTAAAAATAGTATAACTATTTTCTTGGATGATACTAACAAGTGTCTATTGCCGTATTTCAAATACACCAACGTATGAACAGTGTTATTCATATTTATTGAAGAACAATTCTTCCCTAAGAACTTGGTGCAATAAGATCATACATTGATGAAATATATAATGGTGTTGATCTATAATGATTAATTTTCCTAACATATGGAAAGATTTGATTATTGGTGATTACATTTTATTTACATTCAGTTAACTTATTCTGTTTAGGTAAAAAAATGTATAAGAAATCATTGAATTTCTTTGTTACTTGCCAGTAAGTCCACGAAGTCCAGGATCACCTCGTTGACCTTTAGAACCAGGAATACCTCTTCCAGGTGGACCAGGATCACCAGTTTTGCCCACTTTACCCGGTAGCCCTAATAACATCAGAATTGAAGAAATAATAGTAACGGAAATATCAGGTTTCATGTTAACTAGGATATAATAAATACAATCTGAAAACGATTCATATTTTTAGCTTACGAGGACCGAAATTCCTCAGCTACTGCAGGATTTGACTGTGATTATTTTTACAATGATAAGACCTTAGAGACCTTATTACCATTAGTAAGAAGTTTTTATACGTAGGAATAGGGTTTGTAATAGTATACGAATGAGTATTATTCCTCAAGAGAACACAACTGTCTCATAGTGAACTTGATCATATATTCTGTGTTCCCATACACAAATATTACGAGGGAGTCAATGTAGTTAAACCTTTAATCATAACAGTATTTTTAAAATACTTTCAATGAATTTTCCCCCTTAAACCGATATTTATTGGGCCCCATTGAGTCAAATTAGAAATGAATTCAGTAAAAATTCGCGATTGATTCCCACGCATGACTAAATTATTGTACAATTACGAAAACCTGATAGAATTTTATGCTTCGCTTTATAGACTTGAATTCCTTAGTTTGTATGATATGTTTATCTACATTGCAATTATTAATTTCTATATTCTTACTATCGAAGAATGATCATGTTCTTACAAGGGTTTCAACAGAATATTAAAAAGTATTATAAATTACTCTGAAATACAATATATTATTATGATTACCTGTTAAACCTTTTTCACCCGGTGGCCCTCTAGGACCTTGTGGACCAGGATCTCCAATAGGACTTTCCTCAGCTGGTAAACACTGACCAGGAGCTCCAGGGAAACCCTTGGGTCCGGGTTGTCCTCTTGGTCCAGGATCACCTATAGGTCCAATATCACCGAATTCGCCTTTATCTCCCTTTCTACCTGGGTATCCATCGAGTCCAGTGATACCTGGTTCACCCTTATCTCCAGATACTCCCATCTGACCTTTGTCACCCACCCGACCTGGCAAACCTCGTAAGCCTTTTGGTCCAGCATCACCTAAATTGTGGTGAGTAGAATGAATAGAATAATGGTAATCATAAAATTATATTGTGGCAAGAATTTCAAGTAGAGATGGGTGCACAAACGCCAAAACAGACTGATCATTTTCAATCTCAAACATCAATGGGAAGATCGAAACAGCCAATATATATGAATTAAAATTGTGTTGAGGAAAAAATTATAAGTACATGGTACATGGTCACAGATTTTATCTGACCTGGAAATCCTCTGTCTCCTTTAGGTCCTGGAAGTCCAGGAATACCTCGTTCTCCCATATCACCAGGTTCCCCATCACGGCCAACTATTGTTTCTCCCGGTTCACCACGTTCCCCTTTGATACCTTTCTGACCCTTCCCCCCGGGAAAACCTTTAGGACCTGGCAAACCAGGTTGGCCTTCCTGACCGGGTTTCCCTGGACGACCTTGCAAACCTGGCACGCCTGGATCTCCCACTATTCCCTAAAAGTAGAAGTTACCAAAGCAGTTAAGATAGAGCAAAGTAACTAATATCTTGAAAAAACAAGCGCAGACATTGGTCAGGTGAACAACTGGAGAAATAGGAGTGATATCTACGTACCTTTGGCCCAATTAAACCTATTACTCCAGGAGAACCTTTAGGTCCAGGTAATCCAGGGTCTCCAGGCATCCCTGGTAGACCTTTCTCGCCGATATCTCCGACATCACCAACATCTCCAACTACTGCTTGACCATTGGTTCCTGCATCACCTGGAGGTCCACGTAAACCAGGTTTTCCGGTGGAACCTTTTTCTCCAACATCACCCTGGGGACCTCGTTCTCCCGTATCACCTTTTTCACCAAATGATTCTGCACCAGGAAGACCAGATTCACCTTTTGGACCCGGTTGACCTTCATCACCAGGACTTCCTACATTCATAAAATGATGAAATGTAATTTATTAGATTGCTTGTTAAATAGGCTTTGCTTTGTATGTGGACAAAAATCTGTAACATTAATCTCATTTTTGTAGGCATTTAGTCAGTAATCAAATGATTATGATCACCAACCTCCTAAAGAATAGGTGGAGATATCATATTTGAAGTCAAAAAAATCTCCAGGAAACGAGTTTAGCTAAAATGATGGTGATAGATCTCGATATTTCTGAAATAATTCACAAATTTATGTATAAGATTTTTACACTCAACTAAAAAACTCCGTACGAATCGGACACTGGAAAATATCGATACCTATAATGTTTTTTTTTCACTCGTAAATATGGATGATACAAATGAACTATTATGAACTGAAGAACTCATGAAGACAAGTGGTTACTTTAAATAGTTAGAACTAAGTGATTAATAATTAAGTGATCTGTCTGATGCAAATATCTTAGCTTAAATCTAAGGCGAAATGATAGATCTAACTGTTTCACAGGAATCTGTATCTAGGTATAAGTGACAAATGAATATTTAATGACGATATTGACCATGTGCGTCTTTAAGGAAAGTAACCTAGGTTACTATAAAAAATCGTATTTGTCTAGTCGTGTTAACAGGATATACTTTAAAAAACTCTCAGCACCACACTGTTGATAAATAAGATAAAAGTTTCTACACTTAAGCTTTTAATTCGTTCTTTACTTGATTATTAGAATATTTCCATTAAATAATCCATCCTGTTTTTAGATTAACAAGCTCAAACTCGCAATCACTTTTTCCAAGTAAAGTTGGTTAAAAATGCGTACGTGTTTATGTTTTTGCGAAGTCATTAATCTTCATACTCTCTTGCTAGACGTTGCTTTCTGACCTTCTTGATGTTCAGAGTTCCGAGAAAGCCAATCGTGCTTCTTATTCATTTGCGTTATTCAACAGTATCCATTTTACCATATAAATCCATTCCGTTGCATCATATTTGCAAAGTTTGAAAATTATAAGTTACTTATAAAAATTATCAATCTCCTTATCAAATACAAAGATAACGCCCAGTGTACTACCTGGTGGTCCTTCGAATCCTTTTGGCCCAGGTGTTCCTTCAAAGCCTTTAGGACCAGTAGTTCCAGGACGGCCAGGAGGACCAGGATCGCCCGAAGGACCATCTGGTCCAGGTAACCCTGGTTCACCCCTCAAACCTTTTTCACCTGCAAAGAAGGAAATGTAAAAGTAAGATTCAATAATTTCAAGTGATTTGAGGAGGGATAATCATTAACTGTGTTTAACTTCAAATTTAAACTATGGATTAACATACTTTTCAAATTTCAGTAAATAATTTTTAAAGAAAAAAGTACTTTAACATGTACATCCAACCGCCTACTGTTTTAGGGTGATATGCGATAAACTGAGTATAGTTTAAAAATAAATGCACTAGTTCAGAAATAATGACGGTTAACTTACCTGTCCGTCCAATTGGACCTGATGGTCCTCTCTCTCCTTTCGCACCTCTTAGTCCAGGTTCGCCTTTTTGACCTTCTGGACCTTCTGGACCAGGAAGTCCAGGTTCTCCTTTGTCCGCTGCTCCGAGACATCTGCCTTTATCTCCAGGTATACCAGGACGTCCAGGCAAACCTAAAATATAATATAGAAGGTATAATTAACTCTGTAGTAAGATAATATTACTAACAAGTTATATTTTACCAAAAATTCCCTTGATATGCTGCTGTACTTAGACTTAAGTTACTCCTTACTAGTAGCAAAATTTTTAAAAGTGGTAAGTTAGTCAAAGTAAAATATGTGTCAACTCATGCACTACCTCAAAGTTGTTCAATTTTCACTTTCGAAAGTAACGATCAAAAACAGGCGTTAGATTACAATGAACTATACTTAATAATTCAGGTTCAAATCAATTCCAGTAGCTGAACCAGTATCAAAAGACAGATATATTACTTATAAATGAAATGTTTCTTAAACATAACTTACATATTTCATATTCTTTTATTAAACATCAGTATTTGAAGTTTCTTGATTCCACTTTTTAGAATTTTACCTTTGACCTCACTAACAGACGTAATACTTATTAAAATGGATACGGTTTGAATAAAAACGGTACACATAACCATTTAATCACGTTTATCTGTTGATTAAACACACCTGGTTCTCCACTATCTCCTGGATCACCCATAATTCCCTTAATACCAGCTCCACCACTTGGACCAGGATCACCTTGAAGTCCCGGCAGACCAATATCTCCACGTTCTCCTGCTAATCCAGGTCTTCCATCTAATCCTATTGATCATAATAATGATATTAACAATAATAAATAAATAAATAAGCAAATGTATTTTATGTTAACTCATTAAAAACAACTCAAAATTAATAACTTATTTTAAAAGTGCATGCAATTATTTGAATAACGGCGTTAAAACATAATATTTCTCTTAAAACATGGGCTATTTCACAAAAGTGCAATAAAATGATTGGATAATAATACTCTTAACTACAACGTAATTTTTACCTGGATCTCCTGAATCACCAATCACACCAGGGTCTCCTTGTGAACCTCTAGGACCCGGTATACCTGGCCGCCCGGGTTCACCACGTTCTCCAGGGATTCCAGTTCCAGGTTGACCAGGCAATCCTTTTTCTCCTTTTGGACCTGTGGAAGTTATTAAAATTATTGTTTGTATAAAAACTTTGCCCTGTAGCATTCAAAAATAGACCAATTATTCAACATATGAGCAACGTACAAAATATGTTTTTCACCTTTCACTGATAAATTGATTCATATAGAGGTTTTGGTGATGATATCCAAACCATTATTCATCTTCTTCTCAACATTTAATCATATAAAGAATTTAATCTGAATATCTCCAACTTTAAATAAAACATCACACCCATTCACTCTTAAAATTTCCAGAACTTTTTTGATTAAAATGATATACCTTTCAAAATCAGTTATTTTACAGTTCCTTAAGTCTCACCTGGGTAACCACGATCTCCTACAGGACCAATATCACCTACATCTCCTTTCACCCCAGTAACTCCAGCGGACCCTGGTTCTCCTGGGCTACCCTGTTCACCAGGATCACCTAAAGGATGAAACTAGAGTCGTTAGATCAAGTTAAATTATTTTAAAAAGTTAACATTTTATAAAGAAACAGTAACTTTTTTACCAATTAGGAGGTCAGTAAAAGGTAAACTAATAAGTATAGTGAAACAATACTATATGATTAATACAACTTTAGTAATTTTAGTAGTTAGTATGTAGAAAATGGTTCAACAATATTAGACTTTGATTACGCATCGCAAAATAAAGCCACTACAATAACCAGTTAGTAGTGATTTTTTTCAAGTATAATTAATAATATTGATTACCACATACACCTTTGTTTTTATCATCATCTGTGTGAGAAGCTACAGATCATTAATTTAGATAATAAATGTATCTTCATTAATGTTTAAGAAGTTGGACAGACGTACTATCCGCTACACAATAGTTGTGGCTGGGATAATAGTACAGAAGGATGATAAGATTTATTTTTGTTTATTGAAATATTTCTTCTTCTATATGAGATAGCATACTATTAATGTAGCTGTTGGAAATGAAATTTATCTTACCTGCTTCACCTACAATTCCTTTTATCCCAGCTGGTCCAGGTATTCCTGGGAGTCCTTTTATACCTCTAATCCCACTATCTCCAGGTTGACCAGGTGGACCTTCATCACCTGGTTTTCCTTTATCTCCTCTTGGTCCAGGTTCACCTTTGGGTCCACGATCACCTTTTTCAACTAAACAAGAAATAAGTAGATATTAAAAAACAAATGAATGGGTTTGATGAACTTATAAAAGAAAGTAGTACATAAAAAAAGTTTTGTTTAAAAAAACAATTAACTCTGTCGTTTTGGCTAATAGCTTGATCAATTAAAATAAAAATGATATGTGAAAATGTATTCACATCTTAAGAGAGATTATAGATGTATAACTGTATAATACTGAAAATATGTAAATAAATAAATAAATATATTTGTAATATGCCAATGAGTAGAAAAATTATATTTTCTGACGTTTAATGACTCAGTGTAAGCTACTTCTTCAGGGAATTTATTCTCTTACACTCCGCTTACACTGAGTCACGAAACGTCGGAAAATCTAATTTTTCTACTCATTGGGATATTACAAATATATTATTTTTATTTATAACAATCTACTCAATGCTCAATTTATTAAAAATGATCAAATCAAACTTTGACAATGATACCTACAAACTCACTGAAAATATGTGCTCATACAGTAAATTATTGAGTTGTTAAATTGTTAAATACTACTTATTTCAGTTTATTTAAATATGATTGCTAACTTAACTGTAAATAAATCATGTAAAAATTGGTGTCTTTTTAAAATCATTTTTTGTTTATTTTAAAAATCAAATAAATCCTTATCTTCAGTCTTTAGCTTTGCGCATGACGTTTTGTTCTCTTGTGTTCAAATTGATGTGTAAATTCAGCCTAGGGTTGTTAAAAGCAGCTAGGGAGTCGAATCAAGCGTTCATTTAGCAAGAATTATCAGGTTATATATTGCTAGATAGTTTATATATTAGTCAACATCTAGTCCGATATGAAAATGAATGTTTTGCAGCTCGGGTCGTACAATTAAGTTAAGTCATTGAACACTAACTTGCTCGAAAAATACTACATCTCTCACATTGTATGCGTATACAGGCCATCTTGATCTATTGTATTCAAATTTGAAAATAACCAGTGAAGGAGGTAATTGTATCGTACTTGTTTAGAAATTAGACTTTCGTATATTCAATTATTAGATACGAAACTAAGCTAGTGCTATTGATTTCACGAAAATTCAGATTATCAATAAAAGCATTTCATATTTTATTCAAAATCATTGGAAACTAGGGTAGGACTCTAATTTATGGACGAGCCAATCAGAAGTATTTGAGGAATTTCAAGGCTATGGCGCTAAGTTCAATGCGAGATGCTCTCATTCGATCGTTTTACAGCAGATTTTAGAGAAGAGGTGATTGTTGAGCGGCTACAACAGATGGGACTATTAAGAAGTTCCTGTATCTGTGACTGCGGCAATCAAATGACTGCAGCACGATGTGCAGACTACCGTGATGACATTATACTTCGTTGTACTATATATTGGAGAAAAACATCTGCTCAAAATGGCACTTTCTTTGCCCGGTCACGACTCAGGGTAAGACAAATCATGATAATTGTTGCAAATTGGATCATAAAGTCTCCAGTAACATTAGCTGCGGCTTTTGCAGATGTTACGGAAACTTCCGCCGTTCAGTGGTACGAGTATTGCCGTGATATATGCGCAATGAAAATGACACGAGCACATGAATCATTTGGAGGAGTTGGAAAGATAGTGGAAATAGATGAGAGAACAATATTGAAGGCATGTGGTCTAGGCTGAAGTATTTTTTAAGACCCTATTACGGCTCCAGAGGACGATTATTATGGAGCCATATGGACGAGTTCCTATACCGCATGCATTATGACTTCAAAACTTCTGAACCTTTATCAAACCTAAACAAGTTCTTAAATCATGGAAAAGAAGAATATCCATTGTAATTCATCAGTTCTTTATAATATATTTTTACTTTATACTTTCTTCTGATTGGCTAATCTTCTCAAGGTCACTTAAAGATACGTTCAAAGGTCGTTCATGAAATAGAGTTTCACCGAAACTAGTTATCCATTTAAGTTTATTTGTCACTTAAAATATCGATCTGATAAAATTCATGAAGTTTTGGTACTTTTCCTTCTCTAACTTCTCATTAAAAAGAGGAAAATGTTTAATTTTTATTCAGTTGTTAGAAAATAGATTTTATGTTCCATAAAGTCTTTAGAATCTTTATTCACTAAAAGAACTGTTAATGAACATACCAGTTAGATTACGACTTTGAATAACATTCACAGTACAATTTCCAGGTTCTCCAGAATCGCCTAAATCACCTTTCAATCCAGGACGTCCAGGTTGACCTTTTTCGCCTTTATCACCGAATCTAACATCAGCTGTCGCACCTTTGTAACCTTTTTCGCCTAGTATACCTTTAGGACCTTTCTGTCCAGGTAAACCTCGTAAACCAGGGTCACCCTGAAGGGGAAAAAACAGTTCACATTTAGATAATATTAACAAACAAATTAATTATCACCTTTTAATATCTGACAACATTATAAATATGAGCTACATCTATTCTATATAAATCAACAGAAAATAGATTTAATGAAATATGCACTAAAAATCCTACAGGTAGTCAGTAATGCATATAACGGAGTAATTTTTACAAGTACCAACCTGTGGTCCTTCTAATCCACGTTCTCCTTTTTCCCCTGGAGAGCCTATAATACCCTTGATCCCTTTGTCGCCTTTGACTCCATCCACACCTGGATAGCCTTTAGGGCCTTTTAGAATTCCAGTGTATTCTGTTCTTGTTTCACCTGGTTCACCTTTGAAACCTTTCGGTCCAGGCAGACCATGTTCACCCTGATCACCCTAAAGAAAGATTAAGAAATCAAATAATACATGATGAAATTTATGTACAGCTAACGATAAAATAAAGTAATAGTAATGTCAGGTAGTCGTATAAACGATCATTAACATATTTAATATGTTTAATAACTAATTATATTGATTATCTAAGGTAAATATCACACAATATTGCATTCGCACATAGGGACAAAAACAAAATAACTTCTAAGTATTGGTCCTAGTTAGTTCTTTCAAGCATTTCATTAGAGTACGATTTACGGTAACTATATAATCTAGAGGAGTAATAAACTTTAATGAATTATTGGTGAAACAACTTCTGGAAAGACAACTTATTGACCGAAGTACTCAACTTTGGACCAGTAGGTCGCACGCCTGAACTCGGTCCTCCTTATGTCGACTACAATAACCAAATTGTTATAATGTGAATATTTTGATAATAAACTAGATGCAGTTATTCATGATAAAATCGAGTGGTTATTTATTTGTACTTCTTGGGTTTTGTAGACTGAAGTCAGTAAATGATCTTGTCCTTCTGTGTTCTTTATATCGAACGAAAAGATGTCTTAACACAAAGAGGTAAAATTAACATCTAAGTAAACTTACTTCATAACCCTGTGAACCCGTACGACCTTGATTCCCAGGAGCACCGCGACTTCCTCGTTCTCCTTTGGCACCATCTCGACCTCGTGGACCTGGAAGACCAGCTGGACCGATATCACCTTTTCACCCTTTGCCCCAGGTATACCAGGTATACACGCACTACATCTTTCTCCAGGTTCACCTAAATATTCAGGATTAGCAGTAATGTACCAAGTATACAGTGAGTTTTAATATTATTCGGTACTAATCAGTTATATGTTCAAAAACTTGGAACTATACTTCTTTCCGGTTAAACCACTTGTATGTTGATAGCTACTTTTCTAAGCTAAAAATGCAAATAGTAGGTTAGTTTATTGGTTCATCATTTAAATGATCATTTATTTTTTGGTCAACGTGTTACTACTTATTAAGTATAGCCAATCAATTACTTCAGTTTCATGAGCTACTATCAGCTAATTGGGAACAGTGTTCATAAACCATTTGTTGTGAAAGTTTATCAATATTCCAACCGGTTTTATATTGTGAACTTTAATCCCTACGTATTGATATGATTTCTTCATCATTAATTAATACAATAGTTATTTACGTTACCATGTTAAAGTTAAGAAGCACTCCTCAGTAATTTATATAATTAACTGACCTTGAGGCCCCATGGGACCTTGTTTTCCATGTTTGCCAGCTAAACCATCCAATCCACGTTCACCTTTTTCACCTGGTGGACCAGGACGACCAGATCCTTTAGTACCTGGCAATCCACGTTCACCCTTTAAACCCTTTGGACCTTTCGGACCTTTAATAAAAAATCGACAACGATTTATTACATGACAAAGTATATAGGTAAATTTGAAGAGTAGGTATACAAATATGTGTTGTTTGATCATATGTTTATCCTACCATCAGATGGATGTCCGAATAAACTTAGCTCTGCTAGATTAAAAATATTATCATTGCTATTAGTTTCTTGTTTGTTTGAAATTGTCCATGTTTTTATAACTTTTGCCAAAGTAATAACGCCAGAGCTTTAACAAAGATCAGATAAATAGTAATTCAAATTGAAAGTAAAATATGAAAGAAACTAAGAATGCTAGACTAGTTTGTAGTATGATATATATTACTGTCTAGATGCCATGATTCAACTGGAATTCATCAACACACTATAAAAATGGATACTTATAGAAATATGTTTAATAAAATTAATTGTATATTTGAAGCAATCTAAGAAAATACAATAGGATGAATTCCTTATACATATATATCTATTCCACTCCATGAATGGAATTACAGAGATATTAAACATATATTCACTGTTATTATCAGGTACCTTATTTTTATATACACACTCTTATTGATATTTTACCCGTACACTACCCATAGTTAATTTCATTAATTTCGATAAAATACATTCAAATCAATAAGCTACAAAACAATCAAAGACATATGTAAAAACAGACTTATCACAATAATTTTAGCTATTGTTCCTTGTTCTATGTTTTTGTTTTCTTCTATCTAGTTGTAGATGAATTACCTTCACTATACTATTCTTTCTCAGACATGACGTCATAGTCCTCCTACTAAGAAAGTGTCCTTTTGAAACTATTTGTGAACGTCTTTTCTGATAAATTACCCTAATATCTCTGTCCCTTCATGTAGCAAAATGATCATGCTTTCAAATCAGAGTACCTTCTGTAATTATTCAGAATATAATTAATTTAATTTAATAATCATGCTAATGGTGAGTTTAAAACTATTGTGTTCGAATCTATTATTATCATAAAACTATTCGTATTTATAATATCGAATATTCTGAGTAAAATCTATAACCGTACATTAGAATGACTATCAGTTGTTGACATCAGTTGAATGATTTAAGTCAGATAAATCGTTAAATCTTAACGAAACTTTTCAATGTAGTAAGGAGATGTATCGAAAAATTAATGTTGTAATTGATATAGGATCTCTTGACTAGTCCAAAGTAAACAAAAAATTTATAATTATCTCAAGCATATATGGTCTAAAAACATAGATTTGAAAGTATGTTAGAAAGTTCGCTACTTATCATTTAAGCTTCTGATTTAAAACTTCAGTTACTATGGAAATGCAACTCACCTTGAGGCCCATCATAGCCTCTATCTCCAGGATCACCCGATGCACCTCTGTGACCAATACCCGGTTCTCCTTTATCACCTGGCAGTCCATCATCACCTGGACTCCCAGGTAATCCAGGTAAGCCAGTTCGTCCGTCATCACCTGAAAGAAATCATCATGTGGTGAACGATAAATTTACTTTCATTTTTTAAATGTTGAGAAATAAATTAAAATATAGTATGAGTTGGATAGTTGGTATCTTGTGATACTTGTAAAAGATTGTTGGTTATAAGAATAATTCTTATTATTCAGATTTCAGGTATAATAATAACCATCCGTCTGATTGGGATTCACTGACAATATTAGGTGTATGAGAATAATTCCAAACTAAATATTTTACTTACCAGGTGATCCTTTTGGACCCGGTGGACCAGGTGGTCCAATGGGACAGTCAAATCCAGGGTCGCCAACCGGTCCTTGTGGACCAATCAAGCCTTTCAGTCCCCTGTCTCCTATGGATCCAGGAATTCCAGGAAATCCTTTCTCTCCAGGTTCTCCAGGTATACCACGTTGTCCAGGTCTCCCAGGTAAAATACCTGTGCATTCTGTGGTACCCTGAAACGCATTAAAATGAATTAAAAAGTGTTTTTTATTACACAGAATAGTATTCATAACTGTAGAAACATGTTTTTAGTTTCCAATTGTTTACTATGAGGAAAATATAGTTAATCTGAAACAATTTTGAGGTGTTATAAAGGCACATTCACAGTTATCACAAAAGCTATTGATGCCGTCGCATCATATGTATGTCATTATAATTATTAACACGGCTATCTCATAAATGGATAGTCTTGTGACTGAATTATTTTCGTTTCAACTTCTCGTTTAGTGTCACTTCTAAAATGCTTGCGGAGGAAATAATTGTAGCCACTGACTGGAATCATCAGGAAGGACGTTGAAAACTAGGTGAAAGTGAACAGCGATTACATACTAGTTTAAAGCTTTTTAACAGTATACATCAGTCACTTGAAAACAAATCAAACTAAGAAGCATGCTATGGCCATGATTCAGATAGAAAGCTGCTGTAGAACTTCTTGATTTGCATTTTTAACTACAGCTAATCCACGATCTGGTATGTCTGTAATCCATTGCTGTCAACGATAACTGTCTTTCACGGCATAGTCAAACTCCATTACTTAGATACTCAATGGTCCCTGATTTTCAGTGGTTCTCCAGTCGATGGCAATCCGTTATCTGAACTATTTCCAAACCTAACTTCCACAAGCCTCTCAACTTAACATATGACTTTGTGTTAAAATTTCCAATAACATGACAACATTTTGTAAATTAGTTATTTTAATCTGCCATTCATTTTTCTAGGATAAAGCCCTTCAATAATGATTACGCGTTTTTTAACACGGGACATTTTGTGATGAATACTCTTATCAATGAAACCTTCCATATCTAATGAAGGCATGAACTTAATGACCTCAGTCCAAATGATAATAAACTAATGTAATTACAGAGATCAAGGTTTCCACCAAACAGATCTATTTACTTACCCCAGGTTCACCAGGATCTCCAACAAATCCACGTAGTCCATCTGCCCCTGGATCTCCAGGTAAACCTTTAGGACCTGGAGGACCACGATCACCAATCAAACCATCACGTCCTTGACCACCCTAAATCAAATTATTCGAAGGATTCGTTAGTTGTAGTTCAAATAACCAGCTCATGTATAACAGGTTTTACATTTTGTCGTTAAAAGTGCGGCATTCGTAGCCTTTTCTTTTATTCAGTATGATGAAAAATGTTAATCTTGATGTTAGTTTAGATTAATAAAATAGGTTCACTTCCAATTATATTTGAACTTTCCAGTTTCTTCATTATGATGTAGTAATAGATAAATATTTTCAATACTTAAGTACCTAGTAACGATAAATCTTGTTTAAAATCACTTGGTTCTGACGATAAATCTACTATTAAGAGGAGTAGTATTAGCCTATATAACAAGATCTGTGCTAACAAGAAATCATTTTAAATTTTTGACTGTGAACAAAATTTAACAAAAACTTGTGGACTATCCCAATAACGGAATGACGTCTTTTGTTATGATGTTTCTCAAGTAAAACAATGTGCTTTTATTCTGTACACAGTTTTTACCACATTTATAATTTGACAGGTCAACTTACTTTAACACCCGGTTGTCCTGCACTTCCTTTAATGCCTTTAGGACCCTGGAAAAGAATGGTGAAAGGAATAGCAAAGTAAATCATACTACTTGTAAACAGTAAGTAGTGCCATCAGTGCTTTAATTGATATACATTTTTCAGAAATTTTCTTATTGAGTAATTCATCCTTTGGTATCACCCGATTTGTCGTCACTTATATTGTGAATCAGTATATATATTTTTATTTTCAACCCAAAATTTAACTACTGTAAAAACGCTGATAGTAAAACAGATGTATGTATTACTAACAATCACAAAGTCTTCAGATAAACGTTTAATTTAAAAATATAGAAGTTCGTATTTATTTTATCATTCTTTTAACTTACCAGCGGCCCATCGGGACCTGGAAGTCCTTTCACTCCCGGCAAACCAATAGTTCCATCTATGCCCTATATAAAAATTGATAAAATATTCAATAACCAGTTTTAGACAATCAAGTTAATTATTATTATTTCAATGAGAGTATCGTGTAATATTTTGGAACAATGATAATCTTTTATGATTTGAGGAATTCTTTTGGAAAATCATACTTATTCTATCGTATTCAGATCCACAAGTAGTATTTCCACAACTGCTTACGTTTAATACTTGGATAAAGAATGTACTAATAGTTTTTTTCATTACATAATTGAAAAGAATCTCAAAAGATTTGTGAAAACAAGTTACAACGTATTTCCCCACAAACAAATAACTTTATTTTTGTTACAACAAGCCGGATTATCAGTTACTCTACGTCATACATTTTATTCTTGATTAATAAATTGGTATGTGACAGATAACTAATTCAGTCACACCACTCCCATTTGTCTATAAGATAAATAAACTTCAATTTAGAAATTCAAGTACCAAAATAGTTGACCAGTGGTGTTGTCTTTAAAATTCTATTTTTTTAGAATGAGGGGAATAATTTCATGGGCATATAATCAGTTTGAATAACTCAGTTATCTCAGTATTTTACCAAATCAACTAAGTTTTAATGATTCAATTTCAAAATAGAACAGAAGTTCATTAACACTAAAAGGCAAACGTTAGGTGGTTGAAGATCTATTTGACTCTGATCTGCTGTAAGACAGAAGGTCAGTCAAAGATGGAATTTCCCAGTGGCAATGTCTCGGATAGTGAAGCTTGGTGACATAGAGTCGAATTTAACAGGAAGCACTAGGTCATCGAAGGCAGCATAAATACCCTGATGATTAGTGTCAAATAGCATCAAACCAGGTCTAGAATTTCCTATCGACTACATTCGGATATCCGTAATTTCAACCTAGAGCACGTGATATAAAATCAGGTAGACTAGCAACCTCAGTGCTACTTGATCTATAGAATTCGATCAGTAGTGAAAGAGCTAAAAAAACATGACAATGACCCCTACCTAATGATCAAACAGTTGTAACTTAAGGATAAACCTTGTTTATCGCAATATGAAATAGGCTTCTCATAGTAACATAAGTACAGACAATACATTTGTAAATGACTCTATACACTTACTCTTATTCCTTTCGCTCCTTTGGAACCTGGATAGCCTTTAGGACCAGTATCACCCTATTAAAAACAAAAATAAAGATAAAGCAAAATAGTTTGTAAATTTTCCATTTTTAATGCTTTTCAACATTTCATTATATTTTTCAGTACGGGGTTGTGTAGAATGTTGAATTTCATTGAAACTGTTATAATTCTCTCCTACGGTTATAACTCAGCTTAGTATTCTCAGACACCGATTCACTCGACAAGTCCCCAAACCAGAACACGGTTGAACAGGAAAAGAGATTATATTCCAAACAACAAGGTTAGATGGAAGTAAGAAGCAAGCAAGCGCAATAGGGAAAACGTTAGTATATTTATAACTTTTCACATGAGATTTCTAGTGTTCACTAAGTACTGGCTAACGCTGATTGGATAAGAATTAGCCAATCAGCGTGTATTGAGCATGCTTTAATTCAGTCGATGTCCCGCTAACAGAAACCATAAGCATTAACATTACCACAGGTAGATGCTGGTTCAGTGGTTCAGAGATCAAGTGTCCGAGTCCCGTGTATGAGCGCGGATGCTCACTGATGAGGAGTCCCACACTAGGACGAAATGGCAGTCTAATGCTTTTAGGTTTAAAATTGATCGGTTTGTGGTTTCAGTAATGTTTCATAATATGTGTAATATAGATAAGTAAAGTGAAAAAACAGTAGATTACTAGGAATTAAAAAAATTAGTGATTTCATTATAAATTAATGGTTGAGAATGGGATCATAATCTGTTGATACCAATTGATGACGGTCAGGACTGGCCCACAAATTTATGGGGATATGATTTAGCTTATCCCATTTCTAATTATTTCAATTCTAAATGGTTTTCTGTATACCTTATACTAATCCAATAGATAGGTTGAGATTGATGGAAAGTATAGCTTTGTGCAAATCTGTGACAAACTACGTACATTCTGTAAAATAAGTAAATACTTATCAAAAATAACACATACTCGATCGCCAGCAGGTCCAATTAGAGCTTTACGGCCTTGTTCCAACGTGGTAACTGAACAATTTCTGCCTGGATCTCCAGGATCCCCAGGTGCACCTGGGGCACCTTTTACAGGTGTATAAGTGTCAATGATACTTTCTCCGGGTTCACCAGCTTCGCCAGGTACACCGAAGTCACCATCTTCACCCTGTTATCAAAAATAAAGATTTTGAAAAATATACTTTATTGAGGAAGATTCCCAGAATATGAATCATAGAAATCGAAAGATAATACATTCTGAAAGTGTTTATCCAAAAATTTAGACTATTCTACAAGAATTAAACTTTCTTTCAAATCAGTCCAGTTAAATCAAAAATAAAACAGGAATAAAAACCTGTTTATTAATTAAGCAGAACCGTAGAAATCGGATTTCAGTCATTACTACTCTGTTTAAGCAATATAAGTATCGTGCACACAAAAAGTGACAGTTTAAAATTACTCAACTCATTGTGCTTTAATTAGGTGGATGGCACTAACATTTATGTAGCATATATACCTAATTCAATCAATATATAACTTTTTATTTACATATCATTACAGATTCATAGTTTCTGGTGGAGTTTTGTTCTCTGAGCTGGATGGTCTGGTCATAGATCCTACATCGTTCTTCTGAACGACATCATCAGCACAAACCATCTAGCTCAGAGAACAAAACTCCATCGAAATCTTCTCTACCATTTCAGATTCATAGTTATTATGGCTGTCTATTTAGTTCATGGCATTTTTAAGATTCCACCACAAATCAATATTCATCCTGTATATGTGCTACTTGAATAAAAAAAGAACAGAAAAAGTTTTTTGAAAAAAAATGCTTAGGCTTAAGCAAACATGAAATGTTTATAATTAACTCATTTTAAGTTAAGTTAGGTAGACCGAAGTTTAATTCATCGATGTATAGTGACTATGCAAGAACAAACTTCATGAACGAAAACAGTTATAGATTGAATAACAATAGTAACTAACTGAAGTAACTATTCAAGTAATAGAACTTTTATTTAAAGAAAATCATGATTTATCAGTTATTTACGGAAAAGTAAAATATTACAATTGACTGTGAAAAGTAATCCTTTTAAATATTGAAGCTCAACCAACCAAAACACTATAGTTCAAAAGTTAAATTTATATAAAATATACATTTAGCTAATTAATCAAGATCAGTCATAGTTGTGAAACGATATTAGGATCTAATAGTAAACTATGAAAATTGTTTCTACCTCTACAAATTCTGTCATCACGTTCTACATTATTGAATACACTAATGAAATAATATAGTGATCATTTCTGATACAAAAGCATCTATTTGTGAATATATACTACTGAAAAGTCTCAAAAACAAGATGAAATAGTTACTCAGGACTTTCAAATATGACTAAATCATTTTTAAATAAAGAATAGAGCAAAAAAATTAATGAAAGATAAACTGTAGAATATTCTTACTCTGTCTCCTTCTAATCCAGGCAATCCAGGGTCACCACGTTCACCTTGAATTCCATCATCACCCTAAAAGAATAGTAAAAATAACTAGGTAAAAAATGGATGATTGTATCTAAGGTTCGACCAGTAATTTAATCATTTCATTAGTAATCTAAATGGATATTTATTCTCTTTTCCAAAGTACCGTAAAACTCCAAAACTGTACTGTTGAATGTGTTCGATAAAGAATCTACCTAAAAATCACTTATTTATTTATTTAAATATGATAACAACTTTATAACTTCAGAGTTTATTGCTTCTCGAGAAAAAACTGTATTTGTCTGCCTAGCTATAAGAAACGACATTATTAATGTAACAAACTCTAAAAATGTAACCATCTTGTTTATGTAAGAAACAACAATAGTAGAGTAAACACTTTGTACTAACTTCAACTAGCTAACTAATGCTCCACTTTCAAGTCTTTTGTATATCTGCTTACTTTCAAAATCACGGCAGTTTCTTGTCAAATTCATATTTATTGTATGAATAATACAAACTGTTATCCATGTTTTCTTTACTCATTAGTAATGATATATCACAATATTTCATTAAAAACAATATTTTTAAACATTTGGATGTTTCTTATTTTCTAAATGCTCATAGATAAGTTACATCAAAATCAGTGTGATTTATAAAATTGTTGAGTTTTTGGAATACTTAACTCACTTTTGGACCAACATTACCAGGTTCTCCTTTCGGACCCTAAGGATTAGATAAAAAAAACAAATGGAAGCAAGAATCAACTGGATGATGTACATGGAAATAAAGACAATCATATTTAAAAGCGGAATATAAAATTATTATAGTACAGACCACACATGTATACAAATATATTGGATATAATGTGTACATTAGCGACCATTCAACCAATCAAATTACTATTCAGTTTGAAAAGTAACTGAATATTGTCTATTCAGTCAGTTATGGGCAATAGAGGACTTTGGATATATATATATATATATATATATATATATATATATATATATTTGCCGAAAACAATATAACGGATAAAATTTTATACATCGTTTCTGATATTCTCGATTACATGTGTGATTAAAAACAGAACTAACTGGTAGTCCTCGTCTCCCAAATCCAGATTCACCAGGATCACCACGTTCACCATCGATACCAGGCAGTCCTCGATCACCATCCATACCCTGTCTTCCAGGTTCACCTTTTTCACCTGGATCACCCTAATAAAAAAACACCAATAAAATAAGTTGGAGTAAAGCAGTGGTATAAATATATAGCTGGAGATTTAGTGAATGAACTCTCATATAATAACGGATTTTGAATCGATAATTAGGTTGTCGTGATGCAAAATAAACATAATAGATAAATGTATAAAAACTTGTAAAAATTACAATGAAGAGAAAAGTGAATAAAGTTATGTACTACTAGTTCACCATATGAGTGAATCACGTGTGGAGGGAGACAACACTCACTTTTCCTCCAGGGCAACCAGCAATACCTTTGGCACCTTTTTCACCTGTTTCTCCACTCTCACCCTGTAAGTAAACAATAAAAATCATTTGAATTTTGTAAATACAAAAATAAATATTTTTCAATAACTAAAACAACTTTTAATGTGTTAGTCAAAAGAGATATATTCTTGATAGGTTTTTTTACTTACATGTTCACCATGCATTCCTGGTGAGCCGAAATCCCCTGATGGACCCTGCGAACAAAGAATAAGAAAATAATGGTTCCTATAACATATATAATAATATAAGGTTGAAACAAAAAGATACTGGAATTTCAGTTCAAAAATTTATAAATGAATTAGTTTCATGTTGTTTGTAGTGGTTAGTTGAAGTACACACTGAGTACCAAGAGAAACTACAATAAATTTAAAATGAAATCAGTTTTGTAGATTATTGTATAACATTATTAAAGAATTACATTCAATGTTTTATTTTAAATATCTTTTTTGTTATTGTAGTTTCTAACTCACTCAACCACATAAATAAGAGAGGAAACGCTAAATTACCATAGTTTACAGACCTCAACACGTATAAAACTGGGAGATTCTTGCTACAGAGCTGAATGAATTGATTTATACTAAACAATGATAGATATATGAACAATTATTTGGTGAAAAGAAGCCTATACAATCAAGATCATATGCAAACAGCATAAACCAACTAGGTAACAATTACTTCTTTAAAATACATCAAGTAATTTAGGAAAACAGCAACTATGCAATTTCCATAGTTTTCTTAATAGATTGAAGTTAATGATAATTTGTATGCTAACCATAAAATTTGTCTAACTTTATCATTAATTTATATTGTCAATATTTGAATATATTAATTATTAGTCAAACGAAAACAAAAATTTTCCAATGGTTAGCACGACATAACTACATTATCATTCATCTACTTTAGAATGTTGAGCGAGACTATAATTTATGGACGAACCAGTCAGGTCTAAGATAATAGGTCTCGGATTTTTGGCGCATAATTCACTCATCCATTTGGCTAAATAGCGTCTTGGCATTATAGCTGATGTCAGTTCATGATGAGAACCCCAAATCTAATTACTAACCATCAACTGCAAATCATAATTCTAATTCCTTACACAGGTTTATAACCCACATTTGGTCCTAGATATTAAGTGGATAATCTTAAGGTCAGACTAGCTCAAAGGTCGTCCATAAATTATAGTCTCACCGGATGTTGATATTAATATTGAATTAAACTATACAATGTATTACTATGTTAAATATTGATTCAAAATATACTCAAAAATTAAATTAACTTGAAGTTAAAAACAGTAGAAATAAAGTGATCCAGATGAATTCGATGAGCTTTTTACTTTCATTGATTCATCATTCATAGTGAATATTAGTGTACAGTTTAAATGCACAAAACAAAAATGGTGTCAATTATACAGATATTTATACTTTATACGAATACTCGTTAAAATCTGAATGAACATTTTCCATTGAAGAAGTTCGAACCGGAATACTAGATGAAACGACGGACTATTTAAACACAATTTATGCATTTAAGTCATTTATACTGTTTGGATATCTCAATCGCCATCATCTATTTGATTATTTCATACTGAAACATGTGCGTCACCGGTATAGATAAATGAATTATAACCCTTCTTTATACTTACTCTTTCTCCAACAGGACCATCAACTCCATCTTGTCCAGGATCACCTTTCATACCTCTTAGTCCCGGTGGTCCCTGTTCACCTGGATAACCTTTAGGACCGATAGGTCCAGGTGGACCTCGAGGACCTGGGTCACCCTAAATACAAGATTTTAAAAAGTTCGAAAGAAAAATAAGTTTCTCAATAACAATTAAGATAAATGAAATCAAAATTCATTTGATAAATTTGCTTACCTGTGGTCCTTGTGGTCCAAAACATCTGCAAAAATTGTAATCACATCTTACGGAACAATCGATATCTCGACGAAATTGCTGAAAATACATAAATGATAATAAAACTGTATCCATTTAATAAACTACATACCGATTGTGCAAAAGGAATTCCACTGAAAGTAATGACCGTGACCAGAAATATAAATGTCCTATAATGAAAGAAAACGAAACGATCGGAATGAATAGAAATTAAATTAAGCAGTGAATTTTGATGTTGGTTTAGTTTTTTTCTACATATAAACTTACAAAAGTTTTGCTCTGATATAATGAAGATCAATATTGTTTGCCTGTTTCTGTCGTGACAGCAACAGCATATGCATTGGTCTGGATTCTGTTATCAATAGTAATATTCTACACGTATATAGAAAACAAGACAATAAAAAATATCAATTCTTATCATAGACAGAAAATTTTACTACTTAATTAAATCATGAAATAATGAAAAAGACCTTATCGTTCAGCAGATCTTTTTGGTAATGTTGGATTATTTGAGATGTCGACTTAGATTTGATATATCAACCTATACGAGCAAGGTTACCTACTCACATGATCACAAGTTAACCTAATAAGACAAACCACATATATTTAGATCCATGTGAAGAAAATAAACCCTGAGAAGTCAATTAATAATAGCTATGTGGTAAGAATGCATTTATTTGGCACTTGTGGAGTAGTTTTAAAAAAGCTCGCTTATATTTCAATCAGATTCCGACACAATATCTCATAATGACACTAGAAGCTCATTAATAAAGCCAACTAACTCAGAAAACATAAAAGGAATAAAAGCGGGGATTTTTTTATCCGATTTAGGTGTCAAAGATAACTTGAATTAAAATATGTACCAAATAAGAGACTTATAGTAATATGTAAAGTCACACACTAACACAGAATGAGAAATAATATCATGTTTGATATGATTATATATGAGTATATTCTCGTAATGAATGACGAGTGAAACAATAGTGAGTTCACATAACTCAAACAAGACATATATATCCCACCTCATTAGTGGATCATAGTCTATTAAGTCTGTATCTAGAACAAGCATCTATGTATTCTGGGAAGTATAAGTTCCCATTTCGATCAATATTAAGAGAGGATATTATAGACGTATAGATGTATAGATTTAAGAATTGTGTACAAACTTGGGACGATGAGTATCATAACCTTTTGAAATTTGATTAAGGGATTTTTATTAAATTCATTTGACAGAACTTATTATAATAGTTTAATGTTACTGTTTCGTATCTATTAGTACCATAAATGACAGTTTCGTTCACAGAAAATTCCAGCTTTTAAAGTGATAAATTTCTTGACATTTAATTTGGATGTTACATCCAATAGCCTTTGAAATTAAATGATAGAATGACTAAATTAAAAATCAAATTACAGCTGACAATATCAGCTATTACATTTCAGTATAGAATCTCAAAAGCAGAAAGGTTATTTTTACACTAACTAATGATAGTGACCTCCATATGTGGCGAGAACTACTTCTATCCACATAAGTAGTATAGAACGATGATCAGACATAAGATTTATTTCAGTGGAATATCGAGAAGGAAAGAACAGCAACGGAGAGCAATCAGTATGAAAATGCATGAACGATGAAATCTAAGATGATGGACAAAAGAAACATTCAATTTTGAGACAATTGATTGAAATTTTGCAAATTAACTATTTAATGTATAGTTCTCAGATTTTAGTGAGATATTCTGTAATTTTGTGTCCAAATACATTCAATTGTCCCCACTTGGGTTCTTTGCTCACTACACATATTGAAATGGGATAAAATTGACAGGGCATAGAACATCTTGAATATTACTAGTACTAAAATGTCTATGAAACTCAGTTATTTCAGTACTTATAATAAGATTTTTCTTAATAAAAGCTATAAATATTTACGGTAAACTAACTAACTTTAAACATAAACTACTTATAAAATGTTTAAATTCGAAAAATACTACTTAAATAAATCATACATTCATTCACATACATAGTTTAGAAAGAAAAAAATTATTAAATTACAGTAAAAACCTTTATTATTACTACTAAATATTATCAATATAATTCATAATATTAAAGAATCTGTATGTAAATATTGTTATAAATATTTCAAAAGATTAAATATTGATCATTCTTCTATATCATATTGTATTTCATATATATCATGCTTATTATGACTAAAATTGAATATGGCGCTTTTAAATTTTTGTTTTAAACAAAAAATTTAAAATCAAAATCAATAAGCACATATAAGCAAAGATATTTCTGTTTTTTTTTTAAAAAAGCGTGTCATTTTCAATAAAACGAATAATAATACAGAATAAATTCAAACAAAAATTAAAGGGTATCAATATTAAGTAGCCTATTTAAACAAAAGAATATAAAATGGAGAAAAAACAAATTAACTTTTAAAATAACCAGGTAATAATGAATAAAAATTGTTAGTTGAAAGAAAATTTTAGAAAGAATGAAAAACAGAAAGAAAAATATATTAAGAAATGGAGTATATATGGATATAAATGTTGAAGATAATTAACCTGTCGACATGATGTTATTCTTTCATTTATTTTATTTCCTATCATTTATAGTTTTTGAAACAACAAATGTATTTACTCTGTATGTATATTTATTCATCTATGGATATGAGTACTATTTATTTAAGCAGGGATTTTCATACAGACTCGACATTTACTAACATTATTCAAAACTGGCCCTTCAGCTGCTTTCATAACAAAACCTACTGGTTTCTCAAATTGTGTAATGTTTGGATTAAGAGCCCTTAAATAATAAACTTTTGCATCTGACCAATAATGGCACATTCCTACATTATTATTACATTCAATAACTGGTGAATAACGAAAATGTTCCATACAGCTTCCAGGTGAAGATAATTGTTGACCTCCACCATGAGCACCAGAAGTATGCTAGAAATAATTATAAAGAGATGAAGTAAAAGCGTAGTTAAACTACTTTTAAAGTATATTTGTAAGAATTATTACAAATATTCATCTAATAAAAGGAACATATCAATTAGAACGAGAACGCTAAACCCAAAACTGAACTATGGGTACAATAGGTTAGGTTGAGTGATTTTTAAAGATGACAATTCGAATACAGATCTAGTCAGGGTTTAGCAAACACTGGAAAAAAACCAAAAAATGCTGGACAATTGTTACATTCTATTTTTGATCCTCCCCATGAGTGAAACAATTTATTCCACATCAACTGTTGGAAAATATGGTTCTCGTCGTAGTACTCAAAGCTTTTATATTCAATCTTATATGAGGTTATGTTTACATATTACTAATTCAGGACGTGAGTGGAGACAGATATCCCTAGTTTTCAATGGTTCGTTACCTGGTGTCACTCTGCATTATTGATGGAATATAACTTTTAACCAGTTTCTTCCCTTTAACAGACAGAATTTTTACTGTGATGTTAGGTAGTTGGAGGTAGTCGGCAGGAACTCCTGGTTTTGCGTTAAATAGTACTCGCCGCTGAGGTTTATCTAAAACCTTAAGGCAATGGTGCTCCCTGTAAGATTTGAACCGATGTCACCCATTTTCATAATCCGAGATTTCGCGACTGAGTTATTCGAATCAAGCGATGTTGAGTTATTCAGACTAGTGACCGCCATTTGACATGATCGGTAAAATTTGATCTGAACTAAGAACTTGATAAAAATGACATTTGTTATTATTCAGCGACTGAACAATTTAAAGCTTATGCTGATTAAAGCAGTTGAGGAAATAATACAATCTAATCAAAAGACTTTGAAATTAATGGATATCACTGTTACTTGTTTATGTCAAGTACATATTGATTACGATATCTAGCATATGAATAAAACATCATTGACTTAAATCTTAAACAGCTGATGGAATGAAAGTACATTACAAGTGGGAGGAGTAAATATAAAGTTTGATTCATTTACAAATGAATTAATATACATCCCAAATGGATTTACTCAAACTTCACTAATTTCTTAACCTTTGATAAGTAATCTGAAAACAACCAGATTTCGAATGTGATCCTTATCACCAAATGATATTCTTTTTTCGAAGAGAAAATTTTCTCCCTAGACAAATAATGGGACTATATTAAATACAGAAAAGTAAATATTCATGGTTATGTTTTGTGTCTAAATGAGCTGGAAACCGTAGAAAACCCTCCACTCTAGAAATAGAGAAAACTTTCTGAATGTATTTATTCAAGTCATTATTTCATAATCAATCGAGAAATTACGTCGATTTTAAAAGGTGATGATGATTTCTATCGATTTCCTTTAGCGTCTTAAGAATTCTGAAAATATCAAATAACTTACAAGTATTAAACTAACACCTGTCCACAATTCAGTCCAAGTATTCGGACATGGTTGTAATGTTTCACCTTGACTGTGGAAAGCAAACACATGTGCAGGAGCTTCACAGACTACACATCTAGCGATTTGATCAGCCGTTTGATCTACTGGAATCGGTTGTTCAGATCGAGGTACCAATGTGGCCAACCAGTAGGATCGTTCATGCCTCATACTTGATTGACAAGTTGTATCTCTTTCACATTGAGTCATTGGTAATGAACTGAACTTTGACAAACATGAACTTGGTGTACCTAAATATGAATTTTGAAAAGTCCATTTGTATCGAAAATACGATTAACCAATTACTCGACTGTAAATGCTGTTTTTTAGTTTAAAATACTGAAGTCCGACTATTGGAGACAGCTCAGGACTCTTATTTTCAGAAACGATTTGACAAGGTAATTAATATTCACCGTTTAACATGTGACCTAAAGAACATTAGTCCCATACTAAGATAGTATACATATTATACTACGTGGTCATTTCCCATTTTCATTTTCATTTCAGTCTATATATTTCTAACTTGACACGAGTAAGAAATATTTCACCAAATAATTATACAACGAATAGAATGATACAATGAAACAGAGGTATATGAAGTGTCAGTATGGGAGAAGAAATGGTCGATTGATTAAAAACAACAAGTACACCACTAGGAAGGAAATTATTTTTGTAAAAAATCTCAGCCATAGAACTTGAAACGAATTCAGCGTTTCCGTCGGCATTCTGGTCCAAGTTTTTTCAAGGGAAATAATCAAATATCAAAATTCTCGACTATAAATACATCGTTCACATATTAACTGTATACTAAACGAATTGTCTAATAATGTTAATAATGATGATAGTGAGATTTTTCACTGGGTGTATAAATCAGTTAATGTGAAGAAATTGTGTGTGGATCTGATATGAGAAACTTCAATGTGTCTAAAGCGCCTCATTTTGATAGATATTGTAAATCGAATGTCACAGCATGAAAAAAAATTAAAATAAATAAACAGTAAATGTAAGTTTGTGTTGTTGTATTAAACCAACTAATTGTTTATTGTATGTTCAAATAAATTAAATGATTAGAGCAAATAAAACCAATCATTATTGTCCACATGATAAAAGACTAATTGAAAGAAAAATGTAGAATGAAATTCAGATTCTCTTACTAATTAATAGTTATCATGGATAGCTAATTATATTCCATCTCTCCTATTTTTATCAATTGAGTTTGCTTATATATAGCAGACTTTAGCTCTCTTTCCATACAATACAGAATCTTTTTGAAAGACTATTATGCTATTGAAATCAACTGGATATCCAGAATCTGTTGAATCCAATGCTATCGATGACTTGTTTTCTGATGCTTGTTTTTGAAATCACCATTGGTTTCATGGTTGACTTATTTAACATTAATTACATTACCCTTGTGGTGTGAGATTCTTATATCCACATAAGTAGTATATAACAACGGTCAGAAATAAAATGTATTTCAGTGGAAGATCGAGAGGGAAAGAACAGCAACGGAGAGCAATCAGTATGAAATGCATGAACGATGAAATCTAAGACGATCGACAAAAGAAACATTCAATTTTGAGACAATTGATTGAAATTTTGCAAATTAACTATTTAATGTATAGTTCTCAGATTTTAGTGAGATATTCTGTAATTTTGTGCTCAAATACATTCAATTGTCCCCACTTGTGTTCTTGTTCACTACACTCTGTTGAACACATACTATAATATAAAATGAAGTCCTCCAACAACAATTAATGTTATTAACTACAAGAAATATATTTGAACTTAATTAGGTTTATTTATGTTGGGAGAGATAAAAAAAACAACTACTTTTTGCCTTTAAAGTACATATTTATCTGAACTATAAATCAATTGATTGTTAATATTTTCCCAATGTAAAGTGATTCGTAAAATCAACCATTATTGTCAATACACAAGCTGATTTCATTTAAAAATTTAGAAAATATTTCAATTTACAGAATATTTTTATACCAGTTCAAATTCTCTAGGATGATAATATGCCTAGTTATTCTGAGTGTATATGAGAAACATACTCATATATGGCTTAATAGTCTGACAGAGAAACAATTTTATAAAAAAATGTCACAGGATATACTATATCTATGTAATTTGGATTACTTTACCTAAATCCATACTGACTAAATCATCCACACCTCCTCCCATAACGTAGCTGTAACCAGTGAACAGTTTATTAGTCCCAGTTGGACATGTAAGGTCATCGACAAACGGCGTCTGGTAATGACGAGCAAATAATATAGAGGAGTAATTTGTTTGACCTGGTTGTCCCTTCTCACCATTTTTACCTTTGGGGCCAACATCACCGAGAGGACCAGGAGGTCCAACTTCTCCAATATCTCCACGCTCCCCTACATCACCTACATCACCTCTCTCACCTTCTACTAGTCCAGGTTGACCTTTTTCTCCTTTTTCACCAATATCTCCATCATCTCCCACTTCACCATCAGGACCCGGGTCTCCTTGTTCTCCAAGAGCTCCATTTTCCCCAGGATCACCTATTTCACCAAGCTCCCCTCTTGTTGCAACTCCTTGAGCTCCCTTTGGACCCTGGATACCATCTTCGCCCATTTCGCCTTGATCACCAGTTTGTCCACGATTCCCTGACGGACCTTGATCTCCAGAAAACCCTTTTGGTCCCATAATACCATCAATTCCATCTATTCCTGATGAACCTTGTGATCCCTGTATACCTTTTTCTCCATCGTAACCAGGAAGACCTTGCACACCTCCCACTCCCGGATCCCCTATATCTCCTGGTATTCCTCGTTCTCCTTTATTCCTGGCTCACCAGTAAGAGCGGCCAAACCTGAAGGGCCTTCAGGACCTTGATCACCTGGTTCTCCTGGAAGGTAAGAAGAATAACGCTATTTTAACAATGTTATCAATAAATAATTACTTACTTCATTTAAAATAATAGTGAGATCTGGTGCTAAGAGCTACAGCTCAGTAGAAAGCAACGTATCGTTTACCGTTGTCTACCGTTTATTTGATAAACTGATTTTTAACTTCACTATAATGAGCTGAACTTACTATCACTTATGAAACAGGTTTTCATATCACCACTGTTACTCAATCTTAAAAGGAAAATAACTCAAATGACTGAGTATTTTAACCAAATTCACAAAGAATTAGACAGATTAATGTATTTATAGTTATCCTGTAAAGATCTATGGACACTTGATTGAAGTATCTCCTGCAGAACGCATTTCGCTATACATCCATAATATAATATTAGGGGCATAAGTAAATAAACATAAAAAATAGATTATCAATACCTGCTTCTCCAGGTAGACCGATGTGTCCAGTATCACCAAGTTCTCCTGGTGCTCCAATTACTCCAACCCCTGGTGGACCATCTTTACCACGTAGCCCAGGTAGTCCTTTTTAAAGAATAAAAGAACATTGTTATTTTGTTTAAAATAATCCGCATACTTTACAACTGAAAGTACATTGTTAATTAATAAAACTAAATCAACGAACCCAGAGGAATACTAAAAATACTTGAATGCCTAGTAATCATCAATATTCATGCTAAAAGATATATACTTAATGACAGTGAATTCATCATCGCACGTATATTACCATAACTGATAATGTGGAAAAAATGACATCGGCTGTACTTTGGCATCGTAATCTTTGGGTGCTCACTAACTTTTATATATGGTAGGGATATAAAAAGATCATATTCGTAGTGTGCTGTTTTTCTTCATCTTATAGATGGTAAGTATCATAACGAGATAGAAATGTTTTCTATTTCAAATCAAGTACCGAATAGTTTACCAGAAAACCCTAAATTAGCCCTCTACTACATAACGAAGACCATCAGGATCAACTAGAAAAACCAAGCTTGTATGTTCCAAGCAGATATATCGAGATACTTTGTTTGGTCTAGCGAAAAACAGTATTATAATACTACTTAAGCAAAAAATTATAAACACTCACCATTAATCTCTTCTACGTTTAGTTCTTCCGAACCCTCTTCCTATCAAAGTATCAGTCAATTTTTCTTTAGTTCACATGGGATCGTTATTTCTATTATCATATTAACAACAACATGCCATTTCTCAGTTTTGGACTATATTCATACAACTTTACTCATTGGCTTAATGTTCTTAATTATAGTGATGCGACCTTTCAACTTTACCAATGACTGATCTTGTATATCTTTAAGTCTCAAGAAATATACAAACTATTATTTCCAATATATAAAGCCAGGCAAAATTGATCATGAAGTTTCTTTGTAAATATGCTAACGTTTTTCTGTTTGATGTCTCTGTTTTCCAAAAGAAGCGGTTCGATATTAGACGGGATGGAATGACAGCTGAAAAAGTGGTAGTGATAAATTACTGATGTCTTTAATTGATCAACATTAAGGATTAATGAGCTGTCATTACCAAATTAATATATATTCCTAAAATTCTACAAACCTTGATCGCCAGGTGGTCCCTGTGGTCCAGGTAACCCCAGTGGGCCTAGTCGACCTTGTTGACCTTTCGGCCCAATGGAACAGTTTTTGGCGGCTTCACCTGAATCACCTCTAAGACCTGGTTCGCCTTTTTCTCCCTCTGGTCCGTATACTCCTATCATACCAACATCTCCTTCCGAACCTTGCTCTCCGATTGGACCTTAAATACAGTGAGTAGAAAGTAGAAAATACCATGACCAAATACTTTTAAAAACAAAAAACAGTTACTAAAGATATATCTTTTGTTGCTGGTAATGCAAAATAGCTATATATTTTCAGGTAACTGTGATAAATAATTTGATTAATTTAGATGAAATTAAGTGAATTCAAGAAGTTATATTCAAGTTAATGGATGAATGGTATAATCCAAATGAATAAGCTAAAGCATTGTCTGGAATAGTTTTTCATACGATTAATTTGATAATAAATGAAAATATTTCAATATCTGATAAGGTAACTTAAAACAATTTATCGCTCCATATCTTGTAAAGTATACGTCAACTAGTGTCTTTCATACTAATGGTTTTGTTTTTAAAATGACCGTATGATTTGATGGAAAATTCTGAGTACAATCTCTTGTATAAAATTTTCCTAATCTGACAAGTTCAACGTTTTAGAAAGTTTAGAAAATTAAATCCCTAGAGTAATTGTGAAGATTTTGTATGTATTGTTACTATCGTAAGCTTAAGTATGGATTATAGAGCCTGGATCACGATGAACATAAACAAGTAACACAGAATACATCGCTTGGCCTCAATGGCGGATAGACTGTATGATTAAGCATAATCATGAGTATGATAAACAAGTATGAAACAGATGATTATTCCTATCATTTATTAATAAATAGTATGAGCAAGAAATTCTCCTTAAAGAATATGACTAATAAGTAAAATCACTTGACTTGAAGCCAGTAGATTGCGAGTTTAAGCTCTGTCTCATATAATCCGATCTCGACAGTTGCATTGTATGATTATCCCTCATACAAAATATTTGGCTTAGAGCTAAGATACATAGATAAATCATTTCAAATATTCAGTTAATCAAATACTGTGCTTATCTGCTGAATTACATTACCTTCGTTTCCTTCAGGTCCTATATCACCTTCTAAACCAGGTGTTCCGATTTCTCCAGTCTCACCAGTTGGTCCTTCATCACCTTGATCACCTTCTTCACCGGGTATACCTTGAAATGTCATACATATTATAACATTTTTAAAATATGGAGTTATTAATAAATGATTATTGAATTTGTCAAATCAAATGAAATAACATTGAGTAAATAAAAAGACAATTGACTAATAATATATGTTAAAGTTAAATTACTAGAAATCGACTGTTTAATAGACTGTCAATATAAACTAACATTTTTAGAATTGTTTTGATTTATAATGAATAGCATGAGAAATAGAACTGGTAACTTATACACCACTTTAGGGTTTAAAACAGCTAATACAAACTTCCAACTTATAACCCCAAAAATGAGAATTTTAACGGTATATTTTAGAATTACTGGAAGCAAGATGAACTCGAACAGATTAGTTGATTTATATGATTATAGGATTCGGATATAAACTATTATAACTGAACGATATTAAAGGTGAAATTAACATGTTAATCCACTCGAAATTAGTGAGTTACATAGACAATATTCGTATTTGTCTAAATGTGGAAAATTGTCCGCTTCTACCCAATTTATCATACTCAAGTATAGTTTAAGAACAGACAAATAACTACTAGAAGCTTTAAATCTAAAATACGAGTCCTATTGTCTAGGAGAAGGTTATGAACGAAGAAATGGTCTATAAGATTAGGACAAACAATAATTAAAACCTTTTTATCTTTTAGAAACTTATCAAAAAATATTACTAAACATAAAAACTGGTATTACATTGTTAACCAGACTAAAAATGATCACAAAAGTGGAACAGGCAAAGAATTTCAGTTTGAGGAAAGCAAAGCATACTTCACCAACTCTATAGATCACAATCGAGATTAAGTAAACGTAACATATATTGTTCGATTTTATGAATGATTATATTTTAATAAAGACTTTGAAATATATAAACATTGATTATTGTAATTTCTAGGCATAAATATCCAAAAAAATGAAAACTTATTTTAAATAACCGATGTCAATATGGCACATAACCATCAATTTTAGTTTTACAGACCTGATTCTCCTTGTTCCCCTGAGTCACCAGCTTGACCTTCGACTCCTTGAGGTCCTTCCAGTCCCTCCCTCCCTTTGAGTCCAGCAGTCGTATTACCGGGAGGACCAATATCACCTGCTTCCCCCCTGTCCCCTTTTTCACCATCTGGACCCAGCTCACCCTCAGAACCAACGTTTCCTTTGGCTCCTCTACTACCCTCTGCACCAACATTCCCGACTTTACCGCGTGGACCACGTGAACCCTGAAGTGAAAAAACCTTAATTAGTAGTTAATCTGTTAGTTTTTAAATTTATCGTATATTTTTAAAGCACTATTTTTTAATTAAAATATCTTATAAGTTACTTGACTTTTTAGACCCCATGTATTGTTAAAACAAACTACATGATTGGCTTGAAACTATAAAATACTCTCACGATTATGTCATTCTCAATAAAGAAAAGTAACAAATGGTTTTACTTAAAAAGAAAATCCCTACCTTTGACCCAGGCTCCCCCATTAAACCTTCATCACCTTTTAGCCCAGGTTCTCCATCGTTACCATCTAACCCAGGTTCACCTAACTGACCATCTTCACCGGGTTGTCCAGGCTCCCCTTTGATACCGGGTAGAGTTTCAGCGGTAGGACCTGTTTCACCAACTTCTCCAGGTGGACCGGGTTCACCCTTCTCACCTTGTTCTCCCTGAGTTCCATCTGGCCCAGTATCTCCTCGTTCACCTTCCACAAACTCTCCACTCGGTCCAGGATCACCAGTTGGACCCTGAGAACCATCCGCACCCTGTGCGCCTACAATGCAATAATCCAAATGAATGATCAACGTACATTATACGCAGATAAATTGACTTCGCAGCACACTTTTGAAGTGATTCATTAAAAATCAGTGGATGAAACCCATGTGAAAATTACATAGCGATTCAATTGTATATATACTAATTAGATTATCAAGATTTTGTTGCTGTCAAACAGTACTTAAAAGTCTTTGGAAACTAGATGATTGATTTTCACTGTAGTTATCTATGTAGGACACTTTGCAAATAATATGCTTTTATTGTAACTACTTCTAGTATGTAAACAGTGATTCATCTTAGGATACATAACTACCTTTCATTTACGGAAATGTTGTTATGACGTTAATTAATTTTTATTATAATACTCCAAAAGTTATTACTGGATCGAATAATTAGAAAAAATATTCACTTCGTACTCGTAGGCTTCTTAAAATTAGGTAACCTGCAAAGATTTCATAAAAAATAATGCATGATAAATCTTGAATTAGTTTAAGATTTTTTTTGAAATCATGAATCGATTTCAGTTAGACCACCATTGAAAACCTGGAAGTATTGAACGGGCGTTTCATCCAAATGTGGAATCCTCAACAGTGTGTGTCCAAGATCCCGTAATCGAGCCCTAAGTTAAATCGATTCATAATTTCAATGAAATTAAACAATCTCTATAACCCTATACTGAAAATAATTCATGAATGTTGACGTATATAGAAAACAAATATTTGAACAATGGTTTAACTCAAACTAATGACCTTCAAGCTATATATATTAAATACTTAAGCTTTTAAAATAATATTATTATTCCATAAGCTTTAGTTATATTAACTACTCCTGTTAACCATTTACATTTTTCGTAATGAATTGTTCGTTAATTTTACGAACTATACAAGATCCTCTAAAATAAAACTAAGTGTTCTTGTTTCAGAATGGTGAAAAAGTCATACAGTAATGAAAATGAAAATCGTTATGTAAACTCGATTTTACCTTGTGGGCCAATATCTCCAGTTTCACCCCCTGGACCAGGAGAACCCTTTTCACCCATATCACCCATACTACCTGATTCACCTTTTTCTCCAGTAATACCACGAATACCTTCTATTCCTATATCGCCAATCTCACCATGTTCTCCTAAAAATCAACACGCAAAAAAGAAAACAACAACAAAACGGTGTTATTTCACACACAAAATATATGTGTAAATACGATCTGCTACATAATGATGGTTAAACAATTAAAAGTAGTGGAGAAATTCATTACAACAATATTTAAATTAAAGTTAATTATTTCATTAAGGATAAGTTTCATTCATCAACATACAGTTGATTACCTTCATTATGTAACATAAAGAAAATGAGAGAACAACCTATCTGTGTTACCGATTAATTATTATTTCTGATTATTTTTTTCTTTCTGAAGCTGATATTACTAAACATTTCACAGTATTCGAAGTATAAAAAGATTAATCTTCTTACTGTCTGTTCAACTAAATCATCATTTACTTTATTTCTATTTATTGTACACTTAACTTACTGTTCATTACATTTATACTGTTGTCTAGTTCGTAAGATAATCAAATAATCGTTTGTTTCAACCAAATATTGTGATTGATTTTCTTTTGTTATTGAAAGTGTATGATGAAATTTGTACATTTTGTTTAGTATGATAAGTTTCCAAGTGAATAAATATCACAACCAATTACATAATTTATATACAATTCATTCAATTCACCTAATCAGATTTTCAAATGTTTCATAAACTTTCAAAAAACGTTTTTTTGTATTCCTTTGATTTGTAAACTGTTTGTTTGTATGTCTCTATAACGATTAAATATATAGTTAAGATATAAACTCGAATAGCTCAATTAAAACACATGTCTACATCTAATATAAAACTATTGAATGCCAAACAACTTAATAAAAGTTATCTACAAATTTATTAAGTCAACTTGGATGATAAACAACATTTGTAGTGAACAAGAACACAAGTGGGAACAATTGAATGTATTTGAGCACAAAATTACAGAATATCTCACTAAAATCTGAGAACTATTAGTAGATAGTTAATTTGCAAAATTTCAATCAATTGTCTCAAAATTGAATGTTTCTTTTGTCGATCGTCTTAGATTTCATTGTTCATGCATTTTCATACTGATTGCTCTCCGTTGCTGTTCTTTCCTTCTCGATCTTCCACTGAAATAAATTTTATGTCTGATCATCGTTCTATACTACTTATGTGGATAGAAGTAGCTCATACCACACATTGACTAAATGTGGATCTTTTCGGAGATCTCAATAAAGTTCAATGTTTTCACAGATTGAAATCATGAGTCAGTTGAAGCTAGACCACCATTGAAAACCTGGAAGCACTGGACGGCCGTTTCGTCCTAGTATGGGACTCCTCAGCAGTGCGCATCCACGATCCCGCACCACGCGGGGCTCGAACCCAAGACCTACTGGCTTCGCGCGCGAGCACTTAACCATTAGACCACTGATAATAATCATCTGCTCACTAGTGACTGACTCCAAGAAATACTCCTGAAGTTCTAGTGGGAAGCCGTTACCAGTGGAGTACAACCAGGTCTGTTGTGAGATATCAGCTCACTGAAGACAATGGTATATGATGGCGCAACTTCGTGGATTGGTTGAAGTTAGACATTAACACCGTTGGATGCCGGCTCAGTGGTCTAATGGTTAAGTGCTCGCGCGCGAAGCCAGTAGGTCCTGGGTTCGAGCCCCGCGTGGTGCGGGATCGTGGATGCGCACTGCTGAGGAGTCCCGTGTTAGGACGAAACGGCCGTCCAGTGCTTCCAGGTTTTCAATGGTGGTCTAGCTTCGATCGACTCATGATTTCAATCTGTGAAAATTTCTAAAAATCTCCACAAACCCCTTCTGATAAAGTTCAATGTTTACTAAAAGTTTCCAGTTGTAATAATCCAGACGAGTTTTTTGTATTACATAAGTAAGAATGCGTAAATACAATTTTGACTGATTTTATTGCAAATTTCATTTAAAGCATAAAAAATTGACCATGATAACCTTGGCATTCAAATGATGACGATTATTTGTATTTAGATTACTACAGTATAATTAACCTTGAGCCAATTAGCTTTTGTGTTGACATGGTCGTAAGATCATCGAAAATCGCTCCATATCATTTGAATCAACTGAATTCGAGAATAAATTGATTAGGTTAAATATTCATTTCCGTAGTTCAGGAGTTAAAAAGAATATATCAAGTCAGCACTAACTACTAACCTTGAACGTTATCTGATTTTGCATATATTTCTCTGTTAAAAATCAGATGATTGTCAAATAATAATTTTTTTTCAGGGTTTTTAAAAAAATTATAAAAGTAGTTAGTGATTTTATTCCCTTCGTAAACTCCTCAATGCTGAATTCCTGGAACTGGTTAGACTAAATTGAAGGTAGTACTTATACTTTTATTATTTGCAAATTTTCATCAAATAATTATGATAATTATGGGAAATATGAATTAACTGACTTAATTACAGATCAGCAAAATTGTTTACAAAGACTCATCAATCTGGATTATGTTCTTTTAACGTTTGAAAATTATACAATAAAATAAACAAAATGTAAGATTTCCGAGGTTACTATTAAAAGGAGATAGAACTCGAACATTATTAAAACTATAAATCAGTCTGAAAGTCGATTTACAACTATTTTCTTGTGAGAGAGAAAAGGGGAGCAACATTAAAAGTCAACTAGCCTACTTAGTAGTTGCACGAGTAAAACTTTTACATTTGAACACTAAGAGGAAAAACAAGAAACAAGAACAATCAGATCTAAGGGAAAAGTATGTTATAACTACGGTTATGAGACGTCAAGAGTGACCTTCAATCAAACCGACTAAACACTGTCCAATCAGATTACAGGTTTTGTGAGATTCATGTTGCAAATCAAAATGATAAACTTACAAAAGATTTATGGTTTTAGCGCGATTAATGAACTTATTAGGTCTCTATGTTTGTAATCACGCTAGAAATTCTTATATCCTTAATCCTAACTCATAACCCTAACACTTTATTGGGCAAGCGAATCATCATTCAATCCATCCGAAATCTAATCGAAAAGATAATATAAATAATTAAATATCCGCAACGATGCTTTAAATCCACACCAATCTTTTATATCATCTAACTTAATTTGGTAGGTCATTTATGACCGTCAGAATAATATACTTTTACCTTCATCAGGCGACTTATTGTTCGATTGATTTGTGGGCTTGTAGATAAGCACACAATATGAAAGACTACGTGTATTGATCTGTTACAGGTTCAACAAAATGATGTAAAAGTTTTTCTGTTAAATTTGATGGAAATGTGTCAGTTTCATATTAGGAAAAACGGATTTCAAGTAATCACTGTATATTCCTACCATTCTAATTCTTTTACTCTATGATGCGAAGTAGACGTGCGAAAGATTTGACTCTGATTAACTAATAATCGAAAGAGATATCATGGTGTTCGAAGGTACACTGTGACTTGACCTGTATAGTTCCCATGGTAGCCAATAAAACTTTTCTATATCGTACTTAAGCTGTTTGTGCCTCATGTATTTCAGCGGATGTTTGACTAAGATTAGTCGGTAGTGTATTCTACAAAATCCAGTCATATCCAGAAAACCCTATGATAATTTCACATGTGCTTGCCATTGACTAATTTGGAGACGTAATCCTCAGAAACCTAATGAGACGCTGTAATTATTGGGGTTCATCCATGCCGAGTACGGATCAGTTACTCCATCAGTGACATTGAAAGATGATTTCACAAAGTCGCAAATCACAGTCAAATATATAAAACACTAAATAAAGGTCCATTGGTCTAGAGGTTGAGCGCTCACTGTGCGACCCAAAAGTCTTCGGATCAATCCCTTGTAGGGTTCCGGATGCTCACTGGTAAGTTCCGTACTAGGACGAAACGGACGTTCAGTGTTTCCTGGTTTTTAAAAGATGTCGAACTAAGACTAGTGCTATTATTTTTATGATATATTTTTGACTAGTCATAATACGTAGACCCAACAATATGTTAAGATATTAATTTAACTCACCATCAGGACCCGGTTCTCCTTCCGGTCCAACATCACCATCTTCTCCTTGTTCTCCATCATCACCTGGACTGCCAATTGTTCCCATTGCTCCATCAGGTCCAGGATCTCCGATTAAACCGGCTTCATTGCATTCAGCAACGTCACCAACACCACCCTTTTCTCCTTCTGATCCCATTAAACCGAGTTCGCCCTTGGGACCTTGATCGCCCGACTCCATATCCGAACTGGGTTCTCCTTTAGGACCAGGTAGACCTTTAGGTCCAGAATCTCCCTTTTCTCCAGGGCTACCAGTTTCTCCTTGCTGACCGGCTTGAAATGATAATATTTACAGTTAGTTCGGCCTTCATGCATATTAATCACTGATGTAACTAATTAGAAAATATTCTTAACACTTTGAATGCGTACCTTCAGCCCCAGGTTCTCCTTTTTGTCCAGGAATACCTGGTTCTCCTTCGTCTCCTTCAGTTCCAGGTTCACCGTCAGGTCCAGGTTCACCCTTAGTACGTTCTGGTGAATCACCATTATCACCCACATCGCCTTCTTCCCCTGTAAGAGAGTTATTAAAGGAGGTTTATAATATTTTATGTAACTGCAATGTCTTCTTAAATAAAATTTCACTGCTAAAATCGCTGTACTTCGTAACTCTGATTATGTATTTTCATACTGAAAACCTAAAACAGCCTATTCTAGGTTACAAGAAGCAAGAGTTTTGAGTCAGATCTTTCAAAAACATATAACAAGAAGAAATATATTAATATTATTCATATTTATTGGTCTAATTAAATTACCACCGTTTTTTCAATCCGCTTTAAGACGAGAAATATAGCAAGAGTTACTTATTGGAAATAATATTCACCTTTTAAAAATATCGTCGATTTTTAATCTACTAGCCTACAACAAACCAGATTTGTAATTGATGATATGATGAAATATTATACTCACCCTTAAATCCTTTTGGGCCTTCAGGACCTTGTTCACCGACATCTCCTTCGATCCCATCAATTACTTGACCAGGATCTCCTTGAAGTCCTTGAGGACCTTCAATACCTACATTAAATATATAATGGGAAGTTTAATGGAATGATGATCTGGATTTCTAAGTTCAAGAATTTTATTGATAAAAATCATGTGAATTCTACCTGGTGGACCGGATCTCCTTTTTCCCCATCAGGACCTGGAAAACCAGTTTCACCTCGTTCGGATGGTGCTGCCGTTTGACCTATTTCGCCTTTTCGTCCATCAATGCCTCGGGAGCCTTTTTCACCAACCTCACCATCATCTCCTTTCTCCCCACGATCGCCAATCAATTCTGAATAAATGCCAAAACAAAGTAAACGTACTCATAAATCTCATCAGTGTGATAATTTAGTATTTTATAGAACATAATATTCATATTTACAAGCATGAAATCTGTTATACAATTGAATAGAACTTATTTTCAACCAACTCACTTAAAAAGAAAAATGAAATCGTTTAGCAGATAGTGATGCTTTATGATTATTCGTGTAGAGTAACTAAAAATTTGAATGAATAAAATTATAGATTTCCTAATCCTATGACTAATCTAATGGAATAAAATAAGTGATAATGTCGAAATAGGTTATGGGATAAGAAGCACAAGAAAGAGCTAAAGGTTTCAGATCACAAACAATCTATCAAGATGTTTAGTCCAACTGAAATAATGTCCAACTGTAATGATTAAAATAATTCCTCAAATCTCTCACCACTCTAAGATAAAACATGACTGTAACCATTCTAATTAAGTTAGGTCTTTATTTTAGGAAAAAATGCTGAAATTACGAGAGAATACTTTGTCTGGAAAAAATAAAATGAAACTATGGTAGGTAATTATCACTACTTGAAATTTATTTAATAAATCAGACTATCTCTTGCCTTATTGCTTTTTTATGGAAGTATTTATGTCAATCTGTTAAATTTTGAGAAGTTGAGTTGTCTTTTTTTTTCAAGAAATATCCGTTATGTTAGTGTAATAATGTAAGTTACTGTTTATTATTGAGTGAAGTAGGCTTATAAGTGACCCTATCTACGTATCCATAAGCTTGTACATGTCAAATTAACTATACCTCTCAATGAACCTACTCATCGTATGGACATTTTTAGTCCGTAATAATTCATCCATACTTTTATATGTATATGCATGCTTGTAGATGATTATGCATGATCGAATGCATGGGTTTCAGCCAACACTTATCTCTCTGACCAGATAGGACATTGACTGCTTTGAACGTTCAATAACTTATTCTCCCTAACATACATATTGGCTTGCTAAGTAGTATTCATTAATTCGCTCACTTTCTTTTTGTGTCACTTGGACGTTCCAAATAAACTGTTTCTAACACACTTCATCTCAACTTCTGAATATCTTGCGCTATTAGTCGATTAATGTGTCAGCAGTTATTTAGTCGAAGTGCACGTAAAGTTAAGAATGGAAACTCAACCATTCCGCAACAGACTATAATGTACAATTGTATTCGTGTGGAATAAATGTTTTAGTGCTTTAATCCAATAAATATTAGTACAAATATAATACAGAAATCATATGAACGGTTTTACATTTATTCACTCGCTCAGTATGAGGAACTTTGTAACTGATTTTGACATAACAAACCACTTGATTTTCAGACAGCATATAGTTGAATTGAGAAAATAGGTAAATCTGGAATTCAAAGATTATTGTTTAGGAATCACTTAATATCGAACTATTTGATTTCGTCCTTCACACACAAGACAAATTTGGCTTTCAGATTCTATATTAAGATTAGTATATTTACTGCAGTTGAAGGGAACTCTAACTCTGAACAGAATCGTAACTAGTAGTCAAGAAATAATAAGTTCCGTTCTGTATAAATTGATCATTTTACGCATTTTGGAAGTCTCATCAGTCCTGGCAAGTTGGTGGTTGATAAGATCTCAACATGAATACAAAAAACTTACCCAGATTTTGCTAATTTTCTCAATTTCTGGTGTAGGCAGGGTGTTTGTTGCCCTCTTCAAAAGAGTGAATGTACTGTTTACTCTTTACGTTATCTTATGGTTATGCAACATGACCTTCGAATGTTCAACAAATGAATAGATTGTAAAGATTGATTCACAAGCATAATCGAACTGTTGGTCACGTACGAATGGTTAATGCTGCAATCAGGAGATGGTAGCTGGTAGAGATGATAGCTTGATTGGTGAGACTATTAATTTCATTAATTTAGATGGCTAGGACATGTACAATGACGACCTACTTAGACCTAATATATTGAATGGCATAGGAGTAAGTTGGAAGATGTTCACTGGTGGCCAGACTAAGACACATAATTGCTTGAAGTTACTGACTTTTGGATGGAGTTGTGTCAGGAGGTGGAGACTACTTGACTGTGGTCTGCGTGATAATCTTCATTAAGGGATAGTGAGCGTAAATGGAATATCTTAAAATCAATCTTAATTGAGGAAATATACTCATTCTTTGTCGTCCACTGAATAGTGAATTTCAACACTATCTCATAGATTTTATTATTCGATTATACTCGTTCATATCAGACTACATTATTCTGTGCTGATTCGAAGTATAACGACCTTAAGTTGATGAATTTTTATGTCATATCTTAACTTGTTTATTGTTAACTGATTCCTGACTTCAAGAATAACTGAATTTGGGCATCAATGAACTATTTTTCGAGAATAAACTAGAATTAATGAGAACCACTGTGAAGGTTTTAAATTAATAACTTTTCATTGATAACCATATAGAATTCACATTAATAGGCGTAAACAGTTTAGATAGGATGTCTTATTTAATTGTTAGTTTCTATAATTACAGAATGGTTACCTGGAAAAGTCAATAAATGCAATAAATATACGTGTTGGAGGAAAACTGGAAAACTATGTTTGCTTTTTTATTGTAGAAAGGCAGAGTGAAATGTAAGCATCTTAGATTGAAACACCATATAGCCAATATTCTAAGCAGATGACATTGATAGATTTTTATTTGCTTGAAACAACGTTATAAAAAAAACCAGTTAAAATCTCAATTTGTCTATAAATTACAGATATATTTAAAATTCCAATCGTCTTTTTCTATTACCAGATTCATTTTTGGCCACTAATTGTCTCCAATCAATTGTACAGTTGGTCATCACTCCAGCTATGCCTTTTTCACCTTTCTCACCGACTGAACCCTCATCACCCCTTTCACCCAGTTCACCAACCATACCTTTGACATCGATACCATCTTCACCTGTTTCACCATCGTCACCATCATCCCCAACTTCACCAATTGGTCCTTGTTCACCATCTGTACCCTGTAATGATTTTATAGAAAATAATGGTTATTGTGCTATAGTCTTAAAGTAATTATTAGAACCGAATTAATTACCAAACTTTCGAGTGAGACATACAAACTATGTCAGTATTCAGAACATAGAATAACAACATGAAAACTGATCTACAACTGAAAACAGATTGTAAAATACAACGATTAAGATGTAAAAAAAGTTGATTAGTGCTATTTCCTAAGAAAGAAGTTTACAGATAGGGGTGACTCTATCGCAAACTGAAATTGACATGAAAATAACTGAATACTGATAAGCAGCGAATGGATGTCTTTATTCTATTTTGATACTCTTTAATAGTGGGGAAGTTAATAAGAGTATAAAAAGTTTGAATAAAACGCAACAAAGTGTTACTGTTATTTAGTTTGATGAATTACAAAGTACATTCTTTTTCGTGATGGCTGGTGATACGACTAGTTCGCCCAAATCAAAAAAGAATAAGCAGAGTTTAGACCTGAGATCATTTGGTCAAAATTCGGGACTTCTGATCAATAAGTCCATTTTTGTTCATGTAGACACTGAGCACCCTTATTAAAAGCTCATACATATTTATCAATAGTGTTTTACGCAAACTACCGTCTCTTTTACATTTCACATTCATATATGGTAGTAGTTAGATCGAAAATCAAGTTTCATTCTTCTTGGAGCACATAATTAACAGAACCTAACTACCAGATAGTACCCAAGGTATTCTACTCATCTATTCGAAACCATATCATTTTGAGATCTTAGACTTTATTTATCAACTGATTTAATTAGTATTAGTTCAAACCTACTTGCAATTGACCATTTCCAAACAAAATTGACGATATTTTGCTGACATACGAACCCGTGATACAGATATCCAATAATTTTAAATGACCGTATTTTCGTGTGATTTATACTCGATCACAGTTTTAGTATAATATTGAATTTTCATTTTCATAGCTAAGATTATCAGATCACAATCAAATAATTCAATGTGAACTATTCAACTTTAAATATGTCTTCGAATAATATGAATTACTTTTCGGAAATTGTTACAAAGTGCGTTAAGAGTTTACAATATTTATTAAAGTAAAGATAAATAATTTTCATTTTTGATTACTCTTTTGAGAAGTGATTATTACCGGCAATATTAGTTCATTATGTCATCATAATCTAAACAATTTGTTTAGTAAATTAACTAAAGAGAAGGTTTCTTACTTGTTGTCCTTTAGGACCCTCATCACCAACAGGACCAGGTTCCCCTTCATCGCCTCTATCGCCAATATCACCAATACTACCTTCATGACCTTCATCACCCTCATCGCCTGGAATAACATCTTCTACAACCCGAGATACAATAGCAGATTCTCCAGGTTCACCGGGATCACCATTAAAACCATCTTCACCAATACGACCCTACGATTTCATACGTGAATATTTGTAAAAATCAAATTTTTGCCCATCAAATTAAAATTTGGTCATTTACTGACATCAAGGATATTTTATCAATTATTATTCAACATTGATGAAGGTAACTTTAGCTTAAAACAATTTATTTTAGTATTTTATTCATGAAATATTTAGAACGTGTGTTGATTTGTTCAATGATATACTGTAAGCATGTTGAACTAAAAAACATTGATTAGAGTGGTTCTATGTAAAAAATAAAGCATTAGAACTACAACGGACCCTATACAGCAGTCTTTAGATTCAATTAGGCGAACAAATGAAAATGAAATTTATTACATGAAACTATATTCAGTACAGATGGATAATGTGTTTTCTCTCACTTGCCTCCACAATCCAGACACATTTGGTCAACAAGAGTCAATCGGTTCAAAATTTGTGCCCAGATATTCGCCTCAGTCACTTTCAATCACTATATTAGGTCACTTAACTTAGTATCGACTTAGTATTTTTTTTCATCAGAGGAACTCATTATGCAGTACTAGAGGACAAAATAATAGAACTTATAAATTTAACCATCAATTTTAGAAGACAAAACATGAGAGAAAACATGGAACGTAGGTCAAAATTTTCATACTGTTTACTTTTAATCACGTAAAATCTATTTGTATATGTTCAAAATCACCACACATGTAGTCAGTCTGGGTACGTACCTCATCGTTCTTTTGAAGAATAACATCCTTTTGTGTAGATTTATATCTTATTCAATCAGACTAATCTTTCAAGCAGATCTGCCAGAAGTAATATGAACACTACCATAAACGGATGAATACTAAAGACTATAGCTTCTTCTGACAGCATTTCGCATTAACGAACGTTGGAGTTTTAATAACTTACAAATGGTGATACATATAGGAAACCATTAATCATTCCACTAGGTAAAAGGTAAGATAAGTGCTTAAAACGATGTAATTGTATGTAGTTTCTAATACATGATTTTATAATATGTAAGGAAAAGGTCAATAATAACTGATTAATGATATGTCTATTATGACTCATCTATAATAATGAGTAATAAATGTTTTATTTCTGAATGCTATTCATTCACACAATAGTTGAATAAGTGAATATATTTGTACATTATAGGTATCATGTATTGTAAAACAAATTTGTTTATCAACCGAAATTCAAGCCTACTGTTTAGCAGTTTGTGTGGGATTGGAAAGATACACTTTTGCAGTAGTTACGGATATGACAAACTAGAATTAAACAAATTTCCATCGTTAATTATTCCTGAATTCATACTAAGTACATACAAAATGCTTACGTAATTTAGCAAATAAAAATAGAAAAATAAACTGATATCTTTCATTTACATTTAGGACTGATTAAAGTTGGACAGGTATTGAAAACTAAGAAGCAATGAAAAGCTATTTCCTTTTGATATACGATTAATCAGAAGTGGGCATCAATGAACCAGCCGGAGCTCGAAACCAAGGTTATCGGTTTAGCGGAGAGCATTTAATCTCTAGGTAGCTAAGGTTGAAGCATCATCACTGATCATAATCGACACATAACTTGCAAGGCCAGCAAGATCTCATTGAGCCATAGCCTAATCGAATATCAAGCTGAACCTTTTCTACGCTACACGACAGATCATCGAACTCTAGACAGTTTATCGACCATCGCCAAGGTCAGGGATGATTAACGAGGATCAATCAATAGCACCCCATAGGCTGGTTCTCGTGGTAATGATTATACATTGTATTTCTCTGATCTGTTCGTATAAATATGGTTATCTGTTATTATCATGTTTGTTATATAGAGCCATCAAAGAAGCCACAGTATACGGATAACACGAAAGGGTAATCTACGTTAGATACTGACCACGAGTTGTGAATTTGACGTAATCCATGAACTTACACTATCCTCTTCCAACTCGATTATACCGTCGATCATCCACATAAATCACCTACATTGGTGATCTACAAATTCTTTAATAACTTGTTTTAAAAATAATTCCTAGAAATTGGACTGAAAAAGACTTGTGAAGTCAATCAGGTTATGAATGAGGACAGATGTCTACATAATTATTTTCATTCAATGTCACCTTGCACCACACTCGACTTAACTAACTATACAGACTCCAAAACATCTTCAAAGGTTTCATCACTAAATTAGTTATAAGTGAAAAGTTGATTATAATTTCCAAGATGATTTTATGGAATGCTCTCAAAATTTGTTATCAGTTTGAATAAGGCATTATCCTTAGAAATTTATCAAACTTTTGCTATAAATTTCATTTTCATCATAGTCGTAATTTATTACAAGTTTCAAATTATACTTCCATTTGTTTTATTATAAATGTTTTCCATTATTATGATTATTATTGCAGTAGGTAATTTGATTGACAAAACTATCGTTACATTTATCTAATCATGATTGTAAATTATGAATTTCTTCTCCTTGATCCAAACAATAGTGAATCATTTCAATCTATTACTATTTTGTTTTTCTGTTTTGCTTTTTTTTAAAAAAAATGATGAATTACATGTAATTATGATTATTAATTAATGAAGAAAACTGGAACATGAAATGTTCCAGTTTTCTTTCTTTTTTCAAGAATAATAAACCTTTTTTTCATTTACTGTGAGAAAGAATTAGTTTCATTTTGACAATTGCATCCATAACATTGAAATAAGATAATGTGATTTGTTGTAATGCTTCTTTTGTGAATTATACTGTTATTGATGGTCATAATAGGCCAGTAAATAATTTAATAGCTCAACAACAACTCTGATTTTGATGCTGAGTGATATACATCCACTCAGGAGGGGAAGTACCACTTTGTGTTAAGAATGAAGAAGCACTTTATTACTGAGTGCTAATCAATAAAATATATAGATCCAGGATTTATAGTAGATTTCATTTAACCACCCAACATTTTACTGAGTATATTATGATATAAAATAGATCAAACTGATGTTCTGATGTTATAACATTACAGAGGAATGAGTTGGTGTAAAGAGATAACTTACTTTTTCACCTTTGGTTCCCGGTAGACCGATTAAACCATCTTCACCTAGTCGACCGATATCACCTCTATCACCTGGCATACCATCACTTCCTTTTTCACCATTTTCACCTGGATCCCCTATTTCTCCACGTGCACCAGCATCACCGTCTTTACACAAAGGACAAGCAGTTAACGGTTCACCTAGAAGAAAATAAATAAAATTGGAAGATTATCATTATTATCAACTTAATTGAACAGATAAGTATAATATCCTCAGTTTATCAATATGGTTAAATTCTATGTTTCTTTTAAAGATTAAGTAGATAATTAAGTGCATGGTTTTAATAATTATTCTGACTTCTAAACAATTCTGCCTTATGTATCTATCTCTTTTGCTTATTTATACATCTACTTCCTTGTATAAAATTTAAATTACTAAACTTGTTATGAAAATAGTCATCCAAAAATAAGTTAAATAAAATATTCAGAACTCCTTGAATGTAGGTAGATGTTGTGGTACTTTAAACTTATCAACAAGGCGTATTTTCATTCATGAAGTTATGGGTATTACTGTGACTCTTAAACCCGAGTCGCTGAGTATCACGGTATTTATAATTGAACCAAACGAAAAACGAGTGACTTATGATATATTAAACACTAAATGATCACTAAGCACAACCGAACACATATTGTTTATTCATTAGTGGTAATCGAACTTTTTAACCAGGTTTTTATAAATGATTCGGTTCAAAAACTCGAAATTCTTGGTGAACTTTGAAAGGAAAAGTAATTTCATCTTGTACTGTTAGTCCATTGTACTGAACATCAAAATTAGGAATGTTATCATTAGATTATTGTCTATCATACTTCTTCATGATTCCCTTAAAAGAATGTCTCCATATAATTATTTTTCGGTTCATCTGTTTCCTACGATTAAGTACCACACTTCTCGGTGAATGATATTAAATTTAAGATAATTAATAATCGAATACGATCAATACTAATTGAGTGCTATAGTTCATATTGATTTTCCGTAGTTCTATTAAAGTATGTGGAGTCTATCAAATCAGGAATAAAATAATCATTCACTGTTGAAGCTGAATAAAGATATCGCTGTATCACACCTAACAGAATTTGGAAATGTAGACCAGTGGATTCCTACTCATTTATTGAATGTTATCATGTCAGTTACAATATTCAGTGTGTTGCTATATGTCCATACCTATTAGAACTAATAAACCTGGATAATACAATTATCTAGTACTTCTTGGTTTTCTACTATTCTCTAGTTTATTTGAAATTTACAATTTAGATCACTTTCAGATCTTTGAAAAAGAACAATTGTTCAATTCATTTTGCAACGTGATTTGACAAATGTTCTTTATTTTTCCACTTTACTAATAAGCAACTTTCAGGATAAACATAAATCATAAAGCATACCTTTGGGACCTGGAGGTCCAGGTTCGCCGTGTTTTCCAGGTTCTCCATCACTTCCATCATCACCAGGTTCACCACGAGGACCAACTGGACCGATATTACTATCTCCACCAAATCCTTTTTCGCCAGGATCACCTTCTTCACCAGATTCACCTTAGTAACATAATAAAAATTATGTAATAAGATTAGCAAGACAAATTCATTACAGTGTCTCGAAACAGTACCCTAAATGGCTGAGCAAAGGACAAATTAGAACAACAAAAATCTTTATCCTCAAACATCTAGTTGATAGAGGTTGCTAAGTTGATGCAAATATAGCATTTAGAATAGTATATCGAATCACATCCAACTTTTTTATGTTTTCAAGTGTCACCACCTACGTAAATCAGAGGCCATTGGAATTCGCTTAAAAAAACTTGACCTTTACATTCAGAAAATCTTTGCAAGATCTATCTGTTTGTCCTGGCCACCAAACTATATTCAAACGAACTTCTTTCATTTTCATTTTATCACTAGACAACCATTTCTGGGTGTAATGAGCTTGAGTAATTAACTGATTTGTAAAGGCAACTTTATATTCATCAGTCTCTACTCTTAATGAATCATTGAAAATAACTAAATAACCCTTAATACCAAACTCATACTGCATGTACAGTAATAATACTAATCAGTATTTATCTCAAATAAAATAGAAAGGATTCGATAGAACTTTATAGAGCACTTTATGCAAATTTCAAAACATTACGTATTATTTCAAACAAAATAGTCAAGTATTATCAACAGGAATTTCAGTAATCCTATCAAGCAAGCACTCTGATTTGAAGCTTGGATGACTTCAATGAAGACAGAGGTTTTAAAAAATGATTAAAACGTTACCGTCTATTAAATAGTTCTTGTAATGACGTTATTTTTCACTCACCTTTAATACCACGTAAACCTTCCACACCAACCTCACCAATTTCACCTAAATGACCAAAACCATCATCTCCAGGTAACCCTCTTTGGCCTGGTTGTCCTGGATCTCCATCAATTCCAGGTTGCCCTTGTGCCCCATTTTTTCCTGTAAAATAAAGAGCTTATGATTATTGTAGCCTACAGTAGTCATATACTTCACTAACATTTATGATGAATAACTTGATATCAAGTAAAGCTGTATATAGAAATTCGCAAAATTTACATTGATGAATTCATTAGACTAACTTACCATACCAACCCTTAACACCTACAGGACCTTGTGGACCAGGCTCACAAATTTTACCTTGACTTCCTCTTACTCCTTTTGGACCTTCATCGCCTGGGACACCTTTTTCTCCCTGATCACCTGATAAGCCAGGTTCTCCTTGAGTTCCCTTATCACCAGGATAACCTGGGAGACCTTTCTCACCTTTTGGGAAAAACTCGATTGGACAAGTAGCTTTCTTAAAAAAAGGAAATAAACGGACACACAATTGAAAAACAATCAATTTAAATTAATAAAGAAATTGGAGGAGAAACAGTTCACTTATCAACTTATCAAAAACTGATTGAAAAAAAGTACAGAGAAGTAAATTATTTGATTATTTTAGAATAACAATTTATGTATTCAAATTTTCTGCATTCACTTTACTTCAATATGCACCTAATAATTCACCTGATCCATTGGAGTAAAGTTTAATGATTGAACATAAGATTTGTTTTTATAACATTGTTCTTGGGTACATACCTATTTTCATATGGGTTCACAAATGAAATGTCTCACAACTCAAATCTGAATTATTTTGGACAACCGATTAATTTGGAAGTAAATTTAATATTATTGTTATGGATGCTGAGGAATAATTGCCAATTATTAGCATGTTAAGTCTAATGATGTCCTTGAAAGTTAAATGAACATTCCCTATTGGCCGTTATTTATTTCACTCGTTAAATATTGTACAGATGTTGTTTTCTATTTTTATGGTACGATGTGGTCTGTTTGGTTAGTATATAAATAGAGTATGTCTGAAATACAAGGATTCGTAACTCAGAGGCTGTGACTTGCGTTCTAGACTCAACTGGCTGGGCTAGACAGGGGAGCGGGACCAATCGGGACTCTAGGTCGTCCTTACGTGTTTTACGTGTCACTGTAACTAATCGATAAATACGCTGCGCATCAAAACCTGCAGTCACCCGTTACAACAATTATGTTTCTTGTTTGTGCATACTTTGTGAAAATTGTAAATCATAAATTACGATTGACAGTCATGAACTATGTCCAATAAATAAACACATGAATAATCATTTGAAATGATGAAGACTTAATTTTATAGTAAAATTGTTAAACTGCAGACTATTTTAGAGAAAGTAGAACGAGTAAGACAGGAAGGTCTTTTACTTTCTTACTAACAATTTGTGTGTTTCATGTTTAAACCGCTAGTTTCTCAATTACGGCTGAACATGTCATAGTAAGTAACAAATCAAGTCATAGGTTTGGTAGTTTAGGTACCCAAACAAATCGTCGTAAAACGACGAACAGTCGTTTTTAGACATTATTCACCTGTTAAGGTTAGAATGTACATAGGTTTAGGCTTGTATACACGGATGTTAATTTTATGCAAATTTCACATCACGATAGTTCCCCAGTGGATCCCAGTCGAAAATCCAAAACTGTCTTCAGACCAAACAAATCATCGCAAACACCAAATTAAATTCCAAGTTACCAACACTATAGCAACTGTTAATTCTTTAATTATTTTGCCTCGTCTAAGCTTAACAACGAGTATTTTAAATATAACATTTATATATTTAAAGGCTAATTCAAGCCTAACCTATGTATGTATAATAGTATTTCCAATCCCTCATTTTGCCATAATATTAACCTCCCTTTCTATCTACCATAACCTATCAAGTGGACAATTATCTTCACTTCAATAATTTTTCTATTAGCCAGTAATTAAGTATCTTCCTTTCAATATCTGATTTTTGCAAGCAACTCGTTACATGACATCACATCAAGTTATTTTATCATAGACTTCTACTTTTAGGAAATAAATTAACTATGAATACGGCTGTTCAGCTTATGTAAATGAAATTATCGAAAAGAAAATTCTCTTCGTTGAGTTGTTTTTATTCTTCTTCGATGACACAATGGGTCATTTTCCATATTTATAAATCCAGTATATTAACGACTGTAGTATATTCATATACTTGATATAACTATATATTCTAGGAAGAAAGTAACTGAAAGCAACTGTTTCCCAAACACAACTTGCTTCCGACTTTTGATTGAGAATTATTTTACGGGTATATTCAAATTTATTTCAATTTTATTGATATTATGAGGATAAGAATAATTACTATATATCAATTTAGTTAATCAGAAATCTAAAAGTAATCAGATGATTCGAGGACATACCCAGGGATTCCAGCTTGGCCTGGATCACCTTGTAAACCATCACGACCATGTGGACCTCGATCACCTTTCTCACCAATTGTACCTTCTGGTCCAGGTGGACCATCAGAACCTAAATTACCCTTTTTAAACAAGATCAAACAAAATAATCATACAAAGGTTAAAAATTTCAAATTATCACAACATAAAACAAAATGGATTTCAACAAACAATATGAAAATAAATAAAGTTACTGACAGATAAACTGTCTTTAGCTTGAATTCTTATCTATATCTGTTTAACTATATCTATTCCTTTGAGGTACTGTTTTATGACTGGCACCTGTCATAAGTATATCACGCTCTCCACTTTTTCACCGCGATAGTTACTTTGTCAGTTTATTTTTCATGTGCCAGATGTATTGCGAAAGTTATTGATGATAATATTATTATTATTATTGTTATCGGTGGTTACTCTTTAATTTTGTTTACATTAACTCGGATATATTATACAGGGCTTAGGGGTAATTTTATGCAGAAAATTATTTAACGAAACCAGGAAAACTCGTTTTTTTCAGAAAAGTAAACAAAATCAAATGAAGAATTAAAGATAACATATTGAATAGTGGTCAAACTTAAATCAACGATCATTACTGATAAAATTACAAACTGATTTGATCTCAATGTATTTCGATATTATCTGATGGTATAGTGAATAGGTGGATAAAAGGGTTAAATGACGCACTTCTTATTGCATTCTCTGATGGTAAGTGCTGAATTAACTAACTGATAATGAATCAGTTTATGTTGTTTGTTGCTCAGGTTAAACAGATCTAATGTTGGAAAGTTGGAAAATGGCGAATTACATATCCACAGAATCTTTGGTTAACTACTGTAATTTATATGCTTTTGTAGCCATTTAGGTATGCCTTTAATCAGCTGTATATGTAAATCACAACTGCTCCTCCACATATATACATCTTCATAAATAGCGGTGAAATTCTTAAAATTTTAAAACTAATGCCTAATTAAGTTAAAAAGTTATATAAACAAGATATAGTACTTAGTATATATATTTATCTATTTTAACCATATACATTTGGAGGAATGATATAAATTGGTGGATTGTAATCAGTACAGTGAAAACGTGTGAATATAATGTAAAATTGGAAAATACCACTTCCAGTGAATAGTAATAATAGCAATAGTATCATGGGAATTAAGAAGTTTATTGTTTATTAAATATTTCATAGGAAGAAGAAGAAACTCCACAGCTAAGCATTAAATGAGTTAGAGTTAGTGTGCTATTCACACAATCCCTATTCTAAAAACCTTATTTTGATGAACACTTGCATAAGTGGTTGGAGAAAATCAGTGATTAGATCTCTAAATAATATCATTCTTTATTATCTGGTTGGAAAGTACTGTGGAATTAAAATGATGGAACCACCCTACAGTTTAAAAATGTTTCGTATAATTCCAACAAGTCATCATTATTATCTCTTCTAAACGAAAAAAAGCCATAGATATATCTAACTCCAAGAAATAGTATTCTTATGTTCAAGGTAGTACATTTAGTTCCCCTGTTTGGTCTGATGATTCTCTATACTGATTTCCACTTGTCAAAATATAGATTCACTACATCAGTACGTAACACGGAATGATTCAATCAAACGCTGATCATTATAACACAATTTTGATTAAGTTATGATCATAGAAAATGAACTGAAATTTAATGTTCACCCAAACATTCCTTCTTTTGTGAAAGTCCTGAGCCACAAATCTTCACCTTTTTAAGTGAATAGTGCTTATGCAAAAGGAGAGTATGAAAAGTTGAAAATATTCAGTGACTAAAACACAAAAAGTAATTGTGAACAGTTAATCTGAAAGACCATATGATAGGAGTAGTTAAGAAAAAATTATTGATAGTAACCATAAGGAAGAAGTAAAAACACTGGTGCACGTATTATTTAAGGGTTAAATCGGATAATGTTATAGTTACCACAAGGAGATCAGAATCTGTTAAAGTTAATATGCATTTAGGAAAAACAATGCAACTAATGGACCACATTCACTATTTACCATCACCTTAATTAATGCAACATAGTTTTAGTACTAAGTATGTGAGAACTTTCAATTCATACAGTGATGAGCACTGACACTGTTTACTCATTAATCAAACTATACGATATCTGATGAAAATCACTTTAATTTAAAAATTATTTTTGTCATGGACTGACATCATTTGAAGAATCATTAAAACCAATGAGAACTCTATAGCTGTTTCATTTTAATTTAGGACCTCAGAACAATATGTACTCACGAGCCTACACCAAATTAAATCCACAACCTTCATGTCATAGGATGATCTTGTTGTATTTAAATCATCAAGCTTGAACCCAACTTCACGATCATCATCCAACATCATCAATAATATCCCAATGACTGACAGTTTATGTGAAGTGAAACTGTTAGGCTTATTGTCAGAACTCTATGATTTCATTTTGAAGCCTGCCACTCCTAAATAAATGATCATTTTCATTGAACTATTCTTCATTAATATTTATTTGTAATTATACAAAACAATCTAGTACATAGAATAGTTAATTTGTTTACTTCTGAATAAATTAGCAAAAGAGTGACTGAATTAATTCCATCACTATAGATAAATAAGATCCTGTATTGTCATCTTTTACAATATGTAGTAATACAATTTAAAACTTTTCTTCTGTTTCTAAAGCATTTGAATAACTGTAAATATTTATGATAGAATCTAGAAATATAATTTGTAGATAATTTCTTTTAACTGATACACAAATACACCTACTGGTTGTCCAATCGATCCCACATCACCATCTTCTCCAGGATCACCCTTGTAACATAAAAGAAAGAAATGACATGAAGGATTATCATAATACTATTTGATTATATATTATAAACGAAAAAGAAAAAACATTCACCGTTTTATTTATCCTAATCATTTCCCTTAAGGGTAAATAATGTTAGGATTTATAATTTTTAAAGTTTGTTACTTAAATAAATCATTATCTCTATTAAACGCTATGAGATAACATTGTATAATACTTGGTTATTTCTTTACTAGATTTAAGTTGTAGATATATACATGATGCTTTTATTAATCTTCGATAACATGTTCATACATAACCAAAGAACAATCTTATTTCTTAAACCCATTTTCTCTTAATAAAACAAATAAAAACACACTTCTGATGAAATATTTATGATTAATTTTCACAGGATCATAGATCTAGAAAATGCAAATGAACACAACTTTTTAGGTCTTGGAATGGTCATTTATAGAAGGACAATTTGAATTCAAGAGTTTATGAATTTAGATTGTTGAAGAAAGTAATAAACAGTGAAATTTTTATAACTCTATGATGAAATAAGCTTTTTTAATGAATAAATGAACGATAAAAATTTCTTAGAACATTTTTATTTAACTTGTAGGGCTTCTATCAGTTTTGCTTAAAAACTTGAATGCAGTCGTTTTCTTTTTCTAAGTTGTTTCGAAATTAAATCGTGTGTTAATTAGTGTTTCCGTAACAATAAACTGGTAGTAATCTATTTAGAACATGACTTAAAGTTGATCGCTTACAAAATATGATCATTACATGTACACGACGATGTAGAACCATTTGGTTTAACATATGGGTGGTTCGCATCATGGACTGATATTATTTGTGGTACAATTAAAGGTCAGTGAACACTGAATTGTTGCTTCATCTTAATGTGGGAATCAGCAATGAAGACTCACAACTCAACTAGGAATCAAACTAAAAACCCTCATGGTTTTGTGGTGTACATCGAACCGTTTCACCACTGTGTTAGAATTAAATGGATCAAATATTCAACTTCAATACATTTGTAACCATCCGACGTCATTGATTATAACCGTTCCATTCTTAATATAGATGATACTTTCCTGACTCATGAAATAATTGTTATAAAGCAACAAATATTGTAATATTTTTGTTAACAATCATTTTCTCCTAAATAAATTAATAGCTCTAAATAAACTTACATCTAGTCCGGGTTCACCAGGTTCACCTTTTTCACCAATCGGTCCTTCTTCACCTTGTAAACCCTATTTTATTTATCGTAAAAATGTAAATAATCTAGTAAAAATATAAACCATCTTATAAATACAATAGAGTAATTCGAAAAACTCATCAATAATTTATTTCAACAGTTGAGATCATGAGCCGATTGAAGCTAGACCACCATGGAAAACCTGGAAGCACTGGACGGCCGTTTCGTCCCACTGTGGGACTCCTCAGCAGTGCGTATCCACGATCCCGCCCCGCGGGATTCAAACCCAGGACCTATCAGTTTCATGCCATGCGCTTAACCAACTAGACCACTGAGCCGGCATCCAACGGTGCTAATGTCTAACTTCAACTAACCCACGAAATTGAGCGACACATCCACCATTGTCTTCAGTGAGTTACTATCTCACAACAGACCTAGTTGAACTCCACTGGTCACTACTTCTCACTAGAACTCCAGGATATACCTCTTGAAGTCACTCACGATCTCAACTGTCGAAATTACTACAATCTACACAAAACCCCTTCTGATACTAATAATTTATTTGTTAAATGATGTAATTTATTCAATAAGATTCTAAAACGACTACGGGGATGGTGACTGACGTGTCGATTTGATTCACTGAACCGATTCCTTGAAATAACTAGTTACCAATTATCTGAGTAAAGGATCATGTAATATTGAAAGAAAACTCAGGTTATTAACTAGTTTGTCTGAAAGATGGATGACTACGGCTTACTCATCATTCATTAATCAACAAATAGGCAGGAATGATTATTCACTTTAGATCGTAGTAACAAGTGAATCTCATTAGTTATTTACTCGAAATGATTTAGCTTCATACATCCTGTTCTTTATTCTGTTGTAAAAATACTGTATAAATGAATGACAAAAAAGGTGAATGGGACATTCTATTCTAAATAATTTCTGGGTTTACTTTTTGAATCTTACAATTTGAACCATATTCTAAGGTTCTGTTCAGTTGCCAAAATACTTGATTTAAATCGACCATATTATCAATACATTGGATTTATAAGTTAAATTATAGAAAGAGTTTTTTTAATAATTGGTATTTTCCTTAACATTATAATAAAATGAGCTTACCATATCACCCTTATCACCTGACTCTCCACTGTCACCTTTAGGTCCTGGTGAACCCTACATGAAAACAAACGTTAAAAACAATATGAACAGTTTTTATATATATTTATAAATAATGAACATAATTAAGAAGTGGTAGGAAGCTCTATGTTAAGGCTTTAAGACAATCTGGATCTAAAAGAGAGCTGATGCTCTTTTCAGGTGTCAAGACTACAAATTATCGACCGTTTAGCTAATCAGTTGTTTAGTTATAGCATCTATTTCCAGTTAAGCCTACATCAATTATTCTGGTTTTTGAATAGAACAGTTAATTTTTCTTCTTTTTACATTACCAACACACGCCCAGACATTGTCAATCACTCGTTTATAACCTTAACTGTTTTTAAATGAGTGTATGCTTACTTCACTCATCATATGTTTTTAGTTTAGTTTTCTGTATGACTATATGTAATGAGTCACGCTTTGTCAAATGCAGTTGGCACAATCTACATCTCTTCTTCGTTTTGCTTTCCTACTTCTCATCTTCATGTCTGTATAGTTGAACGAATATCTAAAATCAGTTCATCCAAATTAATCCGTATTTGACTTCTTGTTACCACCGTTGCTCAAAAGACCTCAGTTTGGGTGTAATATATAGAGTCAAGTGGAATATACACTAATTTCTATTCAGTTTTTCACTATACTCACCTTCAATTCTCTATTTCCTCACAATTTCATTTTTATTGTATGGTGCATATATATTTGGTGCCCACCTTGTACCAATGTTTATGCATTTAAGTAAATCAATACACTGACAGAACAAGTTCTGGAGCAATTAGACAATAAAATACCATCCATCGCTGATTCCCCCCGAAAAAATTGAGGGCAAGTAAATTTCGTATTTTAAAACTGAAGTTCTTTAGTGTTTGTATTACCCAACTTTTGATATCCACGATCAGAATTTGATTATTTTTGTTGATGTATATTCACCCTAAAAGAATGCCATGATATTCATTTCCTGTTACATATTTTAACATACATTTGGATTGTGGCTAGCAATCCCATTCAGGATGTATATTTTGACCAATTTGAGATTCATCAGCTAGATGTACCTGGACTTCTATTGATATTCAAACCTTTCAAAATTTTATTAAATTAAACTACTTTGTTTTTGTAATTAAATAGTAACAAGTGCTCCACATGTGAAATTTACTGAAACGGACATTTTGAAAAACTAGAATACCACCTTATAATTAAAACAATATAACCTAACTTTCAGTTAATAGTTATTGTCTTATAAATACAAGAATTAGAGAGAAACTAATTGAAAGAAAACGTGCTACAGAAACTAGTCACTAAGCCCTATTAGAGTCATTAATTTGCAACCCATATATGCCTAGTATTTGACTGACTTACTATGTCTCCAGCTTGACCTCTTGTAAAACTGATAAGTTCTTCTTCGGTATATTCACGGTCCATATCTTCACATGGTTGACCATCTTGTCCTCGAGGACCTGGTTCACCACGATCTCCAGGAATTATATTCGTATAATTGTATACTCCACTTTCACCTTTAGGACCGATGTCTCCCATCAAACCTACGGCTCCCTATAACATAAAATATAATAAATATGAACTTTTGCATTTCTACTTTATCCTTATAGTAAAAATGGATGTGTAATATTTTGACGTTCGATATAAAGCTGAGGAATTGACAAATTTGTGAATGAACTGATGAATAACTGATAAATATGTGTTCGTAGCGGTCAAAAAATTTTACAAGATGGAGTTTAAAGATAGCCTCTCATAAAGACTGATATCATCTAAGGAGGAATAGGAAGCCATTATCATGAGTGCTGATTATTGAGGAATCACAACTGTGAATAGATCTATTACTACCTGATTTCAGTCGTAATCAAACGGCAAGAAAAGTTTCCTCCCAACTGAACCTAACTCAAAAGATCACCAAACTAAAAAAACATTTAAAAAATTTAAATGCAAATGGTTGTATTTATGACGAGAAACAAAATTCGTTAAGTCTACCTCATTTAGATATCAAATATGAAATGTGAGGCTAGTTTATATTTTGAATTAACGTTAGATGATAGAAATTATCTTCAAATTATAATGAGTTATTAAATAACCACTTAATTAAAATACATTATAAGAAGTTTTTAGTTATATGGGTACGTCCCGATAAGCATAATGAATGGTATCTATTGTTGGACCAATAATATGCGTATATTTTTATCATATAATTGTTAAATAACTAAACTGTTGATATTCCTGTCCCTCTTATCATGAGCTTTATTTTGACCTATGAACTGTTATTATACGATTTACCATTCTTGGGTTATGGCCTGTCTGTCGAATACTACCTCCCTCATTCACAGCCACATTTGGTTAAATCTTGTACAACTGTTGTTTCTTATTTTATGGTACGATGTGGTCTGTCTGGTTGGTTTATAAACCGAGTATGTTTGGAATAAATAATTCATATCGCAGAGGCTGAGATTGGTGTTCTGGACCTGACTGACTGGGCTAGGCGGAAAGCAGGACCAATAAGGACTCTAGACTGCTCGTACGGGTTTTATACGTCATTGGTCCGATTGATAAACCACTGCTCTCTAATTAGAGGTATCATTACGTCATACATTAGCAGGACACTCAAGTCACAAGTTATAACAATGGGTTAGGAGTTTGGTTAGACTTAGTAACGTATTGCCTTACAGTTTGGTAGATCTGTCCAATTATTAGCATATTACAAATTTTTTTAAAGTTACAAAATCGGTTTGCGGAAATCATAGATTTATGGAAATAATGAAAATATGATCAGGAAAGTAATGAAGAACAAAAATATGGTATACATCAAGTCGAGGAAGGAAATTTATAAATATGATACGAAAATCTTACCAATACTTACAATAATGATATAAAATGAATGTATTTCTACCACTATAACTGCTTTTCAACAATATCGTCTAAGCATGTTTAACAGAGCCCATTCATGAAACTCACGTTTCCTTCAACTGACCATTAGTGACTTAATCGATGAATGTTTTACTTTAGTTTAATAACATACTTGCTTTTCTCCTACTCTTTTGAGTCTAGGTGGAGTACAATGCGAATTCGGCACAACATTTATATGCTACACCGAAGAATCATAGTGTACGATTTGACTGAATGAATATCTCTACGTGTAACATCATCATTGTTAATTTCGTTGTCAAGATGCCCGTTTTCACAGTTTTAAAATAGAGTGTTACTTCTTTCCGCTTAATATATTTTGCGCTAAACAAATGGTAGTTTGAATGTACTCGAAACAATCCTAAATACTATAAAGATTTCAACTGGAGACAATTCAGCCAGTGATTTATAAAAATACATACACAACCATACAATAATTCATTTTTTCTTCCGAGAAGTATTATAGAAATGAATAATCTAAAGAGCACATACGAGATAAAAACTATATTATTAGTTTTATGATAGAGTTTTGATAAGTGTAATATGATTGTATAAGATATTAAGTAAAGAAAGTCATCTTAACTAAACAATGTTGTCAAATATTGATATATGTCAATGGAATAAGATGAAGGGATAATCTTATTTTCATGACTAATAGTCGTACAGTACGTACTTTGACTTATTAATACAAAATGTGAACAAGTACATATATTGCCATGTAAAATTGGCACATGTCAATTCAAATAACAGACAAGGACAGATAAGGCTAAAAGAGCCTTTTAGAAAAATATTTACATCATATTTAGAAAAAAACCGTAGTATAAGTGATATTATTTCAATGATTACAGTATTCTTATCACTATTGTTTATTCCATATGAAACGTGTATAAGAAATAAGTGAATAATGGAAATTTTGTGACAAGATTATGAACATCTGATTAATCTGAAGTCTGTTTACTTTATAACTGTTATTAGTTAAGGCTAATTTACTTAATATTTGGTTTGCTAGTTTTCATCTTGATGATAATGTGAATAACTCTATCCAGAAACTCAGTTCCTGGATAGTATCATGTTTGTTTAAAAACATGAATGAATCTCATATATGGTTGTTCGTACATCGTTGGCAAATCCTTATTTATCGTTATATAATACTTAATCAGTCTAGCTTCAACTGACTCATGATTTCAATCTGTGAAAATTTCTAAAATCTCCACGAACCCCTTCTGATAATAATCATCTGCTCACTAGTGACTGACTCCAAGAAATACTCCTGAAGTTCTAGTGGGAAGCCGTTACCAGTGGAGTACAACCAGGTCTGTTGTGAGATATCAGCTCACTGAAGACAATCGTATATGATGGCGCAACTTCGTGGATTGGTTGAAGTTAGACATTAACACCGTTGGATCCCGGCTCAGTGGTCTAATGGTTAAGTGCTCGCGCGCGAAGCCAGTAGGTCCTGGGTTCGAGCCACGCGTGGTGCGGGATCGTGGATGCGCACTGCTGAGGAGTCCCGTGTTAGGACGAAACGGCCGTCCAGTGCTTCCAGGTTTTCCATGGTGGTCTAGCTTCAATCGACTCATGATTTCAATCTGTGAAAATTTCTAAAATCTCCTTAAACCCCTTCTGATATTATTCAGAAGTGCCAATAAAATCGATTGATCAGAAACAACAATTTGTAGGTGAGTGAAAAAGATGAGAGTATGAAAATACGCTTGATAATGAGAAAAATGAAATAAAATGGGATGAAATCCATGCGTAACTGTGAAAATGGTTTTTTTTATATACACTGGTTATGTACAAAATAAATGGTAATTCAAAGTGATGTTTTAGGGTAAATGCTGTCGTATTAATGGTATTCACTTACGTATACACGCCTAACTAATGATCTGTGCTTTAATTACCATTCCCTATAAATACTTACTGATTCTCCTTGAGGTCCACGTGGACCAGGAAGTCCATCTTCCCCATCAAGCCCTGGCAAACCCTGAATAAGAAAACAAAAATAAATGATATTGTAGATGAATGTAAATTCTAGAAGACATTCCAGATCACGCTAATTCAACAACATATTTCGTTAAAAATGTATTTCATTCAATATCAGTTATTAACAAAAATGACTGATTAACCCTCTGTTAGTATCTTGGAAATAAAGGACGATCTATGAATATCAGATGCGTTGCTATTACTATTATATACTGTAAACAAATACAAATGTAATTTTTAAACATTTTCTTGGTTACTATTGACATTTGTACATCAAATGTATTTGTCATTTAATTATAACCCACCGCCTGACTTCAGATTATCAATAACCGAAATACAACCAGGTGAAGAATTGTCTATTGTCAAATAGCTTTTAATTTCAGATATAAATAAGTTTATCAGCAAGTCATATTAATTTCAAAACTATCTAAAGGTGAGATTTTATTCTTCTTTTAACGAAAATTACATACTGTTTAGTAAGGAATCATGTAAAATAAACTAGGTTTCTGTTTAATTATTAGAATGTGATGTACTATTAATTTAGGACAATAAGAGAAATAGAAAAACGCTCATTTATTAAGATATCAATCACTTAAGAATAATAGCAGATGAAAAATAAATGGATAGGGGAAATCGTTTTTACATCCTAGTGGATTTAATTATGGGTAGATTAATTTGGATATGAAATTAACCAACGTAAAAAAGGTAAACACTTCTAGCTAAAGTGTGCGGATGAGGTCGTTCAGAGAAATGATAAAAGCTCCACGACCAAACCATCAGCTCAGAGAAAAAAACCGCATCAAAATCATCCACCTGAGCTACTAATCTTCTCATCCATTTCAGTGTCTCTATGAATTTATTTTAAACATATAGATTTAAATCTAACTGAGTGGTCTTCAAAGACTGACAGTGTATATAAGAAGTTAGACCTTTAATCACCAGGTAGAGATTAATGTAACGGAACCTAAGTACATTTTATCAAAGATTTTAATTTGATGAAATTGATGACCTATTTCCCAGTGGATCAAGTAAACATATGGAGATTTTAATGAATAGTGAGAATTAATATATATGAAACTGATTACCACTGGTTACGTAATTCATATAGGTAGCAATTTACAATTTTTTAATTAATTACCCATGAATAAGAAAGTAGTCTGAACAAACTGTCTTATCAATTGTATGTCTATATTTAGTTAATGTTTCTTTGTAACCATTAGTATCAGATTTGACATATCACTTCGCAAAATCTAGAAAGACAATTTTCATAGAAGGATGAAACCTTACACAAAACCTGTACTAAATCAAGATTTATTATCTAAATTAGTATCTAAATTATTATTCGAGACTAGAATTATAATAGAAAAATTATTATTTTCCTAAACTGTTCAATTAATAATTATTTATTTTCAAACTAATTAGTACTTGGGGATAATTTAGTGTTTAAATGACATCGATTAGAGTTTGAAGTTAATTTATAGAACCTATCAATAAATGCTGTATTTCTATGACGTTAATTTTATCTTGTATGTATTTATTACTATTTATTATTTAAACACATAAACATTGGTACAAGAAGCCACCAAATTTATATGCACCACACAAATCACAACCTAGGTGCCAAAACTGAAGCAGGTGGTTCTCCTAGAGAGCCACATACAAAGCCTTCGATCTAAACGTCTAATCCACAAAGTAGTGAAGCAACGTCAGGAGATGCAGTCCCATGCTAGCCAGTGACCAACAATAGGTTTATATAGTATTTGTTTCCTTAGGATCATGGAGTCCATGTGCACCACTGATTTGGAATTAGGGTTTTCCAACTAACTCCCTCAGATGGATCCTCTGTGTCCATCAACCGTGTTAGAGAGTCGGACATTTTCTATTCGTCGTCTCAATTGCGTAAACAACACCCCAGCTACGAGAAGGCAGTTAGTAGGATTTCCCTGACAGTCGTCGTATGCACGTGCCATGTGAGAGCATTTCGAGAGAGAGTGTGTGTGTGGACTCTCCCCACTCTCGGCCGTACCAGGGCATTTGAGGGCCATATTGTATGTAAAATTATCGACGAATTATTTACTAACACTTTACATTGATGAAGAAGACAATAACATACATAAAATGTCAGAAAATTCGAAAAGTATTATCAATATGATACCTTTAAATCTTGATTACATGCGGTGGTAACTAACTGTTGAAACTAATACACCTACCGCTCAATTTAAGTCCATTAGTTTCATATACATTCATTAATGTTTTACATAGACTCAAACCCAACGCCTAATGCTTTAAAATCTTGATCATTACTCATTACACTTGAGAGTCACTACAAGTATCTCTTAGTTTCAGTGATGAAATCGTTCTTCACAGTACAGATATATCTAAATGGCGAGTTCTAAATACGATAGGGTATCTGTCGTAGGTTTTGTTATTATAATGTGTTATCACAACTAATATCACGATATCAATACATTAGAGCGATATTACAAGAAGCATGGTTTACTTAACATTAAACAAACGAAGAGCGATCCAACTCAGAGTATGTAATAGTAACTTACATCTTCTCCAGGTTGGCCAATGTCACCTGGATCTCCCTATAAATAAGCAAGAAAAAGTATTTAATTATATGTGTATATGTATATATTCACTAATAACGATAAGTAAACATGGTTATTGCATTCGTGAACTTTGAGAATGATTCGTTAATTTACATTTGAAAACAAATCAAAAAGATAGGACAATGCAGTTTGTTTTTTCGCAAACAAAATGATGTTAAATTTTTACTAAAGAAAATCAATAAGAAGCTGTTTAACATATTTGTACTACTTATTAACATGTACCAAAAGATTGTGTCTGTAGCTTTAGGAACAGTGAATTTGTACCTGAGACTTTGTAGGTTCTTAGCTTCCATCAGTCGAGAAAAGGATAGAGCCATCAGGTTGTTAATCCTCACAGTATCCGAACAGGATGAGTTTCCCTGTATATTATGGAATTGAACCTGGAGCTCCACTCTTGGTGGTAACTTTTAATCAACTACTCTAAGTTCCAGTACTTGACAATACTCTCTTTGGGGCCCAAAGACTTGAGAGTTTACCTAGCACAGCCCGCGAAGAAAATTATAGAGTAAACTCAGATGTCTAGGTGAAAGCATTTATGATCAAGATTACAACGCTATCCAACAGCTTTTGGAACTTTGCCTTTGACTGCTGATCAGTGAGAACATAATTAGGAAATCCTCCTACTGGGATTCATCTAGTGGTGACCCCAGAATTTCATAGCTAATACCCCCATAAAAAACTTCTCTGTATCTCTCTCTTACCCATTACTATTGGCCCAAAAACCAGTATCTCATCATTCCATACAAAATTTGCAGGCTCATAAGCCTTCTCTGAGCACACATATTTGTTGAAAGTAAAGATCCTGACCTTTCCCGACACTCGTTTTAATGTATCCGGAAGCACTGGTGAATTAACTATCAGTTATACTAAAATAAATAAACAGTTTACTGTAGATTCCTGATCACCAAGTTTATTCGGGGTTCCTCTTTGAAAATAGATGAAAAAATATTACAATAAATTTCTGGGTTAAATTTCGGGAACATTTTAAGACTCATTTTCATATATAATTTATAAGTTTCTTAAAGACCTAATTTGCTTAAACAAAATAAAAACAACAGGGTTTGCAGAATAAAATGAATTTATTCTTTTCCACAGTTTCTCATCATACCCATAATGTCTATTATGAACTCACTATATCATAAGTTGGCTCGGTAGCTAGCCACATTATTATAACCCATTCATAGAAAACTGACGACCAATAGTTTAAAAGACATGTTTTAGTTTTCCAAAGAAACGGATCAATTGAATATATCAGATAAATTCATGGTATCTTTTGATGTATATTCATTATTAACGAGTATACTATTAAAAGAAACTATCAATATAATTTACAAACAATCTAAATTACTTTCTTTGCCTGAAAATGAGCTGAGGAAACTATTACTACTTTGCATGAAGGGAATGCATTTCCAATTCAACAACCAACTATACAAACAAACCAATGGGGTGCCATGGGATCACCACTAGGGCCTATTTTGGCCGACATTTTCACGGCTAAAAAGTGGATATCCGAAGAAGTTTATTACGAAATACGTAAAATGTCCCAGGGATGATGAACAACCAACTGTTAGGAAGAAACCTGTTTTCATCCCCCTCCCGTTCAAGGGAGATATGATTTCAGGAAGAATGGATAGAGTCAAAGCGGAGATAAACAGAACCTTCCCCTCTGCTCATTTAGTTTCACTATACAACACCAGGTGTTCTTTATAACATTCAAAGGTAGATCAATACCCTTCTGACGTCACCTCCAATTGTACCTACGAATTCACGTGTACCTGCCATAGCAAGTACATAGGAAGGACAAGAAGAAGGGTCTCTACAAGGTTTTCTCAACACGTTCATAGGAACCTACGTCTGAAAGGGAGTAAAATCTTTACAAGTGCAATTCTCAGACATCTCGATAATGGACACGAATAGAATGTAAGTGATGCATTCAAAATAACCAACAGACAAAAAACACCTATTTTACTCCGTTTTGAAGAGGTAATCGCTATCAAACCTTTGCCAACCTGACCTATGTAAACAGAAGGAAAGTTTGATTAGTCTTTACCTGCCATGATGATCGGACGTTTGTCTGCTAACCCTTGTTAATCTCAATTTTTTTCGACCCTGTACCCAACCTTTTATTATTCTTCTGATATTTCTCTCTTACATAATCTGACTAATGTTCACATATTTGTCTATTTTATCATGTTGAATGATTACCTAATCACTTCTTAATTTCATCACCCTTACATAACCTCTTAATTAATGCCTCCCAACATATAAATACACATCGATCTTGACAATGTTTATTCATACACTTTATATCTCTATTCTTCCGACTACTATGGCTCTCAGAAGGGGTTTTGTGGAGATTGGTTGAAGTTAAACATTAACACCGTTGGATGCCGGCTCAGTGGTTTAGTTGGTTAAGCGCCTGGCGCGAGACCGATGGGTCCTGGGCCGAATCTCGCGGGGTGAGGGATCGTGGGTGCACACTGCTGAGGAGTCCCGTACAGGGACAAAACGGCCATCCAGTGCTTCCAGGTTTTCCATAGTGGTCTAGCTTCAATTGACTCATGATTTTAATCAGTGATATTATGATTCTGGTTACATGCTGAACATTTATCTAAACTTCACAAAATAAATAATTGTTATTTTAGGTTATATGCAGCTAATGAGAAACTGTCAAATAGAATGAATTCATTTTATTCTGCAAACCTTGTTGTTCTTGCTCTGTTTAAATTTATCAAGGGATCTGGTTGTATAAAATTCGCCCAGTTATTAACTCAATCTTCATTTTAGAAGTACTGACACGTAGTGTATAATCAACTGTTGATGCGATGCAAAAATTTATTAGCTAGTGAAATTTTATTTCGAAAATAGTTCTATATAATACAAAATGATAAAGATAACTGTTTTATTAATTCAGAAAAAGTGAATGAATTACCTTCTCACCCATTAATCCTTGTCTTGAGCCTCCAGTGTATCCTTTAGGACCTTTAGTTCCTGGTTCACCAGGTGTGCCTATTATACCTGGGGCTCCAGGTTCACCTTGATCACCATTATCTCCCTAAACGAAAAAAAATAAATAGTGTACTTTCTTTGGAATTGGGTTCATCAATAATCTGTTGTATTAAAGAGAATTTCTATCCGATTGAGTTAATTAGTTTATCAGAACTCAATAAATAATAATTAGAACCAAATTATGAAAAATGTAACATGTAAAGAATATATTTTTATATATCTTACCGATTCACCATCACATCCACTATCTCCTTTATCCCCTTTCTCTCCTCGCATACCAGGATGACCCTTTAAAAAGTATAACATTTAATTTAACTAGACACTTACTGGATCACCATCTTTACCGGGATAACCCGGTTGACCAGGTAAACCCTGTAGAATTGAAAGAATTCTGTAAAAGTTACGAGGTAAAATATGGAGAACTTTTATTCAGCAAGCAGACTTGAAACAAATCGTGAATAACTAATTAACCAACTTCAGACCATAACAACTTTATTATTTAATGTTCATTAAATATTGTTTGGTTAGCTACAGCTGGATACCTTGCAGTTTCCGTTTACAGGTAGATGAATTTTCTGCTTTAATATCGACTTACTTAACATTTAAATTACCCATACCAATGTAATTTGTCGACATTTTCAAAATTAAATAATCTCATACACCAATTCCGAAGAAGAGTACTCTATTGATTCTAAAGATGGTTAATAATTCGAAAAACAAGATATCTAATAAGAATTAGTTATTCCAGGTTTCTCATGTAACAGATATAAAGTTATAAATAGCGAGATTCCTCATCATATAAAAAATTAATATAATATATATATGCAAACCTTTTCACCTCTTGGACCCAATACACCGGGAATTCCTTGTTCACCTTTCTCACCTGGTGATCCACGAAGTCCAATAAGACCTACATCACCTGGAGGCCCTTCCGAACCTCGTACACCTATTGGACCAGGTTGCCCCTGTTCAAAGTTATACATTTGTAAAACAATTAATCATTTATTAGTTCTGATTTAGGTAAGGATAACAGTAATAAAAACATTCAATGAATATTTTCGACCATAATTTCCATAAATATCTGGACGTTATTAGGACAGGTTTATTAAAAAAAGTGATTATAATTGTTCCAATATATACTATTGAACGAAAAAACTGGGAACTAAAGACACTTTCAGTATGACTTATCGAGTAGGTGGAAACGACCTGAGAAAGTATCATTTCACTTATTTAGAAAGAAACTCATCCAATCAACTTATTATTAATACTCATGGGAACAATTTGTTTAGAATTCTTACTTAAATCCATTCCATGAACCAAACAATTTATATTTGAAATACTTATAATTGCTATTCTTCATTTCGGGGGCAATCAGTAGGATATCGAAAACTTTCTTTATGTTGCGACTGACACTTATCAATAGTTTGTTACTTAAATCTTGTGAAAATTAATGTTTTTCCAGAGATCCAGAACTGTATCACTTATCGGTCAAAGATTTTCTCATATATGCTGATCGAATTCTATCAATCATATACAGTGATATTTTAGTTGCTTCGGTAGCACAATTTTAACCTACTGTCATCAATAACTAAATTCACTGATGATCACAACCGAATTGTCATAAATTTATTTCTGTGCAGTGGGGTACCAAAAGAATGTTTATACGAAAGATGCATTCAATATATCATACTATACCTTTAATAGTATCTAACGGACAAATAAAGACAATGGAATAACTAAAATTATTTAAATATCTAACAGATGAGTCAGGTTTTTAGGTATCAATATCAAGGTTGGACTTGATAGTTTCAAGTAAATTGAGGATTGGGTAAAAGGTTAATAATAAATATATTTTTAATCAGAGAAGGGTATTATAGATATTATAATTAGTTAGTAGATGAATTCATCAGTCAATCGAAGCTAAACCACCGTGGAATGCCTGGAAGCACTGGACGATCGTTTCGTCATATTGTGAGGCTCGTCGGCAGTGTGCATCCACGAACCCGCCTCGCGAGATTCGGATCCAGGACCTATCGAATATTTATTTACTCTGAATGAGTGGCTTACGTCAAGTCACGAAACGTCAGAAATATTATCTTTTTACTTATTGGGATATAACAAAAACATATCTATTATTAGATGAGTTCGGTGTTAATCTGGTATGAAATCTACCATTTAAATTCGGATTTAATGTCTATAGAAAATAACTACGTGGATAGAAATATTATTTAATGGATACGATGATGAAATAAAATCTTAATAGCTCTAAACAATTTTACTAACAAAGTCTGATTATTAAAATGTTTATAGTTGGTCAAATAAATCATTAAACAAAATTATGTTTAAGTAGATAAAGATTTACCTGTATTCCTTGTGGGCCGACACATTGACATTTTTCTGGAGCACAAACTATTGCGCATCGATCTAGATCAGACTGCTGACAAAAGAAAAACAAAGTTAAAGGATTAAATATCTTTCATCTGTAACAGTAGAGATTATGAGAGTGATTTATCAAGTCACAATTAAACTAGTAACATATTACAGACATTTATCGCAGCATATGTTATAAATTAATGATAATATTTGAGCCCCCTAATTTCCTGATACGGTCGAGAGTGGCAAAAAACAGCTCTCTATCTCCAAATTCTCTCACATGGAATCTTTTTGTGAAATAATTTTTCGAACCATAATCGTTTCATGCCTAATTTAGTTGTTTTTTTTCCGATCGAGTTTTCGTATTTCAAATATTTTTACTTTGATTTCATTGACCGTTTATTCAAAACGAAGAAGTTTTGTGTTATGACTTTAAGTTGTGGTTGACTTTTACCCTGTGCTAATTGTTGTGTCCTTGACTGGAAAATTAGAGAGCAGCGTACTTATCGATCGATTCAATGACACGTAAACACGTACGGACGGCCTAGAGTCTCGATTGGTCTCACTTCCCTGTCTAGCCCAGTCAGTTGAGTCCAGAACACAAGTCACAGCCTCTGAATTATGAATCATTGTATTTCAGACATACTCTATTTATATACCAATCAAGCACACCACATCGTACCATAAAATAGGAAACAACATTTACAAAATATTCAACAAGTGAAATAAACATCGACCAATAAGAAATGTACATTTAAAGTCCAAGGACACCATAGACTTAACATGACAATGATTGGCATATTATTCTGTATCCACAACATTTTGTTTACTGTGTACTGCATTTTCTAAAAAACGTTTATCTATTTGAATACATAAATATTGGTACAAAGGAGTACCGAATACATATGCGCTACACAAGTCATTTGATTTGTTTGTGGGCCGTGTTACTGCACGGGTGCCCACACCAAAGCAGGTGGTTCTCCTAGAGAGCCACATACAAAGCCTTCGATCTAAACGTCTAATCCACAGAGCAGTGAAGCAACATCAGGAGATGCAGTCCCATGCTAGCCAGTGACCAACAATAGGTTTATATAGTATTTGTTTCCTTAGGATCATGGAGTCCATGTGCACCACTGATTTGGAATTAGGGTTTTCCAACTAACTCCCTCAGATGGATCCTCTGTGTCCATCAACCGTGTTAGAGAGTCGGACATTTTCTATTCGTCATCTCAATTGCGTAAACAACACCCCAGCTACGAGAAGGCTGTATACGTAACGGGACTTATGTTTTATTCTGTAACTGATTTTTATATGGAAATCACCGGAAGTTTAATTTACGAAAACATGCATACAATTATGAATAGTAAAACCTTGCTGTACATGAAACCATTCAAAATAATTTAAAGGTCTTCTTTTGTAAATGTGTACTTTCAAATGTATTACATTCATTTTAATCTAACGAGTAAACCTAATGCAATAACTGTACATTGTTTATATTATGCCTAATGGTCAGAACATGAAACATTGTTAAATCAACTTTGAAAATGTTCACTCTACTTATTATTTGATAATAATCTTTTAAAAAAATATAAATTGAACTGATTACTTTTCGATAATGCAGTGAAAAGACGAAGTCTTTTAGAACTATTACTGGTGTCAACATGTATATGTGTGATCAGATTGTTCGAAATGTATTGCGTCAATATATCCCATAATTTCGATGAACTTCATCTTCTCATTGCATTATCGAAATTTATCAAAGGGATTAACTGATTACATTATTTTCAAAATATTTAATTTTGTACATATATTTATACATTATTTATAATCAGAGAGGGGTTTTATGGATACTATAGTAATTTAATAGTTCAGTTCATGAGTCAGTTGAAGCTAGACCACTATGGAAAACCTGGAAGCACTGGACAGCCGTTTCGTCATACTGTGGGACTTCTTAACAATGTGTATCCACGATCCCGCCCCGCGAAATTCGAACCCAGGACGGTTTCTCATGGTTTCCCGTAGTGGTTTAGCTTTAATAGACTCATGAATTCAACTATTACATTATTTATAGTTTGAAAATGTACATTTCCAACTACATTAGTGAATTATTACTATTATTATTTTTCATTCATTTTTCCGAATACCTTTTGACTAAAGATAATACCATATTACCATATCTTTTATTAAAAATCTCTTATTGTTCATTATTCAAATTAATTTGATTCTCTGATGTCTAAATGTAGATTAATAGAGTTTAACACAGTTAATAAACATTGATGTCAAGTTACCACACATATGTAAACTATTGAATGATAGACTCTATTGTTGTTATCTTAACGTCATTCTTGTTTCAAGACTTAGTTTACACAATATTATAAGCTTACTTTAGTTTAAATAATCTATTACGTCAATATAATATAAAAAGTTACTTATTTATACGACAGAATAGAAATTCGATTTACAACATAATGTCAAGGTCATGTGCCTTGACACTTAGAAGTAGCACTAAATTTAACCATTTCTTATTTACAAGAGAAAAAATTAACCTTTTTCTTCAATACTTTTCTTTGTTAATATAATATCTCGAATTTCCAACTTGACAAGAATAACAGTCAAAGTTTTACATTCAGAATTATAAACTCTAACAATCATGACATTTAAACGTATTCACTATAAGTAAGAAGTTAAATAAACGCATATTTATTTGGAATTGTATTCCTGTCTATGTGTGTATGTAATTGCTTCAGAATTATAACGGATAGTGATATACAATGTTTTTACGAAGCATCTTCTACTAACAAAACAATGCTAAAATGTTAACTATGTTGACAGTTTCAATTACCCCACCTCACTAGTGGATGGATTTCCTGGGGTTCCGTGACCAGTACAATTCAACAATGTCTGATGTGAAGATGGCTGCGCAATATCGTGGATTGGCTGAAGTTAAACATTAACACTGCTGGATGATGGTTCAATGGTCTAGATGGTGGGCGTTTACGTGCGAGACCGAAGGTCCTGGGTTCGAGCCCGGTATGCAAAGTTGTGGATGCTCACTACTGAGTAGTGTTATACTCGAAAACAGCCATTCATTGCTTCCGGACTTTCAGTGGTAGTCTAATACTGATCCATTAATGATCTGAATCAAACACTGAACAATCTCCACAACCCTATACTAAAAATTAAGCTATAACGTACAATGATAAAAATTTCAAATTATCAGATTTCATGTAACATGATATTGAGTGAATTGAATCAATATACAACTAGAAGTCAAACGAGAAAAGGAACGATTTTTACTTAAGCTAATTGATCTTATCAATAGTTATTTTATAAACACGTAAAGTTTGATTGAATGCTAGAACATATGTCAGGAATCTATCATCTGAGTAGAGTAGATTATGGATACAATAAAGTTTTATGAGCTCCATTATTAATACCTATAAGATGAATAAGTGCAATCAAATATCTTTATTATTTAAAGATACCATATGTTAACATTCTAAGAAAACTTCATTTTATCATTGTGAACTGTGTATAAAAAGCTTTCAGCGAACATTTGTAATTTGACGATAAGGTCCATGAAAGATTTATTCGTTTTGGAAATGAATGTAAATTCATATTATTGGTTTGCGGCATAAATTAATACCAGACGAGCATTTACTGAGAACCGTAGAATGTTTGTTATTAATGTTGCTGATTTATAATTCATCAATTGTCCTCATTTTTCTAATTTATCTTGGAAATAATTCCATAACACTTCAAAGTACTGAGTTAATTACCTTTCCAATCATTCATATTTATTTTAATATTTTACATTTTTGACTAAAATTGACTAAATGTTATTACTAATTTATTTCTAATTATTATTTAAGTCACCTTATAACATCCAGCTACTCCGAAAATGGGTTACTTATGGAAGATTAAAATAGTCAGTTACTGAAATAATACTGAAAAAAAATCAGATTTTAATTAATTGACAGTGAAATTCATAAACATAACAGACGATGGGTGAAGCTATAATTTATGGACGAACCAACCAGGTATAAGATAACAGGTTTTGGATTTTGGAGAGAAATTCATTCAGCTATTTGGCAAAATAGAGTGTTGGCATTATAGCCGATGTCAGTTCGTGATGCAAACCCTAAATATTATTCCTAGCTTTAAACGTCAAATGTAAATCACAATTCGAAGTTTTTACACAGGTTTATAACCCTCATTTGGTCATAGTTATTAGGCGGACAATTTCAAGGTCACTTTAGCGTCGCTTAAAGGTCGTCCATAAATTATAGTTTCACCTCTAGTTCTTATACAACCGTAGGTTCAGTAGATAAAATTAAGAAATATTCAATTCAATAAAATTCAAACTCCAATACTAAGTAATCACAATCATTTTAAACCTTTAAACTGTGAAACCGTATGAGATATTCCAGTTAATTTACACATTTTGATGGAAATGATTAGTTACATAATAAAGCAAGGATCAAAAGTAATCAATGTTGCCTGTTATTGAATTGAGCGATTTAATACTTACTACATACTGTTGAAAACAATTAAACATAAACTGTCATAAAACTAAATTATTTGAGATAATGATAATAATAGTAATAATAATAATGTAACATCAACTAAGAATGTTTTTTGGCATTTAGAATATTCTTTTCTTTTTCTGATTTCGTTTCTTCTGTAACATCAAAAAAAGAGCATTCGTTAACTTTAAAACGTTACCAATACAAAAAATGAACTTGTTGCATTAAAAAAGATCGATTTCCTCACTAAATAATAATACTATCAACTGAAAATGTGTGTATGATTATTAGTAAAGAGGTTTGTATAAACAGTGGAATTTTATAGTTTACATAAGAGTAAACTTGGTTAGACAATTGCTTAAAACTATGGTCCACTAGAGATTCGTTTCACTTTAGTGATGAGAGTCTGAATGCAGAACTTATAAGTTACATGGAGGGCACATAACCACCATCGAGCTGCCTATATTTCTATTTTCAATCAATAAGTTATGCTTTGCAACCATCTTTAACTCCCATTAATGAGTAACTTCTTCACACCAAACATAGTTAAATTTAACCTGACATGCATTCTCAATATAATAAACCTTCCAGAATTATTTCTATAAATTAGTTCCTAATAAGAATACAGGTTTATGAAGATTGTTGAATATTATAGTTTGCATTAAAGACAAGTCTTAGTTAATTGTGTAATTAATTTATTACATTTTCAAAATTCAACAATCAGAAATATTTTCTCTAAAATTATTGTGGTAGCAAAATTATGCTGAGCCTGAAGTATAATTGTAATGATTGTTATACTTGATTTGTTTTGTACTTAACCTATAATGTAATTTCCATGATTTAAATGAAACAATTATAGTTATTTAGACAATAATATATGGAATGACAGTATTAATTTTATACATTTATCAATTATTCTAGACCACCGAGCCGGCATCCATCAGTGTTAATGTCTAACTTCCACCAGTCCACGATATCTCAAGAATTTGTAGGTGTTCTGAAGAAGAAAAATATGAACTCACAAAGAGTTATTAGTATAAACGTGACCAAATACGATAGAATGCAGTCTTCTCACTCCTTGTACCAAAACGTTAGTGTTTTTTTAGTGAACTCTTAAAAGAGTTAACGAATCAGTAAACTGTCAAAATCAGTACAAATGAAAACAACAATTTGAGAAAATGTGGAAACATTGTTTGGATGATATTGAATCCTTAAAGTTGTAACTTAAGACAAGTTCGTTTTTTTTCTCCGGTCTAATTCAAAAAATTTTCGTTATTTCTAAAAATGATGGAACCGGATTTTTTTCATAACTTTTTTTTGCATAAATCAGTTTGGCAATCATGTTTCTTATGAGGTAGTTTAATATCCATTTGGAAAACAAGACCCAGTTTTGAAAGAACTCTTCAATGAATACAAAAGGTTTTTGTTTATATCATTGATATCAAAAGCGATAAATAATACCCTACTTATAACAAACAAAAACTTACAGATCTCACCGACTGAACAATTACTACAAGATATAATCCAACTAAATATAACAATCGTTGTAATGTGTTTCTGAAAGTAGGCAAGAAAAGAAAATGAAGAAATAAGTGTGTGTAAACGCAGTTACCGAAAATATTATACGAGAATTGGACATCCATTGTTCAATACATTTCATATATAAGAAACCAAGAAACCTATTTAATGAAATGGACAATAGTGGGCTAACATAAATCAAAATGTACAGATTTTCAATGTGTTTTAAAAAAGGTATTGATTGAAATTGAACTGATATTTGGAGTAAGAATGTCCTGACATTCAGTCTTTGAATCATTGGCCTTTTTAGTTATAGAAAGGGTAGAAAAGTTATTAAGGGTACTTTTGTAACAAGTATTCATTGTATTACCCCAGTATTGATGAGTAGCATAAAATAATCATATGTCAGAAAAAGTGTATATATCAAGCTACAGATGCTATTAAACCGAAATTTTAAACATCCCAAATATTGTTGAACGCACCTTTAACTGTTAAATGGTAACAATGCAAACTGAAGATTGTAAAATGGCCGTTTAGTATAAACGTGAAGCTTCAAATATTCAGTGTAGTAATACTAACCCGTAGGTTTTGTTTAGATCTTTAATTTGTTGACTCAGAAAATCAAATGAATGATATTATCATTATTATCACTATTGCTTGTTCTACGCAACCCATGTATTATAATGATTTGAATGCCTTAAATTTGACCATTTATGATATGGCAACTATTCTTTACAAAAAAGACCTAAACCAAAATGATACTGCTGTTCTTCGCTTTTTTCTCTTCAATTGACACCAGTTACTAATGTATTTTACCTTTACAATATAAAAAATCTTTAAAAACTGATTAATTCAATGAAAATATAACATAAGTTTCACATCAAATACTTTGTTTCAAACTGTAAACCTTTCAAGTGGTGAACAATAGAGTTATCAATTTTAAGATTTAATTTAAACAGTCAAATTGTAAGTATAATTCAAATCGTTGTAATCTACACAAAATCTTTTAAAAAGTTTAAATTTCGCAGTCTAAAAATAGTAAATTAGTTAACTAACTATTTAATGATTACCAACAGATAATACACACATCATATACTTTGAAAGTTTCGTATTTCAGTTAATTATTTGTACCATTTGGACCATTAATGTTCCTTAAAATTACATTCTACCCATGTTATTATCGTGTTTATCATAATGAATTACAAATGGAAACAATCTACTTTTATGCACCTACAAATCTCCGAATTTACATAGTCATCTAAGGGAGAAAATCTAATTGGTTTGTTATTATTTTTTTTTAAAACGGTACATGCTATGATATTAAATAATCATAGTAACTGAATGAAATAAGGATAATTTATGCATCAATTAGACGATTAACTGTTAAATGCCTAGAGTATTTGTTCTGCTCCTTGTCATGACCTTGACATTTATCACGGTTAAATCAAGTAAATTTCTAATTATAAATACACATCGTTGATCAATATAACAACAGCATAGCATTCATTGAATACTTCATATTGATTTTCTTTACAAGTTGAAGGCACTTAACTTCCTATCTAATAAACGAAATGTGCTCTTTATATATATATATATATATATATATATATATATATATATATATATATATATATATATATATATATATATATATATATATATATATATATATATATATATATATATATATATATATACTCGAGAAAATTCATGGATTAAACTAATGCAATGGAAGATTTATATTCAAATTAATTTGCAAAATCGACTTACACTTTGGACAGTACATGGAATTTGAACATGATCCTTCATATGACCACAGAATAATTGAATTTATTGTCTCAAAGATGATATTCAATAACTGAACAAAAGTGAAATGTAACAATATATAAGTGTAATATTAATTCCAAGATTGAATTTTCTATATTTGTGTAAGAAAATTATTATAGCGACGGAAATAATTTTGAAGTGGTTTTAAACTATGAAATTGATAATCAGTTAAAATTAGATGTCACTGTTTTTCCAGTTTTGTGTCACATATATCCTGATAAATAATCGATTTAACTTTTTATCCCCATGACCTGATCGTTAATATACTGTGAAAATGGTAATCACATTTGCATGCATGTACTTATATTATAGATATATATGTATATATATATATACATATCTTTATATATTACCTGGTGTACTTGTAGGAGTATATTTCCGTACGTTTATGTGTCGACTTACACATATGTACAATTTACATTTATCTACATCTGTGCCCGTTTGCGTTAGTTGACCTAGAAACATATGTATGTTTGTATTTCCCTATCTCCTTTTGCTGCTACATCGAATAGGCCATCACATAGGTTAGATGTAACACTACTCACCTAAGTTTCATGGAGAATTTCACTTAAAAATTTGATGCTGTAAAATGTCACAATTGCAAAAACAAATATAAACATAGATGTATATTCGGATTACCTACGGTTTATGATTCACTGTTTATTACTTTGTGTAATATCCTATACGGAACAACATTGGAATAGACAGAGAGAAAAGAGAAAAGTGCTACAATTGTGCCTGTCTAGTATACAGCATAAAATAAATTTTATAGCCCTACCAATCATTAGAGATTTTATGTCCTCTCCTCATCTGTCTAATCCATAGCCCATTGTGTGAGTGTACACGAAAACAACAGTAATAATAATGATAATAACGATGACGACCACCTAATTCAGTTGCTTTGTCTGACCTCATATGCCTACACAATATGCGATTGTTGTGTATAGGCTTATAGTGTATTGAAAATAAGGCAAAAAGTAATCTGAAATACTTCTATCGGTAAACATAATAAGACTGATTTCAAGGTGAACAATAATAAATATTGTTTGTTTAAATAGCATGAAAATACCCGAAAACATATCGTCAAACACATGTACTACTAGCTTCTTCCAGTCAAGTAGTATAAAATCATAGGTATAGGTTAATTTCCAATCGTACGGAATTTAGCAGCAACAGTACCCTAGCTTGAATATTTTCATTTCAAACAAGAAAAAAGTAGCAGATAATAACTATTATATCACATTTACCATAAGCCCATTATTCTACATTTATTCTTTCCAATTTCAGATTGATCTCATAACACTTTCGTTCTTTTAAACTTAAATAAATAGCATAAGTAAAGATAGCATATGTACAATAATTTTGATATTTCATGAGAAAAACTCATCATATCCCGATCTTCAGAGATAATGCACAGGTATTGTCTTATTCGTATCTAGATCAGGTATCAAGATTTGCAGGATCATATTGTGAATACGTCAAGCCGAAATTTCCTCTCATTATATCAAGCTTATTTAGAGTGTTTTAGTGTTTTGACGATAAGGCAACCCAGAAAATTATTCGATTAACATATATTTAGCCAACTAAAATTTACTGTAATTATATACGGTGATTAGAATAACTCACAATTTACTTCATACATATTGCTAAACATGTTGAATAACATTGCTACTTATGACTAACAGGAAGTATTTCGTGATCAGTTTTATCCAAATCCATTGCATTTCGTGTTCTTAGTTGATGACTACCATATTTTCGGCTTTTTCCTCTGAATTGAATGCATTTTAGTCAGGAATGAAGTTTTACGTGATTTACAACATTACAGACTAAATTTATGTACTCCTCGAGTGAATAGTTCTAATGATTACAATCCTCAAAATGAACTATTGGAATCATAATGGAGCCATTTGAAAATAAAAGGCGTCTGATATAATCTACTAGAGCTGTAAATCTGTATGAGAATCACTAATCACTTTGTTATTTAATAAAATATTTAATTTATGAGGCTCTTATGCTAGAGGTTACAACTTTTAAAGCTGATGGCTTGGTTCCATATAACAATTTTGTTAATTATGTAGCTAATTAGTTGAAAAACTACCCAGCTGTGATCAATGTCAATGCGAAATATGTAAATAAATTTAACGCCATGTTAGTTAATGGTCTACATTTTTACAAGGTTCTGATTATTTATTGAAGTAAAATATGACTGTTATACAACTAACTGGCTGTTGATCATATTCATTATCAGAAACAAAAAGAAACAATACAAAACTAACGTCTAACACTTGTAATCACATATGTGTTCAACAAATCAAATGGTATTTCAAATATAAGAAATGGAGATTCAGGGAATACAAAACATGTCTTTGAATTTGCATCTAATCTGCTTCTTATTGTCCAATATGTGTGCAATATCTAGCATTTTTCTGTACATTTAATGGGTAGATTCTGCATTTAAAGCATACGTTTCACTTGTGATTTCATTTCAAGCTCTAAAGTTCACTTTATTTGTTTGTTTTTTTCCATCCGGCAAATCAGGACGATCTACAGTAGTGCGTTCATAGAGGACATATATGTAAATAACTTTGCATAATTCATATCAAGTTCTAAGCGAAAATTACATTCTTATATGCTGCACTGAACCAATAAACGGATGGAATACTGCTCAAACATTCTAGATATTGCACTGTTATATATTTTCAAAAAAAAGCTATTTCTTATAGTAACTACTGTTTTTACAGGGTTTGTTACTTATTCCCTTAGTAAAATCTTTTACTCTATCTCTTTCGTTAAATTACATAATAATGAACACAATTAATCACTGATCACAAATGATCAGAAATTGATCAGAATTTAAAGATCCATTTAATAAAATACGCGCATTTAACTTGGATGATTTTAATCTACAATTTTAGATTATCTATTAATTCTACCTTATAAATAAGTAAAACTTATAATTCAATCTTTCGGTTTTGTTTTTACTATTTGTAACTAATATTTTCATTGACATTGATAAAAAAAGACAACTCTTCCAAATCTGTGTTTAGGAAAATCGGTTGAATAGATGATATTCTTTCATTTATGAGAAAATAACATGTTTACATCCTAGTTAAGCATATCAGTAGAAAAACTTCACAACAGTAAACAAAAGAAAAAGAGAAAAACCAGAATTGAATTATCCAGTTCATTGAAAGAGAAAATAAAACGATAGTTGATATGCCCTTCGAACATGAAGATATGATGTGCAGAATGAAACAAAAGAAAACCAACTAAACACTTTGAAAGCTATAAAAATAGGCAAATAAAAAGATCTGATTTCATAGGATTTTGAAATAAACGTGCAAGTGATGCCGGGAGATTTTGTTTACAATAGTAAACCGACTTTATTCAGTCACGTTTTTTCAAAGCCTATAATACAGATTTTATTCATGAGCTTTATAGGGAGCTAGCTATATGCACATAATACGTAATTTATTAACCCAGTAGTTTTTAATGTATCGATAAAACTCAATTCAGACGTGACTGATGCGTTCACTAACCGTAATGTCCTGGGTATGAGTTACGTTATGAAGTACGCCATCAAAATAAAACCTATGTGTACATGAAACTCATTGATATTTTCTAAGAAGTTGGAAATTAAGAAAGAAAATTATATTTGTAAAAATCTCACCGATTGAAATTTGAGCAAATCCAACATTTCAATTGGCAATCTGGTCCAAGGTTTTCCAAGGAAATATAACCAGATATCAAAATTATCGAATATACATCAACCGTTCACCGGTGAATTATGTGCCGAACAAGTGGTCCAACAAAGTTAACAATGTTGAAAGTGAGATTTTTTACTATGTGTATGAGGCATTTGGTGTATGTAATTATGAAGGGAGAAATGATTAATTATATATCGTCTCTGTACAGGTGTTTTCGGATAAATCAAATAATTTTATGAATGTCTTGATCAGAGTACGTTGATGTCTAGCAATGGAATCCAGAAAGAGAGTTTTGGGACTCGTCACCTGGATGTACCTGTATCCTAGAGATGATTTTCATTCTGGCACTCAAACCCACAGTTTTGCTTCAGACCTCGCCACGTTATCCACTTAGCTACTGAGTGCAGTGATTCACTAGCTTGTGCAGCGGGGTAAATTTCAATTCATATATATTGGTTGCTTGAATCTTGCCAATGATGTTTAGGACTCCGATTGATCAATCTCTTTTGGCATCTGTGTATTCTGTGGAGATTGCTTCGATATTCTCACAAGAATTTCAAGCAGAGATGATGAATCCAACGTCACGACATTCATAAAATGACGATAAGTAAGCAAATAGATTTTTTTTATCGTGTTGACCAAGATGGTTATTTATTGTATATTTAGTAAATTAACTGATTAGAACAAGTGAAAGTAATTATCGTTGTCCACATAATAATAAATGGATCAACTGAAAATATAATGAGTCCAGATTTACTTATAAATCATTAGTTGTCATGAAACAGCTAATTGCATTTTATTTCTGCTATTAACATTGTTTGGAATTGCTCGTATATGTAGGACTTAAACTACAATTCTCTCTTTGTAAGAACTAAAACCTTGTTGTAGGATTCTTATGCCATTGAAATCACTGGTATGGTCCGACTCTATTGCATACAGTGCTATCACTGACTTGTTTTTTCAGATCTTCTGAAAATTCGGAAATGTGTTTCCCTTCACTCGCACATTCATCTCTCGTGATATCTTACCCATATATTTAGCACTACATTCCCAACATTCAATCTAATATTCACTATTTTATTCCCTCTTTGTTAATGAGTCTTTCTTCGTAATTTAGTGTTTAGAGTATTGTTTGTTCAGAAGAATAGTCTTGTATTGTGATGATTTAGGACCCTTCTGGATATGTTCTGAAGTTTCTTTGCAATATAAGATCACCACCGTGTTCACTTGTTCTTTTGATGTATCTTTTCTCTGATCTTTTTGATCCCCTTTCTTTTTACAAAGTTTTTAAGATAAATATTCATCATCAAAATGGATATAACTTAATGCATTTTAGTTTCTCTATCACTAGATTCAATGATAAATTATTGAGCTCTGTTTTTCAAATTCTTCGAAACTGTCGCCCGTGTAGAAATAGCATGTGCTCATTTCCCATTCAGTTATTTTACGGAATATATTAAGTTCCAAAAAATCATTTTGTTTTATTTCAACCGCATAATCCAGAAAAGACTATATGTGTTCAATGGATTCCATCTCTTCAGTAAATTTGGTGCTATCTAATATACTGTGGACAATTTCTAAGAAGTTCATCTAACTTATTTCTTTTCGTAAGAATAAAAGTGTCATCCATGTACGTCAACCACATTTTTGTTGGATGAGCTTATTCCAGATATTAGTTTTTCACCTGTATTCATTTCAATAAAATTAACAAACAAAAAGAATTAAATGGAATGCATTAATACATAATAACATTTTATTGATGAAATTATACAACTTGTTTTACATTTAAACAGTTACCATGTCAAACTATCTCTTATTTACATGACTATAATTCATCTATATTAAATCATATATTTTTTCAAATAATTAAAGTACCAATCCAATTTTTAGAAATTTACTGTTTAGTAATAAGTTCCATTTGCAATCTTTCTTTTAAATCTCTATTCACATAAGCATAATAACTTTTCAATTTAAAGTTGAAAAATACTAAATCAGATTTACCATTTTATGCTACTTGGTACAATGATTACTGATAATAATAATAATAATAATAATAATAATAATAATAAGAAGAAGAAGAAGAAGAAGAAGATGATGATGATGATGATGATGATGATGATGATGATGATGATGATGATGATGATGATGATGATGATGATGATGATGATGATGATGATGATGATGATGATGATGATGATGATGATGATGATGATGATGATGATGATGATGATGATGATGATGATGATGATGATGATGATGATGATGATGATGATGATGATGATGATGATGATGATGATGATGATGATGATGATGATGATGATGATGATGATGATGATGATGAAATTGTCGAGAAATAGAATTAAACAGTTGGCAGTGTTATAAATCTTCTTCAAATTGAGATTATAGTAAGGTTTATTTGAACATTTGAAGGGAAGCGGAAAATGGGATGGCCAAAGAACACACTACGTCGGGAAATGGACTCAGATATGAAAAAGATGAATAACAACTGGAAAGAGCTGGAAAGCATTGCCCAAGACAGGGTTGGATAGAGAATGCTGGTGAGCGACCTATGCTTCTTCACGAGGAGTAACAGGCATAAGTAGGCAATAAGTAAGATATTTGAACATATAATTAAACGTATGGTTCAACTAATAAATTGTCTGTTAATTTGTGTCAACGTTACATCTCTCTCTCTCTCTCTCTCTCTCTCTATATATATATATATATATATATAATAGCTAGCTGTATCATCTAGTTTCTTCATTGACAGCCAAATCAATAATCATATATTGTAACTCAGTAGTTCGAAGTGAAATGCTACAGTTTCTCAGTAAAAGCTTAATATATCCAGTAAAATAAGAACTCAGTTGCTTAAGTTTCGAAATTCAAATCTTATTTGTAAATATATTTGTAAAGCTTACAAACATAATGAATTTAATTATCTCATCCATTGGTTAAAAGTGGTCCATTAATTTCTATAATCAGATTTTTAAATATAAGCACACCGAAGAAGCAAAATAAATAAAAGTATGGCTTCGAAGTGATAGGTGCCTCGAATATATTCAACAGTAATTAGAACAGTAATTACATTTAATTAATCTGTTTAGTACAGAAAGTACATTTGATTTTTTAATTATTACCATTATAAATAATAATCGCAATGCTAATAAATATGTCAAAAGTAATTTAGATCTGGAATGATGTAAGTAGTGCTACTCGAACTCTTTTGTGATATTATTACTAACATAAATTTTATTAGTCATAAATATTTAATCATAACTGGAGTTTATGCAAAGTTATTTATGTTTATATTGTTGGCAATAATGAAATATCTCAATGGTTAAGATCATGAGTCAGTTGAAGCCAGACCACCCTGGAAAACCTGGAAGCACTGGAAGGCCGTTTCGTAATCTGAGGTAGTGAGCTGTGCAGTTGATCATCCTTGGCAATCATATAGAATATATACCATTTTTGTTGTATTCATTATACATAAATTGAAAATATTCCCCTTATCATACTGTAGTAAATGGGTTAGTAACCGTTTTAAAACCACTCCACAAACACCTAGTGAAGCATAATATTAAGGATGTATTCCAATTCGTTGACAAGATTAAAAACATAAACACGAAAGGCCAAAGGATAGTGTCCTTTGACGTAACGTCATTGTTTACAAATTTTCCACTCAGAAAACTGTAGAATATATTTTTGAACAACTTATAGAACAAGAAGTAGAAACTACAATCTCTGTGATCACCAGGGAATTACTACTAAAATGTACTATGAATGTACATTTCAAATTCGATGGTGAAATCTATAGATAAATAGATGATGTCGCGACGGGTTCACCCTTAGGTCTTATATTGGCTGACATTTTCTCTCTAAACTAGAAAACGGCCCACTGGCATAACAGATCTACGAGTTTTCATTTATTGACGATATATGGACGATACGTTATCCTTTGTAACGACCATACGGACTTCATAGAAACACTCGAGCGATTCAGTACAGTTCACTCGTCCATAAGATTCACATGAGATAAGGAAAATGGGGTAGAATATCCTTTCTAATATTCTACTTACAAGGAGAAAACGGGTCGCTAAGAAACATAACAAGAAAACTACTTGGACGGGCCAATATACAAACTTTCTTAGTTTTGTTCCTCTGCAATACAAAAGGAACTTTATTAAGACACTGTATCATAGAATCAAGACCATATGCTCTCTAGATACAGTCGAAGATGAAACAAAGTCACTATACACGACCCCGAAAGAAAATGGATAGCTTGAGAAGTTTATAATAAACACATAACCAGTAAAAGAGAGCATAGAGAATGCCTAACTGTGAATAAGAAGCCTCTGTATATACGTTTACAATTCATAGGCAATGCACCTAGTAAAATGCTAAGACTGAAATTAAGCAGATCAGTCCAAAGAACTTTCAATGGAGTTAAACTACAGGTAATGTTTTCCATATATCTAATGATCACTCCGAGGTTTAAAGATAAATTGTTTAGACTAGCCATCTCTTTCCGTATCTATCAATTCAACTGCTCCTGTGTAGCAAGTTATATCGGCAGATGCTCTAGGAATTTGTATGTTCGGGCTCATGAGCACCTCCCAGTGTGGTTAAGAAAATGTGTAGTCAAAACGGTTAATAGCTTCATTATAGCCCATTTAATTCAGAAGGAGAAATACAATCAATATGGAGCAATCTTTCGCAATACTATATTGTTTTAACAGCAGTCTACATAATTCCATCAGATTGAGAATCTTGGAGACGACTGAAGCAATTGCTATTCGGATCCAAAGCCAGAGCTTTGCATCCAAAAGAAATATGTTCAGTCGCTCCTTTTAGTAAATTTTATAATATGGTGACATAATGTGATTAATGTTCATTTTTATGTCCCAAACTTGTTATTATTATTATTACACTTGACAACCTTTTGAGAAATTTATCCAGCATCCACCCCTATCTACTATATCTGATCTAATTCATTTCACTTATAAACTGATTCAAGTTAACAATTCACATTAACGATTCGATTTGATATGACAAACAACAATTCTTGATTCACGTATTACAATTTAAAATGATGTACTCACTGCCTTGAATCTGGCGAATATTATGGAGATGAGATAATTGTAGAAACTGATAAGAAATTCAGTGAAAATAATATTCTTTGTTCATATTGTGTTTTAACAATAATGAGAATTTTTCAGAGATATTTTGATAAATTCAAACTGTATTATAAAATTTATGAAATAACTTCTTGTGTTAATATCCTCAATGTAGCTAGTAGCAATTTATACTGTTTAGTATTCCGATCGATATTTGGAAACTATCCTTTATAATTTGTTATTTTAAAATGTATAATATTCTAGGTGTTAACACAGAATTACAGTGTTTACGCAATATATACTGAATAATTTCAATGGTTAAGATCATGAGTCAGTTGAAGCTAGACCACCATGGAAAACCTGGAAGCAATGGACGGCCATCCAGTAATATCCAATAATATTCACAAAACCCATCTGATATACTGAATACATTATGTTTTTTTTGCAAAGGAAATGTAGCTAATTTTAGCGATTGAATATTATTCGTAATCAATCATAACTTTAGAGAGCTAAACAATTCTTCAAGTATTAGAAATAATCTGATATATCATTGAAGAAGAAAAAGTCAGTTCAATGAAGAGAAAATGTTCTTTTCGATGATAAAGCTATACAATTGTATTTACAATTATTTCTTAAAGTTATGAGTCTAAATAGCAAATTAATGAAAATTATCATTATTTTTTTGGAGTAAATGACTGAACATTTGTCACTAATATGTTTCAAATGGTAATGTTTCACTAGATAATGATACATCATTTACCGTTAGGATTAAATTATGATCTCTAGAAATAGATTGATTTCAAAACTTTTATTATTTTTTTATTGATAAAAACAATAAAAGCAAACGATACATCTTCGTGAATTTGTTGAAGTTAGACATTAACACTGGTGGATACTGGCTCAGTGTCCTAGAGGTTAAGCGTCTGCGCGCAAGACTGTTAGGTTCTGGGTTCGAATCTCGTAAGGTGGGATCGTGGATGCGTACTGTTGAGAAGTCCCACGAAAGGACGAAATGGCCGCCAAATAATTCCAGGTTTTCCATGGTAATTTAGCTTTAATTGACTTATGAATCCAACTATTAAATTATATCTTTATTTGTTTATATACATGTTAGACAAATTAATTTTATACCCTTGAAATAAATCATAAATACAGAAGAATATAACTGTTATTAAATCAAATTGACTACATTTTCTAATGTTCAATTTTGTTCTGGTTTGAATGTTATTACTTTAAAATATTTGTCTAGGGGTGAAAAGCTTACCAATAATAATAATAATAATAATAATAATAATAATAATAATAATAATAATAATAATAAAGAAACTTTCACACATATTGATATAGATTTACATATATGTGAAAGAGATATTTTTCCCATGTCAAATTCATTTTAAGTAGAACTTACCTCACAACAAGTAGAATTATCATTTTCAATGAATTATTCAACACATGTTTAGTTGTTCCCTTTTTTTCTTCAGTGAATTATGTTCTATACACGGTTAGATAGATCTGTTCTCACATATTTGCATAATTTGTCTTGAAAAGTAAACTTTATCGGATGAAATATTATTGTTTTTGTAATAATTTGAAGAAGAAGAAGAAGGAAAAAGAAGGATTTATAAAAAGCACACTTGTTTATCTTTCCCACTTTGGTTTTTACTTCATACTATTCTTAATACTTTCACTGTCATTCCTTCTAATCTCTTTTATATATTTACTTACAATATGATATTTATTCTGATTTCCAGTTGTTTACTTATTTCATATTTAACTTTTTCTTTCTTTTCAATAAGAAATGGATGTTTGCATGCAAAATAGAAAGAAAGAAGGAAAGAAAGAAGGATTGAAATATTCAATTTACTCTGTCCTTGATATTGGACTAAATATTAAAATCCACTTATGACAGTTCAATCATTATTTCGATGAATAAATAGAAAGACAAAAAAGAAACAATGTTATATCATTGAAAAATAGCCAATATTATCATTCTTCATTTATGTATAAGATAGTGAATTTGACACATTAGAGTAATGTATATACAAATGTCAATTATATGAAGAATAAAATATCTCATAGATTTTATTGTCGTTGTTGTTGTTGCTGCTGGTGATGGTTAATTTTTTCAATGTTTCGATGAGATTTTATTTCATCTATGTATAAATCTTTTTGGCTTTTTATTGCTACCTCTATTATATACTTCGTATTCATTCATTCATTGATCAATTCAGTGGGGTTTTTTTCTGGGAAGTTTAAAAATTCAAATGTACATATCATTTTTTCCTCTTCACAATTTTGTTTAAAGTGAACAATATTTAAATTTAAAAGAAAGTTCGTATGTTTTGTTGCTGTTTTTGTTGTTGTTGTTGTTGCTGTGGAACGTAACTTCGTTTCTACGGAACAATATCAACCGTTAATAGTTTTTTAGTTATTTGTATAAATGAATAATTTGAACAAATGGTTATATTAAGCATCAATATTCTTTCATTCCAAAATGAACAAATCAATAAACACTATGTAACCATCCGAAAATAAGAAATATAACTATAATTAAATATTTGTAGAAAAATTTAAGGTGAAACAAATAATATAAAGAGGTAAATGAAGAAGAAAAAGAAGAAGAAGGGAGATCAGTGGGAGAAGAACAATAACTAAAAAAGAAAGTAAAATGTAAAGGGAAATGAATTGGTAAGTGAATCCTGATGGATAAATATACATACGAATAGTTCAAATATATTCATCATTAGTTGGGTTTTTTTTCAATCGTATACATACTAACTAATCTTCATTTGTGGATATGTATGTATACTTAGGCATGAATAGATGAATTTACATAAGATTATACACTTATAAGTATAACATAAAGATTTTCGTGTAACAAAGTTTTACCATTCAAACCTACACATAGTAGTAAATAACTTAATGTTTTTATTTGTAATATCTTTATGATTGGTTACATTTCATTAAGTACGGTCATTCGAGGTTGATGCATTCGGCACTGACAACTGATTAGAAGAATTTACTATTCAAAATTCAGTTTGAGTTCAAAAACGCTCTTTTGAAATATGGATTTTTAGTAACTTTACCAAAAGAATTCTTTTTATTTATCAAAAATACGGATGATTAGTGATTGGCAAGAAGGATATGTACTTTTGTCTAAGTTTGAACAAATAGTTTTTCCTTGAAAAAGCTTGGACCAGATTGCCAGGCGAAACATTGGATTTACTTCAAATTCTTTCGCTGAGATTTTACAAATACATTCTTCCTCTTTAAGAAGGATATGTATTTAGAATTTTATTTAGAAGTTATATAATATTATAATGTTCTTTGTTTATTAAAATCATTGCAAACTCAAGCGACATGTTATCCACCTAGCTAAGTAGTGCTTCTCTAGTTGCCATATATTAGGCGAAGCCGAAGGCTTGATACACGAGTTTAACGCACATAAATCTTCTTTCAGTTGTGATGTTAAGTAGGCTATACGTAGTCTAAAGTCAAATCTGTATGTGAAAAAAATTGTTTTACCATTTTTTTAAATTTAAATAGTCATTTTCTTCTTTATGCTTTTGCAGTTTCACCTGGTTTTTCATCTTTGAATTTCACCAATGATCATTTCCCTGAATTCATAACATTTTCAACCAACAAACATAATCGTTGTTGGTTTATCCTAGTGTTATTGGTAATTTTTTCTATTTCAGTCAAAAATTATTCTCCTTTACAGTTACCTTAGTTTTCCTATTTCAAAAGTCACACCATAACTTTTCAATACTTAATATCGTTTACTTTCAGGTACTTATGCTTAGCACATCTACTTTATGAGCATAAATTTCGAATATCATAAAAAATATAACTAATTTACAATGTTATGCAATTACTCCTTAAACTATGATCACATGTCAAGGACGATTGCTAAGAAACAATCGATTTTTTTTCAAGATCACATGAACTCTGGTTAAGATCTTACCCAATAAATAAAATATATGTATACCTATAACTCAGATAGTTCAGATTAAGGGTATATTTCAGAAATGTTTTATTACCATTTCAAAATTCTTATATTTATTGTTGATTGTTGATGTTCATATACTTTCTTGTAGAAAATGATATTTTATGGGAAGAAAAACTAGAGGTTGATAGTAGAATTTGAAGGTGCTGCTTAGTAATTTATCAAAGATAAAATTTCACAGATTGAAATCATGAGTGAATTGAAGCTAGACCACCATGGAAAACCTGGAATCACTGGTTTGGTTGAAGTTAGACATTAACACCATTGGATGTTGGCTCAGTGGTCTAATTGGTTAAGCGCATGGCGCGAGACTGCTAGGTCATGGGTTCGAATCTCGCGGGTTTCGGGATCTTGGATGTGCACTACTAAGGAGTCCCATACTAGGACGAAACGACCGTCCAGTGCTTCCAGGTTTTTCATAGTGGTCTAGCTTCAAATGAATCATGATTTCAATCTGTGAACTTTCTAAAATCTCCACAAACCCTTCTGATAATAATTATTATTGCAACGAGTACAAAATTCGATTTGTCATGGATTTTAAAAAATTAAGAGATCAATCATATTTCCAAGTCCTCTGATGTAGCCTAAATTAAATAAATAATGCTAACAGTTCATTGTCTCCACAAACTATACATAATAATCTTTGTCACAAGGTAATAATCCCTGAAACTTCACAATGATGACTGACATTCAGCATTCACCATACTATCACAATTTTTGAATTTCCAATGAATTGGTAATACAGATAAATGTTAACCAAATGAAATTATTTTATTTGTAAGGACTGCTTAATAATAAGTTATACATAAGCTATACCATAGTAACATCACATTTTTATTGTTGCTAAATGATGCCGATTCACTGTAATTCCCTCGCTAATACGATTTGTTTTTTCAGTAATTCTGAAGGCACTAATCGTACTTTATGCACGGTAGATAACTTTAATATGTATATATGTCCAAGATTCAGTACGTCGGATTGTATTGATTATGGCAAGTAACTAGGCTTCTTTAAAGTAACTATAATTTTCATAAATCACTGATCATTGTCCGACATTATTTTTCTCATCAAAAAGGAATATTAAACCTATAAAATTTGTATTGATCTGACGTGATTAACTATTTAGCAAGCATTTTACGATTACAGAAGTGAGACAATTATTACTTGTGATAACGGGCAACAGTAAAACGTTATTGAGAATAAAGTGAAGTTGAAAATGTGAACCATTGAATTTCAACTCCATAGAATAGAAGAAACTCAATCACTCAGTAGCCAGAAGGCTTATATTTCAATCCCTAATCAAGCTGCACATGAACCCTGTTGAAGGAACTATGTACAAGATGAAACATCTGCCCAATGTTTCCTAGTTTCTAGCAGTTGCTTCGTTAAGGTCAATTCGTGAGGTTATCTACGTTTGAATAAGAAACAGATAAAAACACCCTTTTGTTTTTTTTCTGTTTAGATATATTCAATAAATCATTAGGAAAATCATTCACTTCCGAATGTCTAGTTGGGTTACTCTCATTCATATTTCACAGAGAACATCAGTTCTGTCAAGACTCAAAGTATACTTTTCTGATGTGTATCAACTGGCAAAATATCTAGGTTCAAAACTTTCTGCTGGCTACCTCCACACACCTATAAATCTCTAGATATATTACCTGAAGGAATAAAAAAACTTTCCCTTTGATTATTAATTATACGTGTAATAAAATTGACTAGAAAATCATTAAACTGTCATATATGAATTTACGACAATTACCTATTAGATTAGGTTCGGCGGACTCTAATTTATGGACGACCTTTGAACGAATCTTCAGTGACCTTGAGAAATACTAGCCAGTCAACAAACAGTCAATATAGAGTGAAAATATGTTATACAAAACCAAGGAAATAAAGTGGATACATTTCTTATACGTGGTTCAAAAACTTTTCAAGGTTACAAAGAGGTTCAGAGGTTCTAAAATCGTAATGCATGCAGTAGAGGAAATCATCCATACGGCTACAGAATAGTCGACCACTGGAGTCATGATCAAGTCTCAAAAACTCTTTCAACCTCAACCACATAGCTTCAATATTGTTTATGTGCACTCCGTTTGTTGAGTACACAAAATGCTACTTGTGGATAACGACACGATGCACATAACCAGGCCTATGTAGGAGTCTGTACGCTATCCAAACATCCGTATATATTGTAGTACCTGGCTGCAGACAATGTTACTGGTGTTTTTATTATCCAGTTCGCAATAATTGCCGCAATTCGCCTTAGTTAGGAATTATATATGGGGTTTTCATCACGAACTGACATCAGCTATAATGCCAGAAATTTATTTAGCCAAATGGATGAAAGGCTTTCGCGTTAAAATCCGAGATCTATTATCTTATACCTGATTGATTCGTCCACAAATTATATTCTCGCCGTTTTATTTGTTATAGTCGCTCAATTATCATGTTTTGTACAAAATTCTCTGTGAACCGATCGTACGTTAGCATTAAGCATTGAAGTTGGTGCTGTAACCTTGAAATCTCTAAAACGCCTCTGATTGACTCGTCCATAAATTAGGATCTCGCCTTAAGTTCTTTCACATATTTCTTCGTTTCTGTCAAATATGTTCATGTATCATCATCTTAATCCATTTAATTTTTGGAACATTTATCAAAAACTTTCCTATAAAATTAGATAACTGATTGACATTTATATCCTCTATATCTATTCTTTAAATTAAACTTGATATTGTTCAATATATATACATAAATATTTTTGTTCAACGATCTTCCATTTTTGAATAAATATGGACTGGAATAATGGAATAATAAAACAAAAACAAAAATATCTAAGATATTATTTTACAGTTACATATAGATGACGAATATTTCAATTGGAAAATAGCACAATTGAAAGACAAAATATTTCTGGT